CAATACAAAAGAGTTGATCAGGTTACCAAGAGAGGCAGTGCAAATAGAGAATAAATGTCCAAATGTGATGGCAATGGGGAGGTGGTGGCATCAGAGAAAGAGATACTAAACGAATGCTCAAAAATATAGGATAAAAATCAGTAAAGTACAGTGACACCGAGGCAAAGGTTGTGTGAAGGAGGAGTGATAGATACAGTATGAAAAGCAGCAGAGGTCAAGATTCACACACATTGGCACTTGCTCCCAGCATCCCATACAACAGGGGTCCGGTAGCAGTCTTAGCTGAGGCACCTGACCTTGACCCCTGTTTAGTGATACCCATCGGGTGGTGTAATGGAGCTCCCTGTACCCCTAGCTGGGTACCACTTCCTAGCTGAAACAGGGGACAAACCACAACACTTTTGCCCACAGTCACTGTGGCTTGACTGGGGTCCTGGAACCGTTTCCTCCTGTACCTGAATGGGGAATTCGCTCTATTCACCCACTGGACGACACTCAGTCCCGGGGGCTCTAGTCCTTACAAGGACTTTCCCCGTTGAATCCTCCACACTTTTCCCTCCCAGTAACCAGACAACACATAGTTCTGGGAGTACAGACTGGAAAGTTTTAATATGGCCAAATGGCCTGCTTTTATACATTTCGGAACACAGACAAGCAAACCCATGACACTCCCACACAAAATAGGATAATCACTCCCCGATGCCTGGGAGATAATTGAGTCAGGAACTGTACAAAACTCATTTATCTCCAGGCACAAAAAACACACACATTTCACAGACACCCCAAAAGTACCTTTAAACTACATGAAAACCACACAAAAGTCATATCGCCTGATAGCCCCAATTTGGGTGACTAACATATCCAAATATCATCCAGATCAGTTCAGGGGTTAGGGATTTCCATCGAAGTCATAATTTGACGGACGGCACACGAGGCTCCTGCCCAAAATAGTTTCAGGGAAAAAGTGGTAGCGGTCGGTCAGGTTCGGTAGTTTAAAAGAGAACAAACTACCAAACAGAATCCATTGCCATACCATAGAGCTTGTTCCCTTCATCCAGACGAACAATCCCACCAAACAGTGTTCTTCTAAGTTATATAAAACTGAACGCAGGCGATCATGGAAGTCCAGTGGTGTTTGGGAGTTTTAGTGTCCGTTTTCAGTTCCAGAAACTTGACGACCAAACCCAGCTGCTTGCGTTCGTGTGAACAAGATGCTGCCACCACGTGTTCGTGCATACGAACGGCCTCCACCCAGACGAAGCATTAGAACACTGCGGTTAGGATCGTTACAATGTAACGGGTGGTCCATAGTTCGTGCAGCAGTTCGGTTCCCGAACAGCATATGGGAATCAAACTAAACAAGCCAGTTAAATAGTCTTTTACAGGTTTCCCTGCAGGGCCCATAGTCTGTGGGCAGAAGGCTAGCTAGTGGCAAACTCACGTGGGAAGGGGAGTTTGTCACAGGTGGCCCTAAATGCTTGGGCCACCCGACAGGCAAATCGCTGTGGAACCCCAATTGGGAAATGCTGCTCTAAAGAATCTTTGTAAGCATTACTCTGCTAATAAAAACTTGGCAGAGCCAAATCCTGTTGTCATTCTTGGTTGGAAACTTCAAGAGTTAAATTGTTTAAAGGAATAAAGTTCATTCTATTCTTAGAATGTATCTCTGCATGTTTTGATTGGACCACCACTTTTGAAACACAAAATAAGTAAAATTAATCTTTTCTCAGTGATGTCTTGGTCGATCACGGACCAACCCAATGCTTCTCACGCGAAAAATGTAGAGAATTAGCGCTCCCTGTCTTTTTGATGCTTCTCACATGGAACATTTCACTAGATTCACTTTCACTTCTGTAACTGAAAACCTTCACAAAGAAGTGCCTCTAGTGGCTGTCTGATGAACAACAATTGGAAACATCCTTATTTTTTAATGTAAACATTGCTGGTTTTCGGAAACTGTTTTTTGTTAGACTGAAAGGACAGGGTCTTTGATCTAAAACCACTACGTTAGGATGTTTTGGTGTTTAGATTGTCTCATTAATTACTTGACTTTTACAATTCTGTCCATTTCCACATGCACTTTTAATATAAATTTCATGAATGTATTTGATTTTCATAGTTTGTACACATGGTTAGTCATCTCTACTGCATAAACAGACACTTTTTTTGTGCAGTGAGCATCTGTTTCATTTCATTCTTTACAAAATGTTCTTAACAAACAAAGTCATTAAGATCTGGGCAGATTTCCATAGCTGAGTAACAGTTTCTTTCAGGGAGTATATTGCAAAGGAAGCCACTGGATCTATTACTCATTGAAAGAAGTCAGTGTTTGTGTATGGGAACTAAATCTTCCCATTTGAGAACACAAGACATCAGCAGCGGACTATATATTTGGACAAATGGCACCCTCCGATTCTGAACTGGTAGGTACGGTCATTGTACACAAGATTTTTACTTTTTACTGGGTGATTATTACTGAGCTCAACTACTGCACTTTAACTAATAAAACAGCAGAGCTGTATGAAAATGAATCCCTGGGCTGTTCATATACAGAAATTCAGGAGCACAGTTGGCCATTGGACTCAAATTTGCAAACTATATTTGAGAAATATGGGTCTGACATATACTTTGGTACTGCCCAAAGCTAACAGCTTATTGGAAGGAAGTAATCCAAACAGTGAGTCCTACTATTACTGTTTTAACTTCAGAACTGGCTTTGTTTAAGCCCCTAAGGACCAAACTTCTGGAATAAAAGGGAATCATGACGTGTCACACATGTCGTGTCCTTAAGGGGTTAAAGGGACACTATAGTCACCCAGACCATGTCAGCTCAATGAAGTGGTCTGGGTGCCAGGTCCCTCAGGTTTTAACCCTTCAGATGCAAACATAGCAGTTTCAGAGTTTTACATTTTGTTTACATTTGGGGTTAAGCCAGCCTCTAGTGGCTGTCTTCCGGGCAGCCACTAGAGGCGCATATGCGACGCTGGAGGCATATTATGCCTCCATCACGCAGCGCATCCATAGGAAATGCTTTCCTATTGACAGCTTGAATGTGGGGGTGGCATGCGCATTTGGATCCTGTGGCGTCAGACGGCTCCACTGACGTCGGCGGGGGAGGAGATGTCACCAGCTCAGAGGGAGCCTGGAATAAGGTAAGCTGCTGAATGGGGTTTTAACCCCTTGAGCGCCACGGGAGGGGGACCCTGAGGGTGGGGGCACCCTCAGGGCACTATAGTGTCAGGAAAACCGCTTTGTTTTCCTGACACTAGAGTGATCCTTTAAGAATTTCCCAAATAATATTGAAAATATAGGTAGGGTCATTATAGGACATATACTAATTGCAGAAACTACAGGTATTTAAAATTTTTTGGATGTTATCAGAAGTAATAGAAAATAAAGGTTACGAACCTGCCATTAGACAACCCTCTTCATTATTGGACAGACTTAGATACTATTGGGACATATGGAAAAAATATGTTAAAAGGTTGTATACTACACATAGAGAAGCATCTTATCCTAACTTACTTTATATAGCAACACCAAGCTTGACATACCACAATGTGAGAGGACTTATTTGTTTGCCTAGGCTAACAGTATGTCTAATAGTACTAAGTTGTTTTACTCTATGAATTTCCAGAGAAGCAGAACTGAAAGCTTAGCTAAACCCGTCTAGTTTTTTCATTTCAGCTATTTTGACCTTAAATTTGACATTCACTTTGAATTATCCCTTTAGTAAATAACCTTAATGGGATACTATAGTGTTAGGAATACAAACCTGTATGCTTAACACTAGAGCTGCCTATTCCAGCCCACCAGGCCAATAAAGGGTTAAAAAAAAACACCTTTATTTATTTACCCGATACCAGCAACCCTTGCCGCTGGGTCAACTCACCACCTCCTCCGACATCATCCGCATTGGGCCCTCCCCATATGTTGAATCAATGCTTTCCTATGTGAATTCTCTGACGCTGGATGTCCTCAGAGCATGGGGACGTCCATCGTCAGGTAGGCGATCAAAAGTCACCTAACAAGCAGGAAGCGCCTCTAAAAGGCTGTCTGGTAGATAGCCACTAGAGGCTGACTTACTGCTGCAATGTAAATATTGCAGTTTCTCTAAGGACTAAGGGCAATAGGTATACTGTACTGTTTAATGTAAAAACCTCCAGAAGAAACATTGTAGATATCCACATTTATCCCATCTACAATAGTTGAGTTAGAAAAAAAAATCTTGGACTGTAGTAACTGAGCCTTAGTCATTGCTGGATACACTTCACTACTGTTTTGAGTTTAGTGAATGTTAAGAATTGGCCAAGACATGGAAACGTTGAAGCCAAAAGAGCTGAGCCGGAGAGTAGCTGAGTGGGAGAATTTTTCCATTGTGGCTATTTTGGCAGGAAATTTGAAATTTCTTATTCAATGCTCGACAGTCACTTCACGATTTAGTGAATAACACTGCAAGAAAACACCTTTGACTGCTCCCCTTGAAGCACAACAACTACAAAACCTTTAATGATTACTGAGCTTAGAGTATCCCTCTAAATCCAAGCAAAATAAATGCACAAACTGAGATCAATTAAAAAAAAAAAAAAAATGAATAGAAAAAAAAAAAAGATATGAAATAATATGTAAAAAAAAAACCAAACAAAACCAACAACCACACAATCTAACATAAAATCAGGACATCAATAAACACAGATAAACCCCCCCACCATAAAACATTATTTTATACAAAATATAATACATGACACATTTTGTATAAAATAATGTTTACTTTTTTTGTGTTTATTAATAATCAAAACAAAAAAAAAAATTCACACTAGAGATTTCCAGAATCATAAAGCAGGTCCAGCTGAAGGAACTCCCCGTCTTTTTTAAAACTACACAGCCCATGATGCTTTGCCAGGTGTCACTGCACAGAGCACCCTGCCAGCCATCACTGGTTACTACACCCGGAAGTGAAGTCAACAGGTCGGCGGGAGGCTTCCCAGCATCCTTTGCAGGCCGTTACCAAGGAGACCGGCAAGCCCGGTGTGTTCAAGGCAGGGTGGCAGACACGGAGGCCGGGTTGTTGCCATGGTAACAGGGAGCCGTGACTGCTCCGCTTAGACCAGCCATCTTTCCATTGTGTGTGCTTTGAGCGATGCTCTGACAGCTGCTGGAGCCATGCTGCCCGGCAGGTACCGAGGGAGGCTGGTGTCCAATGCTGTGAGTAGTCTGTGTGTCCGTGCTGTGCCCGTCTTGCTCTCCCCATTCCCCACAGACAGCCATGGCCATCACCTGCCACACCTGCTGTTTGTAGACGGCAGTTCCCACTAAGGCAATACAGGCACCATAACCACTGCAGGGAGCTGTAGTGGTTATGGTGCTTGGAGTGTTCCTTTAAATTAAGGGTTACAGCTAGGATTCATATAGTTTAGATAGAGAATTTGCAGTTAGGCTTCCATTATAGCGAGGGTCCGCTGATTACAACTACATGTCTGTTAGTCCACTCATTGTACAGCGCTACGGAATCTGCCGGCGCTATATAAATAATATAATAATAATAATAATTGCTCTCGGCCAATGAGCTGAGCTCAGCTTTGCGGGTTTTAGCTCAGGAGCACTTAGGGATGCTTCTGCTTAGGAGCGTCCGGCTCTCCGGCGATAGTAGCGCAGGCGGGGAACGACTTTGTGAAATGGGGAGTGGGTACTATGACCACTACAGTGCGCTTAGGGTGTTCTATGTCGTTAAATGAATGGGAGTAATGGTAGGTTCTATGTCGTTAAATGAATGGGAGTAATGGAAGGTGCTATGTCGTTAAATGAATGGGAGTAATGGTAGGTTCTATGTCGTTAAATGAATGGGAGTAATGGAAGGTTCTATGTCGTTAAATGAATGGGAGTAATGGTAGGTTCTATGTCGTTAAATGAATGGGAGTAATGGAAGGTGCTATATTGTTAAATGAATGGGAGTAATGGTAGGTTCTATGCCGTTAAACGAATGGGAGTAATGGTAGGTTCTATGTCGCTGGCTAGGTGGCAACAGGAGGAACAAGGGCACCCACTCCCTCTAGAATGCAAGCTCATTGAGCAGGGCCCTCAACCCCTCTGTTCCGCTGTGTCCAACTTGTCTGGTTACAACTACATGTTTGTTCGTCCACCCACTGTAAAGCGCTGCGGAATTTGTTGGCGCTATATAAATAAAAATAATAATAGAAGAGTATGGTAAAAGGGCGGCTTCAAGCATTATGCCCACTACAGACCTCTGTAGTGGTTATGTTGCCAGGAGTATCTTGGCCCCCTTTCCTGGTAATGGGGCAAACCGTTTTGCAATGTTCCTGCCAAGAGCAGGAAGTGGTTTCAGATGTCATGAATTAAAGTTGTTGCCTTATTCATCTTAAATGAGTATTTCTTGTTGTGAATAACATTGTGTATATAGTAGGTGTCTGGGAACTGGCCAACAGTTTTGTAATAACTGTATGGATGGAGACCTTTTGAAGGATCATGTGGGTTAGATTAAAAACCAGATTGATGGATCGAGTGGAATGTATTTATGGCATAAAAGGAGCTTTGCTGCCTCGAATGTTCTGGGTGTGTGATCATCACAAATTAATAAAAGTACCTCTTTCCCTGTATTCTTTCCAACCACGAGACTGAAGCTACTGTTTGCATTTGCTGTTAATTCAGCCCGTTTTCTAAATTGCACAGTTTTTGTCTCCTCTGCTCCTCTCCCACAAATGTATTATCTGAAGGGGGCTGCCTTTACTCCCACTAATCTTGGGCAGCCCTGGGCATTTATATTCTAGTGCTACTCTCAGATTAGGGGCTTCTGCACTGCATGATCTTTTGGAGAATAATGCACAAATGACATCAGAGCGATAATATTTTACCACATATGCTATGTAATTTTATTATTTTCTAAACTTATTAAAATTTTCTTGGATCGTATCCCATCTGGCACCAGCCTAAAATGTTTTATTATAATTATTTATGACAACGCACATCAAATTTCTCTTGTTATAAATAAAAAAAATCTATCAAGGCTATCACTGTCAGTGCTTATGCTTCTCGGGAGCTCTGTCCATGGTTGTCTCAAATTAACAACGTAAAGCTCACTCCACAGAATTTTTTAACGGTTTAATAGGTTTACCAACAAACAAAACATGTATTTTTTTTCTGTGTGTTTCCTTTGAGGGTATATGAAAAATACCCTGTCCGCTTCCATTTGCAGCAGAAAACCTCTTTCCATGTCTCAGTGACAGCTATGGTGTGTTTCAAGCACATTTTTATAAAAGTGCTGATTTCTATTGCTATCAGCACTTTTATAAACTGTCACAAACATGACAGACTCCAGACACACAAAGTACTTAAGCTGAAGTGCTTTATGTGTCAGTGTTCCTTTAAAGTAACATTTTCAATTCTCTGTAATTTGTACAACTGAATAAAACATTGAATTTTTTTAATCCAGATGCTTTTTATTTTAAATTTTTATTAAACATCTAGCAAATGATATTATAATCTAGCTCAGTCCAGGCACATCCAAGGCACGCATTGTAGACAAGAGGGGAATTAGAGACATTGTTTCAGTTCTACCTTTTTCTGTATGCCTTTTCTCTGCTGCCAGATACAACTGACAGCGCTTATAACCATGACTTTCAGAAATCTAAGATGGAGAAGGTTACAGAATAAAGAGGTGTAGATTTGTACATTTAGTTTTATTTATCATGCCTCAAAAATACACATTTCTTAAGTATAGTGATATGTAAACACAAAATAAAACATCCTGTGAAGTAGCAGTTTCCCTTTAAACGATCATAGCTTTTTGTAGAGATCAAGATATTAAGTATTAAAATGCCATCTCCCTAGTTTGCATCAAACCCTTTTGAGCCTAGCCTCTCTGATGCTGCTTGTTTCATTTCCACAGTAAAAAATAATAAATAAAATTGTGGAGCGCAAAAAAATTATGAAGTGAACACAAACACCAATATGTTTTAAAAAAATAAATAAATAAAATTACATAATTTTTCAAGTATATTTATGAATGCCAGTATATAAATAAAACATGTATAGGGAACAAACAGAGAAAGAATCCCGATAGCGTGAAATGTAAAATTTATAATGGGACAAAAGATAAAATGAATAATGCTCACCAGTGTTTAGAAACCAACGTATACAAATTTGTGCAGCAGTGAATACTACTTAAAGGAACACTATATCATTATCAACATGTACTCCTAACACTATGGTTTTAATCTGTCTGTGCTGTGCTCCCCTCCCACTCCGTGAGAGGGTTGGAAGTTTGATTTTAACTTACCTTTTAGTCCTTGCTTTGCCAGTCTCTCTGGGGAAGCTCCATCTTTTTGACTGAGTTCATCAGTGTAGTCCAGGCATAAGCAACCTTTGGCACTCTAGATGTTTTGGACTACACCTCCCATGATGCTTTGCCAGCATTATTAAGTGTAAGAGCATTATGGTTGATGTAGTCCACAATATCTGGAGTGCCAACGGTTGCCTACTCCTGATGTAGGCTATTTCAGCTGACCCAATGCTTTCCCATGAGGAAGTATTGGGATGCTAGTGTATATGCGTTGCAAAACACTGCACTACTCCAATCAGATGGTCTCTGTGGACCATCTGATTGAAGTAGCCGAGTTTCACTTGGCTATTTCTGTGGAAGCACCTAGTGGCTGTCAGAGTGACAACCCCTAGAGGGTATTAAACACTGCACTGTAAACATTGCTGTTTCTGTAGAAACATTGGGGAAATGGCAGCCAGACCACTTTACTGAGATGAAGTGGTGTGGTGCCTATAGTGTTCCTTCAAACTTCAGGTGACCCAGTCCTCGCTGCTCACCAACAATGCTATTTAGGAACATTTCAGAATAGTAGAATAACAAAAATCAAAAGTATGTACAAGGTCAATTAGTTTCATTTCTCTCAATCCAAATCCATCTGTGTTTTATTCCACCTTTGACACAAAATGGGGAGTTCTCACCTATTCCAATGGAGTGTATTTTCCAGTTTCCATATTCATCTTTACTTGTCAATATTTACATTGCTTCCATACACATCACTGGCAGTACATGCCTATAGCAACCCTTGTGTAATAGTGAAAAATTGAAGGGAAAAAAAAAATACCTAAAAAAAGCCTATAAAATAAAACTTTAAATATCTACTCTCTTCTTGCTACCAACCAGAAACAGAGCTATAAACTGACATATAAAAACAATATACATATGTGTGCACGTGAGAGAAATGTTGGCATAAGACTCCCATATCCACATAATAACCTTACTATAATAATATAATAAATTTTAATATAAAAAATGTGAAAGTAGCTCGGCACAGGCAAGGGCAGATTAGGCTGACAAGCATATACACTAGCACTAAATCGCGTACTTTTCCACCACATCCCACCCACCCCCCCACAGCCCCCCTGGGTCAGGGGCCCACAGCGTGGTTGCATATCCCTTTACTTCAACACTACATTATCATGAGCGCAAATGCTCACCGTATTCGTGATCAGCTACCACCTCCACAACCTGTAACTAGCATGACACGTTATATTTTATATTTTATACATGACAAAATGCCTGTAACCCGCACACCCAAACCTAAACACGCACCACCTCAGGGCATAGGTCATAAACAATGCACACAGGGACCGCAATCAGAGCAAAACATAAACAGAAACTCATTATTGAATGACCTCTCTCTAGCAGTCCCTCAACAAAGTCTAAGCATGTACTAAAAATTTGATGCTGTTTTAAAAAAAAAAAAGGACTACCGCACCAGTTCTCAGAGTAATGCTAAACTCACTGTTATACATGTCATTGAACCATGTTTTTCCATTTTTCTTGTGTCCAATCTTATGAAGTATGCCAATTACCCAGTGGAATGTTGTTAAAACAAAGCATCTTGAAAAATAAAAAATAAAGAATTTAAAAAAATAAAAAAAAATGTGAAAGTAGTACATGAAGGCCTTCTTACAGAGAAAACACATATTTTTTTTTTTAGATGAAAAACTATTGTTCAAACAATCCTTTTTAAGAATACCAAAAAAGAGAGAAAAAAAGGTGCAAGAAGGTGGACTAAATGTAGTCCAAGAAAAGGGGAGTGGGAACAAAAATATCTTAAATGTGTTGATAATAAAAACTTTTTCAAACAAGGACCACACATGTACAAAAACCTTTCAGGAACACTATAGTCACAACAACTCTAGCTTAATGAAGCAGTTTTGGTGTATAGATCATGCCTCTGAAGTTTCACTGCTTAATTCACTGCCATTTAGGAGTTAAATCACTTATGTTTCTGTCCTTGCAGCCATAGCCATACGCTAAAAAGTGGTTTCATTTTAAATCAGATGTTCACTTACTTTAGATGTTTTTATGTTCTGCTCTGGAAACTGAACTGCTGCTGCTGGATGCTGAAGTCTATTAACAGAGCAGGAGATGAGAAATTCTAAATTAAACAGACTGCAATAAAGGAAATTGAAACATTAGATCTCTCTTTATAGGAAATGTGTAGGAATGCTGTGTACCTCACATGGAGGGAAGTGTAGCGGAGCTGTTGATGTGGTCATTGCCACTCCTTCCCTGGCTCTGACTGACACAGCCTGCTTGGAAAAAAAACAGGTTTCACTTTCAATCAGATGTAACTCAAAGGGACACTATAGTCACCAGAACCACTACAACTGATTAATGTAGTTGTTCTGGTGAATATAGTCAGTCCCTTTTTTTTGCAGCAAACACTGTCTTTTCACAGAAAAGGCAGTGTTTACATTAAAACCTAGGGGCACCTCCAGTGGCCACTCCTCAGATGGGCAGTGGAGGTGCTTCCTGGGGCAGTGCACTGACGTTCAGCATCTCTATGCTCTGAATGGAGACGCTGTTCTTTCCTCATAGAGATGCATTAATTCATGGCATCTCTATGAGTGGATGCTAATTGGTCAGTGCAGTGTCAACTCCCGCCCATGCCCCGCCTCCTTGACTATCTCAGCCAATCAAGTGCTTTCCCTGTAGATTACCAATTACGATGATGTCAGCCAAAGAGGCAGATCAAGGGTGAGGGCAGCGCCTGCAGACCTGTGGAGAGCTGGAAATAACGTAAGTTTTAACCCATCCTAAGGGGGCAAGTGTGGGACAAACCACCTAACTGGTGGTTTTAACACCATAGGGTCAGGAATACATGTTTGTTGTGCTGACCCTATAGTGTTCCTTTAACATAAAAGGTTTTATCTCCTGCTCTATAAATTGAATTTAATTACATAAAGGAGGCTCCAGCAGGGGCTAGCAAGCTAATAACAGAGCAGGTGATAAGAAAATCTAAATGAAATAGAATTTGCCATAAAGGAAGTGTAAACATTAGAGGACTCTTTACATCAAGTGTTTAGGAAGGCTGAGCAAGTCACGTGCAGGCAGGTGTGAATAGGGTGCATAACCAAAGTGATTTAACTGCTAAATGGCAGAGAATTGAGCTATGAGACTGTAGGGGCGTGATCTTTACACCAAAACTGCTACATTAAACTTAAGTTGTTTTGATGACTATAATGTCCCTTTAATATGTACATAACATATATCTATCCATATCTCCAAAATATTTTCTAAGCAATTTCAAGAGGGTGTTCCATAAATCTAATTTTAACATTTGTAGAGCAATATACAAAATCTTAAATAACAATAAAAGGATAAAAAAAGCAAAAAGGTTAATTCATGGTGTTTATAGACGTAAATTAGAAATTAGTAAAATGCCTATTTACTCATGTATACCTATATTCAATATTTACTCAAAATGGCTGCTAGAGGCAACACCTCCCTTCGGCTAACTACCTTGTGTAAGAAGATGGCACTGGAATCCAGAGTAAAATCCTGTGATTGCAGTGACATCACGCCTTGTAGGATGTGCATTAGATAAAACACGTAACACCTAACCAAATATTGATGTTTACTTACTGTTATTTATAATTATGCATATGATGTACTCTTTTCTTTATAAGGGGCCTCCCGCCCCCTGAATAAACATTCCTGAAGTTTTTCATCAACCTGAAAATTGTCTGGTGTGAATTACTTTAGGAGCGTGCACGCACCTATATTCAATAATTTGGACAGGGTAGATATTCAAATAATGAAACACTTGGTTTGAACTACAACAATTTGTCCCTACAGCCCGCATTCTCCACCAGTTAGGCACTACGGGGCTCGGCCAGAGGGGCTCGAGGGAGGTTATTAGGGGCTTGTGGCGGGCTTCCTCCGTGTGCACTGCCTTCATCAGAGAGGATCTGTGGTTGTTGTGGTGTATGAAAACTGACAGTATCGGATGAACTTGGGGCTTGTGCAACCCTAACAATGGTATCGTGCACCGGAGGAGTGTGTTGTGCTTGGGCTGTATGGTCTGGTGACCGTTCCAGTTGTGATACGGGAGGATGATGTGATGAGGCTACCGATTCACGAGAACCAACAGTCATGATGGGGAAAGGCACATTGGAGGTGGCCATGACGGGCGGAAATGGAAGCGGATGTAGGGAGTGAGGATGAGGGATGCTGGGAGGGGAGGTGACGATCATGACAGGAGTGGGCAGGAGTAGACGATAGGGCAAGAGCAGAGGAGGCGGGATTGGGGGAGGGAACCAGGGCGGAAGTGACAGAGAAGGGCCATGGGGATGGGATAGGGGTGGAGGTAGCGGGAACTGGAAAGGAAGCTGGGATGGGGGTAGGAGGGATGGGGGCAGGCAAACCGGAAATGGGTGGGACAGGGGATGACATAACAGGGGCTGCAGGAAGGGGCGTGACGGGGCGGGGAGAGAAAGCAAGATAGGGTAATAAGTCCGCTCCAAGGATGGAATATAGGGGGGTGGGGGCTGGAGGAGCGGTGTCAATAGGAGCTGGTGTTTGGGCGGAGACTACGGGAGGTGGGCTAGCCTTATTTTCTTTGTGCCAGGCGCCATCATAGGGCGGTGGTTGGAACATGCTTGCAGCGGTTTCAACAATGCAAACATTTTCATGATACACATAAACTTTCTATCCTTCTATCTCTTGTTCTTCCTCTATCCACCCCTCTCGTTTAATCCCTTTGGCTACACGATACCAAGCTTCCTTTGTTAACCCATTATCAAGTAGTAAACCTTCTTTGTCTTTCAACAATTTTCTCCAGCTCTCTGGCTGTAACCTGCCGCTGGAAGACATTGTAATACCACATATCTTAGCAATCTTCTTCATCATACTCACGGCCTCCTCACCCGCCCCCTTTCCTTCACAATATCACAAGCCAACGGGCCCTTAGAAGGCTTAGCATGTTCCTGTCCCATTTTCGCTGTACAAATCGTCACTTGATAGAGATAAATAGGAGAGAGATAGTGAGAAAACGTCTACAGTGCTCGACTGCCGTGAGATTCTCGTGCGTCTTTCCAAAACGTAGACTGTGTCTGCCCACCCGAGGTGGCCACGGATTGGAGCGAGGCGAGTAGTGTGTGACTAACACTTCTCAGGACAAAAGGTACAGGAGAAAAAGAGGAAAAAAGAGAAAGTGAAAATGCCAAGGAGGAAGCACTTGCAAGAATTACAAACAAAAATACGTGCACACAAACACGAATCAAGGATGAACCATGCCACACACGCAGACGCAATCACGTCACAAACGATGAAACCCCTACTAAGCAACACCACACTACAATAAAGGTTAATAATGTATTATGCATAACAATAACAAAATCTGCGGTCCCTGTTCCTCGCTGAACAGTAAAGCAATCTGAAAAATGTGTTCCCTGCCTTTCTTGGCAGTATAGCTAACAATAAACCAGCGGTCCCTGTCTCTCGCTAGACAGTCAAGCTAATAATAAAACTGCAGTCCCTGTCTCCCGCTAGACAGTCAAGCTAATAATAAAACTGCGGTCTCTGTCTCTCTCTTGCTAGACAGTAAAGCTAATAATAAAACTGATGCAATAATCTGGGAAAATTCAAACACCCTAAGCAAAACACATTCACACCCAGAAGGCAGATAATCAATTTACAGGTTCTTTTCCGAGGACATCGGGCAAGCTATTTACCTGTCTTTGGTGCCCTTCAGCAGCCGGCATAGACACGGAGCCAGGCCAATCACAAAGACAGGAGATATAGGCATGGTGCTAAATGCAATCATTATCGTATATGCAGAGGTGATCAATCTCTGTCCCGTCTCTGGAGGTCCTCGAGGTCAGCTGTCCATTGGAACACAGCCAGATGCCCCATGTTGGGCGCCAATTGTTGTAGTTCAAACCAAGTGTTTCATTATTTGAATATCTGTCCAAATTATTGAATAAAAGTGCGTGCACGCTCCTAAAGTAATTCACACCAGACACAAGTTTCAGGTTGATGAAAAACTTCAGGAATGTTTATTCAGGGGGCGGGAGGCCCTTTATAAAGAAATGAGTACATCATATGCATAATTATAAATAACAGTAAGTAAACATCAATATTTGGTTAGGTGTTACGTGTTTTATCTAATGCACATCCTACAAGGCGTGATGTCACTGTAATCACAGGATTTTACTCTGGATTCCAGTGCCATCTTCTTACACAAGGTAGTTAGTCGAAGGGAGGGGTTGCCTCTAGCAGCCATTTTGAGTAAATATTGAATATAGGTATACATGAGTAAATAGGCATTTTACTAATTTCTAATTTACGTCTATAATAATGGGTTAGAGAAAAGAAAAAGGTTACTATACGTAATCAGTACATTGGGCGAACAAGTAGAAAATTAATAAAAAGCATTTATGAACAATTTTATTTTTTTGTATATATTCTAGGTGTGGGTTTGTGAAAGTTTATGGTAAGAGGTTATCATTTTTTTAGGTAGTAAGCATTATTTTCACCATATTTGTGTTACTGTGTCAGGGAGATATATTATTTAACTTCTATTTTAGCCATCCGACTTTGAGAGACAATGATTTGCTGAGAGTGCTGAAGGTGGATTAACCTTTCGGGAGCTTGCTTATAGTAGAAAATTGTGGCAAAATAATTTGCAAAGTATATACTTGTTTTATGTGTGTTTTACCTTTTATATTCAGTAATTTGTTACTTGTTTTAAATTTAATATATTTACCTCTTTCTTCAGGTAAACAACTGCGGACTTCATTTAGTTTTGCAGACCTCACCAGTAGCCGAAAAAAACAAACAGGTAAATGTAGATTAGAAGTAATTATTATGAGCAGATGTGCATAACTTAACAGCCTGGTGTATTCCTTCCCCAGTTTTTTAGACCGTTTCAAAACTTCAAAAGCTTGTCTATTTAATATGCTCATTCTTTTGCCCTTGTCATTTGTGGAAGTGTTCACTACAAAATGTATCTTTAGCCACAGAATGGCTACATTTCAGTGCTAGATATAAATGGTTAATTTCTGCCTTTAGCATCTACATGGAACTCATGTTTGCTTGTAAGGATTCTGGACAGCTATTTAACTCTTCTTAGTTCACAACTTGGACGTAAGTCTGAATATAGTGCGCTTTTTAGTTAGTTACCATCACAACACCACCAGGACACTATAAAAGCTAGAGTTAGTCCCTGCAAGTGTCACCTGTGATTAAATTCTAGCATGTTGATGAAGTATTTGTTCATAAACATAATACATTGAATTTTTATACAGATAGATTATAGTTTTTTTTTTTTTTTGTGCAACATATCTCTTTGGACTTTTCCTTAAAGGGACAATAGGCATCATAACCCCTTGATCTCAATGGAGTGGTTATAGTCCTTGGAGTCATAGAGAAGGATTGGGTGCATGTTCAGAAATTGCTGCTCTCTATAAACATATTTGATTTAAGAGCAAAAGCTTGGGTGAAAATACTATAAAACAAGAAATATTTTAACATCTTTCTATCTAGGTGTAATGTTTTATATTTATTTGTTTTGCAGTATGAATTTAGATTAAGCAAAGAATCCTCCTCTGTTAACAGCCGTACCACTCAACACGATGGAGAAAGGAGCAGTGGTGGAAGGCAAGGTACTGGATAATTTGTCTATGAGAACATTTTTATTCACAAATTTAAAGGACAACCGTCATCAGATATTCACTTAAACATAGAAACATATCTATAGTTAGGATAGCCTTTTGTCTATCCCACGCATGCTTAAACTCCTTTACTGTGATAACCTCTACAGTTCTGTGCATTAATGAATGGTTAGGCCAGCTTGGGGGGGACAAGTTATACAATTTGGATATATGGTTAAAGTATATATGTGCTCTATGTTGTATGTCCACATTGTAAAGCTGACTTTCCATTGTGCATCATGCAAACCCACAATGCAATGCGTAATTTCAGTTCTTGAGATATGATGCACTGACATTCCTTTCCTCTAGTTAGTAGATACAAGTTTTCACAACTTTATTTAAAAAAAGGATTTTCTAGGTCTTAATTGACTAGTTTCCAAAGCAGACATTTCCATGGTAGCATAGTTAAATTGAAAGCTTTGTTAATGTTATATAGACTGATACAATAACTATTTCTTTTATTTTTTATTTTTTTTAAAGATGGAAGAGTTTCAAGTCCTGTCACACGTAGCAAACCGTCCTACATCCCAGTAACTACGAATGTCACAGAGGTGTTTGGCTCTGCTCCGAAATATGGAAAAGAGTACATGTCCTTGGGTGCACTCGGAGACATCCCAAGTCATTTGCTACCAAAACCCAGGTCCAAATCTGTCTCAAACTGTGCCAACCCCAACAACAACAACGAGGATATGTCAAAAGGTACTTGCAATGCATACATTTAAGCCTGGTAGAGGTGTACATTTTGTGAAGTGGTATCAATAATTTTATTCTTTGCTAAGGTTCTCTAAATATTATGTGTGGATTTGAGGTAATGGTTGGTTCCCATTGGTTATCCTTCACTCAATAATATTAATGAGATCAGTAAGAGTTTTAATGATCAATGAGGTAGTGGTTAATTTTGTTGAAATTATTTAAATTAACTATTTTAAAGGGTACCTTGCAGGAACTATTAACACTTTTTTATATACCCTTTGTTGAATGGCCGTTTCTGAATGTGCCTTTTCTAATTATTGGTTAGTCTTGGGGATTAAAAGTATAAAATGTATCTGTGCAGTTCATGAGCTAAATGAGTTCCTTAAAGGAACACTGACTATTCCTGACCCTATAGTGATAAAAACACCATCTAGCCCCCCTGGCCACCTTGCCCCCTTATATATAGTAAACTCTTACTTTCAGTCCAAACATCAGCACAACATACAAACACACTCCTGCAATCTAACACAAATATTACATACAAACACACCCCTGCATTCCATCTCCAAAAGGATATAAAAACACACCACTTCATTCAAACATAAATACTTCATACAAAAGTACATCCGCATTTAAACATCACCATTGCATTCAAACACACACCTGCAATCAAACACAAACATTACTTACATACAGACCCCTGTATTTAAACACTAAAATATTAAGGGTGTCGTGAACCTAAAAAGTTTGTGAACCACCACCTGCAATGTGCCTTCACGGACCAGAGGGGAGATAAGAGCTGAGCCTGCAGCTCCTCCAGTTACCATGGCAACGCTCCAGATCTCGCGAGAGTGAACTCTAGCCCTGGAGCTGCGGGCTAGAGTTCACTCTCACTGCTGGGACCACCAGGGATTACCCACCGGACCACCAGGGATTTGAGAAATGTCCCCCCTCCTCCCTCAGTAAAGGTAAGAAGGGAGGGGGGACAGGGAGGGGGGACATAAATATATTTATTTTATTAAATAAAAAAAGAAAAACATTATTAAAAAGCCTTCCTACCCTCCTTCCCTCACATACATACACTGCCCCCCCATACACACATTGCGCCACAAACATACACTGCCCCCCCATACACACATTGCCCCACAAACATACATTGCCCCACAAACATACACTGCCCCCATACACACACTGCCCCACACATACACTGCCCCCCATGCACACACTGTGCCACACACACATACAGTGCCCCCCCATACACACACACACACTGTCCCCCATATACATGCTGCCCACACATACACTGCCTCCCATACACACACTGCCCCACATACATTGCCACACACACACACATACACTGCCCCCACACACACTGCCCCAAACACACATACACTGCAAGCCTCACACACACACACACTGACCCACACATACACTCAGGGACGTATTAACCGCGAGGCAAACAAGGCATTTGCCTTAGGCGGCATTTTCCAGGGGGCGGCATTCCGTCTCCCTGCCTCACTCTGCGGCTCACGAGGGAGCTGAGCAGACCGCTCAGATGAAGTGCTCCCTCGCCAGACCCGCCTGCCCAGCAGCCACTGGACCCCAAGGGAGAAAGAGAACCCCCCAGCATTCCCAAAGGTAAGGAGGCTGGGGGTTAAATAAAAACGTGTTAATGTCAGTGATTTGTGTGTGTGTCTGTTAGTGTGTTTGCCTGTTAGTGTGTGTGTGTGTGTGTCTCTTAGTGTGTCTGTTAGTGAGTATGTGAGTCTGTTAGTGTGTGTGTGTGTCTGTTAGTGAGTGTGTGTGAGTCTTAGTGTGTGTTTGTCTGTTAGTGTGTGTGTATGTCAGTGTGTGTCTCTGTTAGTGAGTGTGTGTGTCTGTTAGTGAGTGTGTCTGTTAGTGTGTGTGTGTGTGTGTATGTATGTTAGTGTGTGTGTCAGTGAGTGATTGTGTGTCTGTTAGTGTGTGTGAGTGTGTCTGTTAGTGAGTGTGTCTGTTAGTGTGTGTGTGTGTGTGTGTGTCTGTTAGTGTGAGTGTGTTTGCCTGTGAGTGTGTGTGTGTCTGCTAGTGAGTGTGTGTCTGTTATCTAGTGTATGCGTATCTGTCAGTGAATGTGTGTGTGTGTGTGTGTGTATTTAGAAGGCGGAGCGGGGGGGGAAGGGTTGGGTGGGGGTGGCGCGGGCAAGGGGAGGGGGGCGCCTGAGTTTTGTCCTGCCTAGGGCAGCACAAAACCAGGATACACCACTGCATATACTGCCCCCTCACACACACACACACACTGAACTGCTCACACACACTGCAGCTCTCTCTCTCTCTCTCACACACACAAACACATACACTGCCCCCTAACACACACACTGCACCCCTGACATACACTGCTGCCCTCACGCACTCACACACTTCACCGCTCACACACTACACCCCCCACACACACACACGTGCAAAAATCAGAATGCCCTGCCTCTGGCTGGGGACTTGAATTTCTCAAATTATCTCACTCTCTCTGCAGCCTGCAGCCAGTGTTGTCGGCCGGCCTCTCCTGATGATGTCAAAAGGAGAAGGCATGACTTCCACTGCTCTTCTCCCAGGACCGCTGGGGAGTCTGGGAGAAGAGCAGAGGAAGTCACGCCACCTCCTCCTGACATCATCAGGAGAGGCTGGCCGACTCCACTGACTGCAGGCTCCAGATCCTGTCCCACCCCTTCTGGCCCAAGGTAAGACTCAGGGAGGGAAGGAATACATTTTAGTTTTTTTTTTATCCCCCTTCTTCAGCCCCTGTCCCTTTCCTCAGTCCTGTCCCCCTGCTCAGCCCCTGTCCCCCTGCTTAGTCCCTGTCTCTTTCCTCAGCCTTCTCCCTTTCCCCAGCCCTGTGCCCTTTTCCTAAGCCGTGTCTCCCTTCCTCAGCCCTATCCCCCTTTCATCAGCCCAGTCCCACTGCTCAGCCCCTGTCCCTGTCCCCATTCCCCTTTCCTCAGCCCTGTCCCCCTTTCCTCAGCCCCTGTGCCTTTACTCAACCACTGTCCCCTTGCTCAACCCCTGCCCCCCTCCTAAGGCCCTGTCCCCTTGCTCAGCCCCTGTCCCCCTCCTCAGCCCCCGTCCACCTTGCTCGGCCCCCGTCCCCCTTGCTCCAGCGTCAGATAACAGACCAAATGTCTGTTAGGATTCCGTAAACGCTACCAGTGGCTGTCTGGCAGACAGCCACTAGGGGCAGACTTAGAGCTGCAATGTAACTGGAACTGCAATGTTTTCTATTGCAGCACTAAGTGCAATAGGGGCACAGCACCCAGACCACTTCAGTTATCTGAAGTGGTCTGCGTGGAGTGTCCCTTTAATGGTACACAAAAGAAGTACTGTATAATATCCCAAAAGAAAACCAAATGATAATGCTAAACACCCAAAAGTGTACCTCACATACACCAATATAATATATAACAAGAAAAGTAAATCTAAACCACACCAAAAAAGTAAAAGTATAGATTAAAGGGGTAGCATACAAATATCATAAAAAAATACAACCTGTATATAACAGGGAATGATCTTGAGAAAATCTAGAGGATACAAAAAAATCACACAATGGTGAAGTATGTAAAGAAAATATAACTCAATCCCGGAGGTAGAGAACTTACAAAAAAAGCTATATAGAGCAGTATTGTAAAATAAAGTACATTTATTTACACTGATTGCACTTACATTTAAACTGCAGTTAGCCAGCGTATCTCCACTAACAAGTGGAAGCATATAAGGAAGGTCAGATTACAGCAAGTGGAGTTACAGTCAAAAAAATACAGCAGAAAAGAATATGCATAAAATAAAAATAACAATAAAAACTGGAAAACAAATGTCCAGATCTTTAATCCAACGCGTTTCGTCGTTTATAGACTTCTTCAGGGATGTGAATAGATCAGAGGAACTGTTTCCTTATATACTAGTAAATGTAGATGATTTTCGAAATTAGCCGCGAAAATTCTATCACTTCCGGGTTCCGTCTGTCCCCGTCTCTTATTGGCTGGACGTAATGACGACCACGTTCATAGGCACAGACGTCAAAATAGCTTTTTTCCCTTTGAGGATTTGGTATTCTAAATATACTTTCGCCTACATCGTAAGATCCTTTTCAAAGAAAGTCAAGCACCTTCCTAAGATACCCTGCAAACCCTGCAAAAGAGGGAGATAAGCGCAGATCATCAGTATCTTTTGTAAGTTCTCTACCTCCGGGATTGAGTTTTATTTTCTTTACATACTTCACCATCATGTGATTTTTTTTTTTTGTATCCTCTAGATTTTCTCAAGATCATTCCCTGTTATATACAGGTTATATTTTTTCATGATATTTGTATGCTACCCCTTTAATCTATACTTTTACTTTTTTGGTGTGGTATAGATTTACTTCCCTTTAATGTTAACCTGTTATCTTAATTCTTTGTGCTTACTTGCTGTACATTTTACCACTTAGGTAGCAAGCTATTTTATTTTGTATTCAAGTGATGTATTGCAGCAGTAGTGATTGGAGGGAATATGTACAGAATAGCTCAGTCGTTAGTGCTCCAAATGGTTTGTCTTTAGCCTCTATGCAGTCTGCAGACTAAATACACCACAGTTACAACTAAGCTTTTAATTAATTGAGGTTGAGCAAGAGACTGACAATTTTATAGTTATAATAATGTACCTTGAGAAGTGTTTGCAAGCAAGCAAAAAAACAAAATTGATCTTTCCTGGTTAAATAATATTATATTATTGTGTAAAATAAAAAGGTAAAATAATAAAGAAAAACCATAAAGGCAAATAAAAAAAGGCTTCTATCCATTATCTTATGCTGCACTGCAAGCTAACACTGTGTTCTCTGATTGTTTATCATTTAAACATTTTACATAGAACAATTCAGTTACATAAGAAACTTGCCAAGGCCAGAACCAGGTTGTCCCGTTGTGCACCGTACTCCAGAGGAGAAAGCCATCTGCCCAGACAAACTTAACTTAGAAAGGTAACCTCAGCTGAGATGTTTTTTTTTTTTATCATGGTAGCGGGGTAAATCTAAAAACAAACGTGCCCTTTGCTAATATGTTTTGCCCTTTTTTTGTAAAACAACCAAAACTCGTGTTCATACATGAGAGAAAAACAGCAACGCACAGTTCAACAAGTATGAAATTAAATAGCGTATTCATGTTATTTTGTGAGCAGAATCTTTAGACCAAGGCTGAACTACAACTCCCATGATTCACTGGCTATATGTATCATTGAAAGAATCATGGGAGTTGTAGTTCAGCAAAATCTGCAGGGCCGCAGGTTGGACAGGCCTGCTTTAGACCGTTCAAAAGGAAAAAAAAGGCCTGGATTGCTGTTGTGAACGTATTTCAGTTGTCTAAAGCCAAGTAAGTGAAATCACAAGGTATTTTTGTTTGTTTTTAAAAAAAAAAAATACTTTTATATGTCAGTGTGCAGCATCCTAATTAATACAGTAATATATTGTAGCTTAATTAAATATTGAAAAAAACTGTTAAATAAATGAGCTTTCAAGGTCATGGGAAGAGTCTATAATGAGCAGTTCTGGGCAAAATGAAAAAGTATCCCTCCCAACATTGAGAGCTATGGAAATATGTGTTTAAAAGCTAGCAGAGATAAAAGCGAGACTCTCTAAAAACATAGCTTGGAGTTGTGTGTGCTCATTTAAAAAGGAATATTGTTTTACATTTTTATTGATAGTATCCCGTTTGATACACATTTTATGCTATGTAACATTTGCTTGTTTTGTTTTGATTCATTATGTTCTTAGTAGTAAATTGAATGCTTGCTGTATTTAACTGTTTTTCAGGCAAAAGCTGAATGTCTGTCCTATAATAGAAGGGGAGGAAAATCTGCGATTATTATATTTCCAGCACAACTTTATTACAAAAATCCAGAATTTATCAAGTCTGCAGCGCCTTATATTTCTAGATTTGTATGACAATCAAATTGAAGAAATAAATGGTCTTTCAGCTTTACGATCTTTGCGTGTCCTCATGCTGGGAAAGAATAGGTACTGGTTCATTTTTTACTGTAATATATTAACATATCTGCAGGAGTTGAAAAGTATTCCTCGGATAAGGAGTCAGCAATTGATTTTGCAGAGAGTTGTGTGGGGGTGGGTCTTTGTTTTTTTTTGTTTTTTTTTACTAAAGTGTGATGCGCTATTTTATAACCTAATTAACAAAGTATTAGGTTCCATAAGTATTATATCTAGGAGGCAGGGCACCCTGCCTCTGGAGTTTGTTAGGCAAAAGGCCCTAGGTTTGTCATTTAATCGGATCTCTGATCTTTAATACAAATTAGAGGACTTCTGTGAATATTTAAATGCCTTTGTTATTTAAAAGGGAAGTCTAAGTAACCTATACTCAGTGTAGTGGTGATGCTGCCAAAAGTCAATGTGCATCTCTTTCCGTTTTATGTCAGACCATTTGGAAGCAGTTTGACAAAAACCAGTGCATTACCTTGCAGCCAGAGCACTTGGTAATGCAGAAGTGTAATTTCAGCATTATAAAGGCAACTGAAGAGAGGTGGTTTCTGGTTTGGCAATAGCATTGCTTTCTTGTCAAATCAGTCTTAAATTGAGAATGCAATTTTTAAATAGCCTATCAAGCAGTCAGGGGACATAATTTCTTAATACCATTAAAGGACAACTGCCATCATATTGTCATTTCTCATTTTTTAAAAGTTTATTATTTAATGAAACTTAATCATTTTTTAAAATGATGCCCATTAACTGATCTCAGACAATTAATGCAATTCTGTGCATGGTAAGATGCATATAATTGACATTGCAGCTAGAGTTCTGGGCTGGCTGATGACACCCCTGTCATGCTGCTAGAGGTAAAGTTCAACCTCCGGCAGCAGAGGGGTTTATCTCTGTGCAGTGAAATGCTGAAGGGGTCATGGTGTCTAGAGCAACCATGTATTTCTTATTTTTAATGATGTATATTGATTATTATTTATTTTTTTAATCTTTTTTTTTATTTTTTATCATGCCTGCTGCTGCATTTGGTCTGTTTTCTCTATGTGAACCTCCAGCAGTAGGCATGTTACGCTGTGCAGTTGTTTAGACAACAGTAGAATCTGACTCAACATGGCTGCTCAACAATATAAGGAAGTGACAAAAACAATATGCATCATTAAAAAACAAAAAACTGTTATTGTGTTAAATGTTATAAACTTTTTGAAATAATGAGAAGTCAAAATGTTATGACCGTTGTCCTTTAAAATGGAGTTATCTCAAAAATCGAAACAGAGAGAGGCTCTTCTGCAAACATAAAACTTTATTTGTATGTGATTATTTTACAATTATTCATTTTATGTGGAAGATAATGTGTTAATATATTTGGTCAAATAGTAAATTGTTTTATTTCAATTCATCTTTCAGAATTAAGAAAATTGCAAACCTGGAGAGCCTTAAAAGTCTTGATGTTTTGGATTTACATGGGAATCAGGTATGGGTAAACGCACAATTCATTCTTCCTGTATAGAATGGATCCAGTGGTATTACTTGCTACAGTACTGCTGTTTGTTCACCTTTTACAAATTGTCCAGCAGACATCTGCAAAAAAGTACACTTTAAGCAAAGACACAGAGGTCTCTCAATCATGGGATTTCTAGCATTACATCTTTGGAATGTAATTGCAGCTAAACTCATTGTGTAATTTCAACACTACTCATTATGTACATATGGAACTGATTTGTTTGCATTTGCAACCTGTCTTCAAATGGTCTGCATTTGCCTTATTAGCTTGTTTTAAGTGTTACCATTAAAGGAACACTCAAGCTTTAGAAAACAATATATCTATTTTAAACATAACTATGTCCGTGTGCATGTTTGTATTGTTGGCCCCCATTTTTAAAATAAATAACCCCCCACCCATTAAAAAAAACAAAACAAAAAAACCCTTCACTTTAATCCTGTGCTGCCTTATTATCGGCTCAGCCGCAAGTTTTTATCACTTAGTGATCTCAGGCCAGTCCAATGTTTCATAGAGAAGTCTCAGGCCAGGGGAACTGTGGCTAGGGTTACATAAATAAAGTGAGTAAGCTCCTATATAGCAGAGACTCGAGGAATGAGACTGCAGAGGCATGGTCTGCACACCAAAACTAATTCTTTAAAATAAGACTTGTTGGTGCTTAGAGTATTCCTTTAAGTCTTACTGACAAGCCTTTAATCGCAAAAAAAGATGTTGTTCACGTTGTTTAATACATATAATACTACGTTTGGGGGAGAGAAACTTCATATGCAAATATAGGAAATATCTACTGTATCTATCCTTCTTAGACTGATCACAGGTGACATGCAATCTTTTAGAATTGAGTCAGACAATCTAACAACTCTTCTATGCATCTTCTTAAGGTTTCATTGGACGGGGGTGTAATTTAAAGCCAGATCTGAAATCTGAAAATGAGAAGAAAGAGATGATTGAAGCATAATAAATATGATATGATTCGGACATAGAGATTTGGCTGTAAGGGTATTGGAGAAAGATTTAAATAAAAGTAGGAATTGCTCCATGAGGTGTGATATTGAACAGAAAAGTTAGTTTGTGAGAAAACGGGAGTAGTGATTGGTCCCCAAAGGATGGCTGAAATTGTGGGAAAATGGGAAGAGAAATTGGCAAAGGAAAACATATATAGGGTATTACATTAGGAACAGCAGTGAGATGCAGTGGGAGGAAAGAGAAAAAAATATGATATTGAGTGAACTGCAAAACAAAGTGCTGGCTCCCAAAGTTGGGAAGCAGTGGGTCACATTTTGTTAAATCAATGCACGGTGTAATTGAGATTTGAAGTCATATTTTCCATGTTGCAAATAAATCTACAGTTCAATATTACCTATGTTCTGCTTGAAGGAGCCCTATCCAAAATTTAATGACACTAATTCTTACCGTGTTAGTTTCAATATATGGTAGAAGCGCTTAATTGGTATACGTTTACAGTTCAAGAGAGCTAAAAAGGATTATAGCTTAATACTGGTCCCGAAAAGGAAGCCCACAATGCGAAAGACCCACTTTCAGAAAGATCATATCCACATACACAGCCTTGATTTTCTATTAAATGGATTAATGTCATGGAGCACTTGTATAAATTGTCAATGATTAGCTACTGCTCTTACTAGGATAATAATGATGAGTCAGGTGCGTGTTTCTGAATATTTTTATACTGTGCTCTTTGCTTTAACATTCCAGGATTCAATAAAGGATAATGGTTCTTTGGCAGTTGAATGATTACCCTTGGGAGGATATTGAGCTTTAAGCTCTCATGGTCCAAAAGGAAGCTGAAGTGCACTTGTAGTTTTATCACAAATCGTATGTCATTTTAATCTCTAAGATGACTAAAGTTTAGTTCCCTGTTTCCTCTCTAATCAATCAAAATACTAATTTCAAATGTGAACCCGTTGATATTTCTGAAGGGCCAGATTATAATGATTAATAAAAGCAGGTTCTTTAAAATTTATTTTGAAGCACATTTTTATGTCTAAATGGGAAGAAGTATTGCTAGGTACCAATTAGATAATGTTAGAAAACCTTGTGTTGTCTTTAACAAAGGTCTTTTTTTAATTGAGGAGCAGTTATCAATTAGGAATTCAGTATGGGCTATGTGTGAAGCATGCAAAAAGAACATTGCTCACATTGTGGCAGCAACACAAACCTGTGTTTTATGCTTAATCTATTATATGTTTTTTGTGTATTTTTTTCTAGAGACATTAGTTGTATGAAAGTAAAACAGCTTGACAGTTATGTTGGTGGACATATCATCCAGGTTCACTGCCTCAGAAATGGTCAGTATCAGAAATAGTCTCTGGTTGTGAAGGGGGACTGATGTGGGAGTTCCGCGAACGGTATGCATTGTTGGTTCTTGTAAAATTGGTGTATGCGTGTCAGGTCGTTATCTTCAAAGCGTGTAAAATCCTTTGGGACCATGCCAGGTGCGAATTTCGTGTTTCGAAGGATAGGCATGAGTGGGGAGGGATGGGGAATGAGATCGTGTTTTTCGGTGATTTTATCCCATGTTTTGATCGTTGTGCAGAGTGCAGGGGAGGTGGGGGGATGGGCGGTCTAGCTTGTTTTGGAAGCCAGATGTATAGGGATGGGAAGTCGTTACCAAAGATGATATGTTCCAGGTCCACCCAACGTTTTAAGCCGTATGCGGCATGTAGTTGGATTGTTTGTGCTATTTGTGCGGCCTGGAAATATAGGGTGAAGTTAGGTAGTCCGAGCCCGCCGGCTCTGTTCGGTATGTACAGTGTTTGGCGAGCGATCCTAGCCCTTTTACCGGCGAATTTGTCTATGTTGCTTTGTAGTTTTTTTTTTTTTGTTTGTTTTTTTTATTTGCATTTTATGGAATTTCACAGTCGTATTACAGGTATACAGGGTATGCGAGTTACATTCATGAGTACAGCATAGAGAGTGCAACTATTAAGCAGCATGTATTGACAATGTGCTATCATAACCGTACATTGATGAGAACCAGTTTAAAGCATACATGTAGTAGTGATATTATAGGTACACCATTAAACAATATGTCATTAAACAGAGTATCCTGACATTGCTATTATGCCCATATTTGTGTAGCTCTCCTTCTTGTCCATTGGGCGTGATAGTTGGAGTTCTCTCTTCGCTTTGCCAGTGTCGATAATTGCTCAGTTGTAAAAGTAACCCGCATCTTCCCTGGTGCCTAGCTACTTTCCAGTGAACAGGGGAATGTAAACTTGGGGCATAACCTGGGTGTAATGTGGGGAAAAAGGGAGAGGTAGAGGAGGGGAGGGGGGCGGGTGTTGGTCCCTTAGCTTAGTCCAGCTTTTAGGCCTATTCGTTGGCCTCAATAAATTGCACCAGTGTACGCAACCAGCTTAAGTAGGAGGGGGTAGTATGTGCAGGCTTCCATATGGTCAGAGAGTGATGTTAAGAAGGTTTGCTTAGTACTCTTCCCTTAAAGCATTGTCTTGTGGGCTACAACGTAAAGGTGTTTAGAGTGTTTAAGTGTCACTGTGTCTGTTGGTATGTGTCCCATTTTTCCCACGCCTCCTTCCAAAATTTTTTCGGGGGATTGTTGGACCTGGCCATTATCTCATACCCCTTTATGGTTTCAATGTGGGTTATGCAGCTCTGTATGTTGGGGATCGTCTGCTTTTGCCAGTGTTTGCTGATATGTAACAGAACTGCTAGGATAATGTGATATATTAAATATCGGGATGATTTTGTATGGCTTGGTGGTATGTACTGTAGGAGGTAATGCTCGGGGGTATGTGCGAGAGATACACCTGTAGTGTTTTTAATTAGGGTCTGTGTGTCCGTCCACAATGGTGTCAAGACCGGGCATTCCCACCAAATGTGTAGCATGGAGCCTTGGGCTTTATTGCTTCTCCAGCACAGTCCTGTATTCTTAGGTATCATATGTTTCAGTCGGGATGGTACTAAGTACCAACGATATAATAATTTCCTGGCTAGTTCTAGATGGGCTGTGCTAAGTGTAAGTTTCTTATTCTCACATAGTACATATGACCACTGCTCTTTTGTTAACTGTTTTCCTAGTTCCACTTCCCATGCTTTTACAAACTGTAGTGTATGCGGGTCTGGTACACGATAATGGTGATTGTACAGTGTAGAGATTAGCTTAAGTGGCCTTTTCGCCTGTGTGCAGAGACTTTCTAATGCATTGAAAGTGTTCCACCTGTTTGCTGCAGGCAGTGCTTTTCTATTTGTCTGCAGCCATGAGTTTATCTGTCTGTACGCAAATGCTGCTGCATTGGGTAATTGGTATTTATTTTGCAGTTGGCTGAAGGGGATGATCTCTCCCTGATCAAACAACTGATGTAAATATATCAGACCTCTATTGCTTCAGGACGTTATGTTCAATGAAGGTATCAGTCCATAAAAGGAATCTAGGAGGAAGGCTGGTGAGAGCCCCCCATCAAAACCTTGTTCCTTGTGAAATCTGTTCCATTCTCGTAATGTTGTAGCTGTGAGTGGTGACATATCTTTATATTTTTTTCTGAGTTGTGGTGGAGTCCAGGCTAGGTGCGTTATTTTTTGTCCCCCAGTTAGGTCAGCCTCTACAGTTACCCAAGGGGATGGTTTGTCATATTGGTGTAATTCGTTGACCAGCGGTGCAAGTATAGCTGATCTGTAGTACGTGGCTATGTGTGGTAATCCCATTCCCCCTCCTTTATATGTGAGGTACATGATTTTTGCCGCTATTCTGGATTTCTTATGGGACCAGACAAAGGTGTTAATCAATTGTTGTGCGTCGTGAAGGAATGTTTTTGAGAGCCTAATTTGTAATGTACGGAACATGTATTGCAGTCTCGGGAGAATTTTCATTTTGACTGCTGCTATTCTACCTATCCATGATATGTATTTCCCTTTCCAATTCGCCACCTGCTGTTTTATGGATGTAAGGAGTTTGCCGTAATTCTCCCGATGTAAGTTCCTCTCTAGTCTCGTAAATTTTATGCCCAAGAAGGTTAGGTGGTCTTGTCTCCATTCATAATGGTATTTCTGTTGCAAGGCTGTATACAGCGATGCGGGTGCATGCAGACTCATTGCTTGCGTTTTAGAACTGTTCAATTTGTAATATGAGCAATTGCTGTACTGTTGCAACAGATTCTGGAGTTCTGAGATAGAGGTGAGTGGGTCAGACAAGGAGAGCATTACGTCGTCTGCAAACATCGTTATTTTGTATATTTTATTTTTAATTTCCACACCTCGGATTTGGCTGTTATCCCGTATCGCCTGGGCTAATGGCTCTAACGCAAGAATGTATAAGGCTGGGGAGAGCGGGCATCCCTGCCGTGTTCCGTTTGTGATAAGGAACGGCTTGGATACAAACCCGCCATTCGCAACCTGTGCTGATGGCTTGGAGTATAGTGCCGAGAGTAGGGATAGGAATTGTTGTGGGAATGCAAATTTTTGTAGGACAGTTCTCAGGAAGTTCCAGTGTAGTCTGTCGAACGCCTTCTCGGCGTCCAGGGATATAAAGACCCTGGACTCTCCGAGAGGCGTCCCATTATAGAGGAGGCTGTGGAGCTTCCTAGTGCCGTCAGTCCCCTGTCGCCCCCTCACAAATCCCACTTGGTCCGGGTGTGTAATAAAGGGGATTAGGGCCGCTACACGATTGGCGTATATTTTGGCTAGGAGTTTCGTATCTGTGTTTAACAGTGAGATAGGTCTTAAATTTTTTGGTTGCGTGGGTGGTTTCCCTGGCTTTGGTAGCGTGGCTATGTGTGCTAATAGCATTTCCGATGGCATCTTCCCTGTGTGTACAATATGATTCAGTGTGTGTACTAGATAGGGGCTCAGGATGTCCGAGAAGACTTTGTAGTAAGTATTCGTGAAGCCATCTGGCCCGGGTGATTTCCCCGAAGGGAGTGAGCGGATAGTTTGCTGTAACTCTGTCAGTGTAATCGGTTCTATCAGGGAGTCCTGCTGTTGTTGTGTTAATTTTGGCAATTTTATCTGTGAGAGGAAGTTATCAATTTCTACTTGTGTTGGCTGATGCGTTTGGGGATCCTTTGTTAGGTTATACAGGTTTTGGTAATAGGCTGCTGTTTCTTCATTAATGTCTATGGGGTTATATATTTTCCCACCTGTGCTGGTGAGTAAATATGGGATTTTGGAGTGGGCTTGGTGATGCCTCAGTAAAGATGCAAATTTTTTCCCTGCTCTGTTTCCATGGGTGTAATGCTTCAATTTGAGTGTTTGTAGAGTGCGCGCTGTTTTTTGAAGTAGGAGATCATTTAATTGATTTGTAGTTTGTTCTATTTCAATGTTGAGGCCGGGGGTGGGGTGTAGAAGTTGGGCTGCGTTTAGGTCGCGCAGTTTGGTCAATAGTGCGAGGCTCGCCTGTTGAGAGGTCCTGTTTAGGAAGGACGCTCTGCTAATGAGCTGACCTCTAATAACTGCCTTATGTGCCTGCCAAGAGGTAGTAGGTGATATGTCAGGTTGGTTGTTAAGTTGGAAATATTTACCTATCTCAGTCCCCAATTCCTTTTGAAAAGTGCCGTTGTATAGGAGGGTATCATTTAGTCGCCACGGGGCTTTCCCTCTGTGTTTGTAAGTATCCTGGGTTATGAGGGTCACCGGAGCGTGGTCCGACCACACTATGTCCCCTATGTTACTCTGTATTGTGGAGGGCACCAAATCTCGTGACACCAATATGACGTCTATTCTGGAGTGGGTTCCATGCACCTTGGAATGGAAAGTGTAACTTTTGTCGTTCGGGTGTTTCGTTCGCCATATGTCATATAAATTTGTGGTCAAGTAAGAGCTTGGTGATGGCTTTGCATTGTGGTATTAAGGATCTATGTCTGGGAGTATTAGGCGACACTGTCGTGTCCATAGTCGGTTGGAGAATATGGTTCATGTCGCCGCATATTATGATGCCAGCTCTGTGCTCGTGGGGTAATTTGCTCAGTACTTTATGCAAAAAATTGCGCTGGTTAGAGTTAGGGCTGTATATGCCTACTAAGGTATATATGGCTCTGTTAATTTGACAGTGGATTATTAAGTACCGACCTTGTGCGTCTGTTTTAATGTTTAGCAGTTCAAAGGTGAGCGATTTGTGAAACAAAAAGGACACTCCCCTTGTTTTGGAAGAATAGGTCGTATGATACTGCGTCGGATAGTCTTGTTTCCCAAATTCTGGTATTCTCCCACGCACAAAGTGCGTTTCCTGAAGGAACATAATATCTACTTTAGCTATCTTAGTTTCCTCTAACAGAACTCTGCGTTTGTGAGGGGTGTTCAGTCCCCGTACGTTATGTGAGTATATTTTCATAGTGTACTGTTATATGGGTTGGTCGCTGAGTTTTTAGTTTACTTCTGATTGTATCTTCTATTCGCGTGTGTATGTTAGTTGTGCTCGTATCAGGCAAGAGTGCCCCTGTGGGGGTACTAGTGGTCATAGCTGGTATGGGTAGTGGCTTGGACTTTTTCATCCTTGCGGGACTAGGGTCAAGAACATGGGGAGGTGTAAACCGGGTAGAAACAGAAACAAAGTATATACATAGATGGGTCTTGGTACTGGTGGTGAGTACCGTGGGGGTGGAAACTTGCATGTTTCCGTGTCATGGCTATGGGTCTTCCGCTATCTTTTAACCTTGGGGGCGGTCGGTCGCACTAGGTCACCCATGCAGTAAGTACTAAGAGTCGTATAGGCTCTTTGGTATGTGTACAGTTGTTTTAAGAAAAGGGATAGATGGTAGTAGGACTAGGAGAAATTTTTGTCAGGCATATTTGTAAATACATATATATATACACATAGATTCATCATAATCTGCAGCTGGTAAGCACATCCAGTAGAGCAGCATCTTACTCCCTAGCAGCTGGGAGGGCTCGTTAGGGTAATGGGTATCTATTGATTACAAACAGAACTTATGTTCTACCATTTTTTTTTTTTTTTTTATCTCTAAGCAGTATAACAGTGTTGCCCTCACACTATACTCTTGATGAGGCACACGGAGAGAATGGGTGTGTCCTCTGCAAATCATCGCCCCTCCCGTGAGCTACAGGTTGCTAGGGGGGGTCCGTTCAGCCCCATACCTCCATTAAGTGTTGGGGAGTTATTGCTTGCCAGCTTAAGTAGCCTTAAGGAACTATGTAGTTTAACTTGTTATAGCCAATCCGTGTTAACCTGAATTTTTTTTTTTTTATATATATATATATATATATAGACCTTGTGATATCTTCCCCAGCCCTCGGGTCCATTGCAAGCACCTATGTATAATCAGATTTATACTTGCGGATGTCCAGCAGTTCATGCATTGTGCCAGTCCAGTGGGATGCGCCTGGCAGGTGGGGTGTGAGGATCCGGTCTTTGGTCCATGAGTCCCCAGGATTGTAGTCCATCTTCAGGTGATGTGATGACATGGGTGGTGTTATCTTTCGTCACCAACATTTTGGTAGGGAAGCCCCATCGGAATCTGAGGCCATGAGCCCTCACGGAGTTGGCTACCTGAGCGAACTCTTTCCTTCTACGAAGAGTGGACGCCGAGAGATCTGCAAAAATCAGCAGGTTTGGGTAACCTTCTAGTGGTGTCGCTTTATTTCTGCTTGACTTGAGTATAAGCTCTTTAATATGAAAATAATGCATTCGCAGTAGCACATCCCGCGGTGCAGTTTCTGGCAAGAACCGTGGTCTAGGCAGACGGTGTATTCGGTCCACGAGTAACATATCGGTTGGTATGTCCGGAGCATAAGCGTTAAACACGCCTCTGACATATGCCTGCAGGTTCTCCGGCACAACATCCTCCGGGATCCCTCTAATGCGCAGGTTGTTCCTGCGTGCGCGATCCTCCAGGTCAGTTATTTTATTTTTGTTCCAGTTGTTCCACATGAGAAGCTATGTCATTGTGTGCTGTAGCAAATTCTGCCATCTTGTTCTCCATGTGGGAGGTGCGCTTGCCTAATTCTTGCATGTCCTTCCTCAGCGAATCCGCTGTGTGTTGCCACGATGTAATTAGCTTGCTTGACAGGGTGTCCAAAGCTTGTTGTAAATAGCTCTTGGTAAGTTTGTCAGGATCACTTTCCTGCAGTGCTGCTGTGTTCTCTAGGCTGTCAGTAGCGGAGCCGCCATCTTGTGACCAGGCCCGAGCCTCCTCCGGTTCCTGGTGCGGTTTATGTCCAAAGAAATTAAGTTTTTCCGCTTTGTGTGCAGATTTCTTGCCTCTCTGCTGTGCCATCTTCGTTTTTTTAGCAGTTGTGCCGCCGTGTTGCGTTAGATGGAGTCAGATTGCGACCCGTGTTGCCGGAGTGAAAGGATCACACGTCCATTCCTCTCGGCGGTTAGCCACGCCCCCCGCTTTGTAGTTTTTTTAAAGTCGGACGCGAGTATGGGGATCGGGAGGGTTTGGAAGAGATATAAGAACCTCGGAAGGAGGTACATTTTTACCGAGGCCATTCGTCCCAGCCATAAGATCGACATGTCCTTTTCCAGGTCCCGTGTTGCTTTGTTGAGTAGGGGTATATAGTTTTGGTTGTAAGTTTGTGTCAGGTCGGCTGGGAGGACAGTACCTATATATTTGATGGTGGAGGACTGGTAACTGAATGGGTGTCGGGTTTGGAGGGTTTGAAGGTTGATGTGGTCGATCCGGATCGGGAGGGCTTCAGTCTTATTGAGGTTTAGCTTGTATCCGGAGACCTTTGCGTATTTGTCTAGTGCTGTGATCAGGGGTGGGAGTGAGTTCAATGGGTCTGTAACTGTTAGGAGAATGTCATCCGCATATGCTACGATTTTGTACATTTCGTCTTGGACCTGTATACCCTGTATGTCGTTGTGGTTTCAGAGAAGTTGGAGGAGAGGTTCGAGGGATAAGGCAAATAAGAGAGGGGGCATCCCTGACGTGTGCCATTCTTGATTTGGAAGGATGGAGGTGTGGAGGGGGGTAGAAGAAGGTTAGCTGTGGGAAAGGAGTATAGTGTGTGTAGGGCATTTATGAATGGTAGTGGGAATCCAAATATCCATACTGTCGCGAAGAGAAAGGGCCATAATAGTCTGTGAAATGCTTTTTCAGCGTTGAGGGAGAGGATTAGGGTAGGGATTCGTCGGTGGTCGGCGTACCATATAAGGTCGAATGTTCGTCTCGTGTTGTCACTAGCTTGTCTGTTCGGGATGAACCCGACCTGGTCTGGGTGGATAAGTCTTGGTAGGAGCGGGTTGGGTCTTTCGGCCATAAGTTCTGTGAATAGCTTAACGTCTATGTTAAGCAGTGAAATAGGTCTATAGTGGCCGGGATCGAGCTGGGATTTGCCAGGCTTCGGAAGGAGGCAAATGTTTGCCTGTAGCATGTCTGGGGGTATTGGGTCCCCTTGGAGTTAAAGAGGTTGCATAGGTGTGAGAGTAAGGGTGCGGCGAAGGTCTTATAATATAGGCCAGAGATGCCGTCCGGGCATTTGTTCGGTTTTAGTGTTTTGAGCGGGTTCGCTAATTCTTCCGGTGTAGCGGTCGCTGTTAGTCTCCTGGCTCCTTTAGGCGTCAGTGAGGGTAGGGTGATAGAGTCGAGGTAGTCTCCTATTTTGGAGGTGAGTAGGGTGGGATCGAGTCTGTGTTGGGGGCTGTGGTCGTAAAGTTCCGAGAAGTAGAATTTGTTTCATGTGTGGTTCCGTCTTTTGAGTGGATTTTAGTGATGTGTTTGTGGGCTGCCCTACAGTTGAGTTTGCGTGCGAATAGTGTGTCTGCTTTATTGGACTTTTCGTAGAAGAGCTGCCGCGTCCGTGTCTGCGGACATAAAGTCTTTTATGGCCACCTGGCATTGGGTTATCTTAGTGTTTAGTTCAGGAGTGGGTTGCTGTTTGAATTTGGTTTCTAAAGAGCGGAGTTCGTTTAGGTTATGTTCCAGGGTCACTAGTCGTTGCTTTTTGTGGTATGAGGCCAGGCTTATAAGGGAGCCTCTGATTACGTTTTTATGAGCTGCCCACAATGTGCCCGGTGAAGTTAGTGAATGTTTATTCAGAGAGAAGTAGTCTGTGATGGCCTGTGAGGTGGCTTTGTGGATAAGGGGGTTATGTAGCAACGTGGGGTTTAGCCGCCAAGACCATTGTCTGGTTGTGTCTAGTGGTTCGAGATTGAGTGTGATATCGGTGTGGTCTGACCACGTTATCGATCCGATGCTCGTGGATTTGGTCAGAGGAAGTAGTGATGGTGATTTTAAAAACGTGTTTCTGCGTGAATGGGATTGGTGTGGGTGAGAGTAGAACGTGTAGTACCGAGTGGTGGGGTGCTGGGCTCTCCACACGTCGATGAGTCGGGTTTGTGTGAGGAAAGTTTGAAAGAGTTTGGCGGATTTGGCGGTAGAGGTGCGGGGTTTCCTGTGAGGACCCATTCTTCGTAGATCTATCGCCGGGGATGAGGTGGCATTAAAGTCTCCACCCATCACCTGGTGATGTGAGGAGAATAATGCGAGGTGGGCTTGTATCGTGTGCCAGAAGGAGCTTGACGGAGCGTTGGGTGCATATATGGAGGAGATGACGTACTTTTGAGTGCCGATTCTCCCAGCGATCGTGAGAAAACACCCTAGATAAAGCAGAGTTTTACTCTGCTATTTCCTAGAATGCGCCTCTAGTGGCTGTCTGATTGAAAGCCACTAGAGGCGTTTTAACCCTGTAAATGAAAACAGAACAGCAATGTTTACATTGCAGAGTTAAATGGGGGGACATGGCACCCATACTACCTCATTGATGGTCTGGGTACCTAAAGTGTCCCGTAACTCGCATAACTTCCTTCTTATGGATGTAATGTAGATATTATAATAACATCTTTATCTCGGGACATACTTAGAAAGCTTGTGATAGCTAAATGTATAATTACTGGTCAAATTCTGTGGCTTACTATTACTATTAACATTGTATCTCATGTTAAGACCTGTAATATGTAGATTTTTGCATGGATGTGCACCATGAAAATATAAACAATACCAGAAATTAACATTTGTGCTGCTTACTGTTACTTCCCAGTACTCTTTATTTGTTTTTGCAATCGTCCCATTCCTTGTTTTCACTGAGTACTTTGAAAATATATTCAGAATTATTCTGAATATTCTATTGCTAAAAGGACTATAACCACCACAGTGAAGTCTGGCAGCTGGGTCCTGCAAAGTTGCCCAGTCCTGAACAGCCTGCAGCTAGAGTTTTGCCCTGTCCCAAACAGTCTACAGCCAGAGTTTTCATAACGAAATGGAGGAAATGGTGCCATACCAGGGGTAGTGAGCAATAATTGGGTGAGGGCAACAGCTGAGCTTCCTTGGCTAATCATTGCCCTAATATCTGAAATTAATTGATATATTCTTAGACGGAGACCAGGCTGTAGCCTGAGAGGGACAGAGTGTCTCTGCTAAATGGTGAGTAAACTTTTTAGCAGTTGTGTGAGACCTGGCAACAAAGACTTCCGGCATCACAACCACTTTAATCAGTTGAAGTAGCTATGGTGCCTACAGTGTTGTGTTCCTTTAACTTATTTAACTTATTTTTTCTTTATTTTAAACAAAGTATGAAAACTGCAAACAGGCCTCCCCAGGCTTACGCCTTGATCTAACTAAGGGAACAGTGATGTGGGAAAGAAATGCAATGCTTAATCCTAGTTATGTGATTACTAAATTATATTTACCATGAATTATTACTCGAATTAGTGTTTATCACCTGAAATCTGTAATGCAGTCAACATCAGCAAACGTTTATGTAATTAAAATGATCTCACCTGTGTGATGCTGTGTGTCCTTACAGATATCTAAGATAGAGAATGTCAGTCACCTGGGAGAACTAAGAGTGTTAAACCTTGCAAGGAACTTCATAAGCCAAGTGGAAAATCTTAATGGTCTAGACTCACTAACAGAACTTAACCTTAGACACAACAAAATCAATCTTGTGGTAAGTAAAAGATTAATTATTTTGATTTTTTTTTTCATGGATCATTTATGTCATGTCAGCATATGGATGATAAGAATGATGATGATTATGAAACATATCATGTAGATAAGAATATTAGCCATCATTTTATACTTGAGATATGTCCGTTGTGCTGACATTGGCTATTTTAAGAACGCAGTGAGATTTTGAATATTAATTGATTGTAATGTTACATTGCACCTTCCTGGAAGATTATACCACCATGTTGGCAGGCCTTTGTTTACTCCAGTCTAGTTGGAGAAAAGCATTCGCTGATGTGCTTTAGCCTTCATTGTATATGCCATATATTGGCAGTACTGGTCCTTTTTCCAATGAAATGCTAATTTACTTTTTGCAGCATGGTATCCTTTCAGAGATCTCACAAAAGAACGCCGGCCATTGTCCAGTAGATGCAAATCCTCTTCATACCATCCAGTGTAGCTCTGTTTTGGAAGCTTCCTCTACTAGGGATATGAATACCTACTTGAGAAGTCTCTCTACTACTTGATGTAGTTTTGTTGATCATGTGATTCATTCTACAGTTAAATTTTCTTCATTATTGCTTTCACTGGTCTTTCAACAGTTAGACCATTTCTCATTAAAGGAACACTATATGTATTCCTGTTACAATAGCTGTGAAAGCACTATTTAGGTTTCCGGCTCCCTGCCAGGAAAGTAAATGGGGATTTTACTCACCCTTTTCCAGCACCGCGCAGATCTCCTGATGGCTGGCCCTGATCCCATTCTGCCTCCTTGACTGAGATCATCAAACTTGACGATTTCCACCAATCCAATGCTTTCCCATATAAATGCATTGGCAGGCTATTGCACATGAGCAGCAAAACAGCGCTGCGCCAATCGTCATCTCGTCATAGAGATGCATTGGATCAGTACATCACTATGAGAAGCGTTCAGCATCTTCATGCAGAGCGTAGAGACACTGCTGTCTGTGCTACACACTGTGCAGCACTGACCCCTTAAGCATATCTAGTGGCCATCAGCAATGTAAAAACTGCCTTTTATATGTAAAGCCAGTGATTGGTCTGGTGACTGAAGAGTCCCTTTAACTCCACTTGCATCACTGTTGGGCTCATAGACGCTTTGCTGTTTACATGGCTAAGATCCCCACACAGCACGGGTAGCTTGACCCTTTAGCCAGATAACATCTGAATACCGGTTGACTGTGACATGCATTCTGATTCTGGCTCAAATGAGCTGTCCTTTGATTAAAGTATTGGTACAGACATTTTTACTGGAGTCAATTGCTGTATTAAATATTTAAATAAGGGCGCAAATAGAAAAGGGATAGGTTACTGCAGTACACAAACAGAATTAAAAAAACAGTAGCAACAAGCTGCTCTATACTACGATGCTCTCACAATGATCAAATAAAGATGAAACCAAAGGAAATGAGGAGACAATGAGGTACAGGTATAATTTGTGTACAAACAGTGCTACTCACATTTATTGAGGAACGAATAGAATATAACCAATAATATGAGAAAAATAGCTAAGATCAGCTCTTATCTTTACTAGTGCTTTCCTGAGTAGTAGATGACTGTGTGACAGTGATAATGTAGTATTTGTATTCTGAATATATTACAGTACATGTTTATTCTTGGAACTTTGGCATGTCAGCATTTGGTGCAGCTGTACATTAACTGGTGCTGCTATATATTCAGGTCATATCCTACACGTGATAGCAGTCATTCTTAATACTGCTCTGTGCTGGGTTTTACAGATGAAACCCACCCATATTAACATACAAGTGATCCATCATGTGTTTATACCAGTGAGAAATGCAATCTAGATTACCTGTTACTGAATTTCAACTGTTTCAGATTTTACCTTCAGATTAATTTTTTTATTTGCAAAAAAATGAACATCCAACATGCAGTCTTTGCTATATTAAGTTGTCTAAAGCAAAACTTTGACATTTCGAACAAGTATTTCAAACAAGTATTTTATTGATCCAAAGTATTCAACCACAAAGTGCAGCTTAGTAAGAGGGGCCCACTAGTGCAGCCCACATTTATTCAAAGTATTTTATTGCACCATCAGCTTGAATTTAAAATATAAAACAAAAATATTATGTGAACTGTACTGATGTAACTAATTTAAAGTATGCAAACTAAACCTTCATTATTCATTTTAGTGATTTGAAATCCCATGTGAGTTGAATCATTGGATTTGCATGTCTACAGCAGAATCCCTATTTATAGCAATGCTGCCTATTTCCATGTGAAATAATAGCCCGTGCATACAGTCTACATGCTGTCTAGATTTGTTACAATTGAACATTCGCTTCAAGCTTGAAAGCATGAAATATTAAAGGATGGATGCATTCCGGATTGTAAGGCCCTGACCAATATGAAAGCAAATGGTTGAGGAAATGAATTACAAAATCAGGTATCACAGCTTGATTACGTAATAAATTCATGTTCCAATCAATCTAGGTTATGATTTAGTGCTACACAATAAAACGGAAATGTGCTGCGGTGCCCCCAATCACTGCACTTGCCAGCATGCAGTTAAAATGATGAGCATGCATCTTGGCTACTGCAAGGAGCCCTATGTCTGTCTTCCCTCCTCCCCTTCCAGTGCCTTTCACCTTGCAAGTGTAGCTTGCTCTGCAGAATAGATCTCTGCACTGTAACACTCCCAGAAGCTACATCAGAAAGGATGGAGCTGCAAGCTCCTCAGTAATCAATGCTGCATCAGGACCACAGTAATTAGCAGGGAGTGTGCTTTGTATCAGCTGAGCAGATGTTACAGTGCTACGTCACATACTCCCCCTTGATGTGGTGAATCTGCTTCTTTTCAGAGAGATGTGGATACTTTGCCAAGCCTCCAGCTTTTGTATCTCAGCTTTAACAACATATCAAGGTAAGGACAGGTTTATTAATGCACTTCGCCATCTGCCTGTGATTATTAACTGTTCTGTGTCCCCTGTATAATATGTGGTTTCTTTGACAACAGAAGCCATCCTATCGCTGTGTTTTACATTATAGCTGAATAAGACACATTGTAGAATGCTAGCATGTTGTCTTCCTGATTTGCTGCTACACCCACATAAACACGTAGAGGTCTATAATCAACTAATTTAGGGCCATAAAATGATGTATTGTCATGGGCACTCTATATTCTTTATTCAGAGGCTTGTAAATGCAGATCTAAATTATTTTTCATTAGGTGTCCTTGTCCTTGCAAGTTTGTGCCATCAAAATTTTATCTTACACAATACCTTCTTGGTTGTTCAACTGTACATGCACATCAGGCATATATATGCTAAGCTGATTAGAACTACAGATTCTCCTGATGCTTTGCCAGTAAAGCATTGTGGGAGTTGTAGTTTTAAAACCGCATGGGAGAGTATATGTATCTACACCCCTGCTGTAGGTCAAACAGCTGCAGTTTGCTTTGCAGTGGTATTATATAGTCCGTAGCTGAATCTGATGTCCTGCAATTATTTTAGAGTTAGGGTCTGAAACACGCACAGTCTGAATCTGTTATTTGAATGGTGCTGATCCAGAAATGACACTGCAGTATCGCTTTTTTTCTCTGCACAACACAGAAAGTCACTCAAATTATCCAGAGTAATTGCTTATATTAGATTGGCTTCACAATTATTTACATAACTGTCCTTTACAATTCACGCTTTTCATAGTTTTCTACAATGGTTTTTATTTATTGTTCTTTTAAGAGATTGACGTTCTATATCTGTGAAAATATACTTAAAATACATACATGGTTTCTGTGACGAACTGAACCTCGGCATGCTGGCCAGCCTCTTACCAAAAGACTATGGGCCCTTTAAAAAAAAATAAAAAAAAATACGTGAACAGACTTGGTTTGTGGGATTTTATATTTGGTTTGGGAACTGAACAGCTGCACGGACCGGAGACCACTCTGGAGCTTTGTAGCAATTTCCACCGCAGTGTTCTAAATTTTCGTCTGGGTGGCCGTATTTCCTATGGACGATCATGAGGTGGCGGCCATCTTGTTCACATGAAAACAGGCACCGGTGTTTGGTCGTCGAGTTCATGGAACTATTTTCGGACACTGAAACGTCCGAACACCGCTGGACTTCCATGATCGCCAAGGGGAACAAGCTCCAGGGTGAGACTATTGACTATGTTCTGTAGTTTGTTCGTGTTTAAACTACCAAACTAGACCGACCGTAAGCCCTGATTCTCTGAAACTGTTTTGGGCATGGGACCATGCAGGCGGTCGGTCAAATTATGACTTCCAGGAAATTCCTGAACCGATCTGGGTGATTTTGGTTATGTTGGTCACCCAGATCAGGGCTATCAGGGGATGTAACTTTTGGGGGGATTTTGTGTGTTTTTAAGGTATTTTGGGGGTTTGTAAAAATGTGTGTTTTTTTGTGCCTGGAGATAATTGAGTTTAATACAGTGCTGACTCCATTATCTCACAGGCATAGGGAAGGGATTGACCAATTTTGTATGGGAGTGTTCTGGACCTGAGAGCCAATGTAATCGTGTGTATGTTTTTACAGTAGTCTACTCTCAGGTTTAGGAGGGAGTGCCCCTTGCATGGGGACCTGCATATAAGGCCAGTTGTGACTGCCATTAAAGAGATTCATTTTACCCTTCATGTTTGGGGGATTGGGGATTGCTATGGGGATTGCTATAATCACTATACTCCCTTGGCGTACAACAATTGCTCTTGTAAGAGCAGCCTGCTTTGCTCTCTGGACAAGGAGAGGACTACCCACTGGAAGCTGGATCCTTGTGGGTGGAGGACAGCGAGACCCCAACCAAGCTGGGGCGGTTTGTCGGGTTTATGGTGGTTAGGGTGTCCGGTGCGGTGCTTATGGTACTCAAGGATTACTAGGAAGCAGCGATTGACTGAGGTACCCGGTCGGGGTGCCAGGCGGTCCATCACATTTTCTTAAAGAAATATACTCCTCATTTAGCACAATTAAAATATAAAAAAGGATAAAAAGATGGGAAAATTATTTTTTTTCTATAGTTTCTTCTGTAATAATTATTGCATAGCAAGGGCAACTAACAAATGTAAACCATTAAGAAATAAACTAATTTTTATTTGAGGATACCTTGTTAGGCCAGCCATTTAGCAGTTATAGATCACATATTACAAAGAGTACATTATATATACATATAGACAGGGTGGGCAAATATTCAGAGTAGGATTTGAGGAGGCAATAAGCATGTATTCCTGACCCTATAGTGTTTAATCCACCATTTAGCTGGCTTGCCCCCGTAGAAAATGTTAAAACTCCCCTAATTTCCAGCGACGCGTGGGTCTGCCGATGCTGGCCCCAACCCTGTCCGCCTCCTTGATGACATCATCAGAATTTCCTCTTTTTAGCCAGTACAGTGCTTTCCCATACTGAGCTCCATTTGCCGCCTTGCAAAGTTGGGCTACTTTGATTCCATTGTTCATAACATTAGTTAATATTTGAGGCTCCAGTTTCCAAGACTTCCAAGTTATAATATGTACCGGCAACCAAACCATATAACTACATACAAATAAGTTATTTACCTGTTAAATCTTACTCTGAAATTTGGCCCACCCTATACTTTAAGAAGTAGATATCATATTGTATTTACCTAGGTATAATTTCCATGTAGCCATTTGAGCACCACTTTCTGAAAGAGTCTAATAAATGTTATTTGTGTTTTTCAACACACAACTTTCCTCACATGTATGCTACATACATTGGTTCCAACGATATCCCATGTGTAGTGGGAAAAGTTACAGGGACCCTGTATAACCAGTTCATCTGAATTAGTTATAGTGCCTGTAGTCTCTTGGCACTGTCCATTCAATGTTAAGAAAGAACAGTGAGGGGGGGAGAAATAAATTGTCAGCGAGGGGGGGAGAAATAAATTGACACTGAGGAGAGGGGAGAAAGAAATTGACAGGGAGGGGAGAAAGAAATCGACAGGGAGGGGAGAATGAGAGTGACAAGGGAGGGGGGAGAATAGAGGGACAAGGGGGGAGAAGAGAGTGACAAGGGAGGGGGGGAGAAGAGAGTGACAAGAGGGAGGGGGAAAGATTGACATCCATCACACACACACAATCACACACAATGCACCCCTTACACACAAAGACAATGCACCCCTTGCACACAAAAAAACACACAATGCATTACACACACAGACACACATACACAAGCAATGCAACCCTTACACACAATGCATCCCTTACACACACAGAAACACACAATGCATTCCTTACACACACTAAATGCACCCCTTACACACACTCAATGCATCCCTTACAAATGCACATACTGCATCCTGTACACACCTTGCAGCCCCTACACATACAAACACAGATTCACACAATGCATTCCTTACACACATATCAGGACATCCCCTACACACTCCACCCCCTGTGAACAAACTCATTGGTGGAACATGAAGGTGGACCCTGGGACCCAGACCTTGAGCTGTGTAAAGGGCCCCCAAAAAATGGAGCTGCTTCCCGTTCTCCCAGAACATTGATTTTTGTGACCACAGTTACAAACAGCCTCCAGAGAGCCTGTTCTACACCAGACCAGTGGAGCCAGACTGCAGCTAGAGCCCATCATCATCCTCATCTGGTTGTAAGTAGGCAATCTAGTATATTATTTGTGGCACAAATCTCTAATTTACCTCACATTAAAGAAACACTATAGTCCCCAGAACCACTGCAGCTTAATGTAGTGGTTCTGGTGTCTATAGCCTGTCCCTGCAGGCCTTTTAATGGAAACACGGCGGCACAGCAGCACTGGCGTTAGTTAACATGGCAGATCATATGGGTGGGGCATTGTGATGTCACATGGGGGGACGGCAAACTTTATTTTGCCTAGGGCGGCAAAAATCCTGGCACCGGCCCTGCCTGCAATGGCAATGTGTTAAGCTGAATGCAGTCAACGTTCTGAAGTGCTCTATGGGTGAGGAGTATCCTACTTTATCCCAGTTTATAAAAGTGCTGATATGTATGACAAAGTGGCATTTTTATAAATAAATAAATGATAGTCCACCACCGTGGCTCTCAGTCAGACAGCCAGGGAGGTTTGCTTCATGCTTTCTTTAACTTTCCTCCCACACAGACCTCAGACAAGCGTCTTCAATCAATTCAAAGCCTCCACACACCACGTGTGCCCAAATTCAGAGACTTCTCAATGAGTAGCTTCTGATGGGTTTATATCCCCTGAAGAGAATGTTAGGCTCTTCCAGTGAAAAGGGGTAGGGCTTGCAAAGGCTGCAGTTCATAAGATACACATGCATATACTCATTACGGGTATATCTACTAAACAGTGGTATTTGTTTTAAAACAAAATTCACTCTGGAGTGCTTATTTAAAACATTAAAAATGGTTTATCGGTGAATTGAAGCCGAGCAGGTGAACGGAAGAGAGCACTTCCTATCAGACAGATACCGCGTCGGTGAGCAGGTACTGGTGGGAAGGCAATGGGACACATGGAGGGTCTGGCGGTAGGAGGGAAGAGGAGTTTTGGGGAGATGGGGAGAGAAAGCGACACATGGGTGGCGGCCCAGGGCAATTTTTGTACTGGGACCCGGTGGTTTCTAGATACACCTCTGCACACCAGGTCTATTTTACAATCACAGTGTGTGAGGATGATACTTGAGTTAACTCACAAGGTAGGGGATGGGAAGGTCCATCCTTAACGCAAAGCTTATCTCATTCACAATCGGCGAGAGGCTTAGCGCAAGATGCGTTTGTCACTCTAAAAAAACAAACAAAAACTAATGATATTCTCTATAATTAATTTCACTTGTGGAAATGCCAAGTAGAAAACTGATTCTAACTGGTTTGGTCACAGAGCAGTTAGAATTGGCATTTTCCTGTTTATCGCAGTGCCTGTATTTTTACTGCTTTAGATTTTTGTACCATGCATGTTTAAGACACTGTACTTTTTTTTTTCGGGATCATATTTTTAGTCATTACTTGTGACTTGTTATTAAGTACAATGCTGTGTTTGATCATCATGAATTTAAATATTATATGCTGCTTATTATTCCTTTTGATCCCATTTTGTGTTTTTCTTTCCAAAATAAGGAAGGGAAATGTATTACATTAACATTGTAACCACCATAACCATATAGCGCTGACGGATCAACTGGCTTTCGTCAGCCAATGCATTCCATCTAGACATAGACAAAATTAAAGGACCACTATAGTGCCAGGAAAACATACTCGTTTTCCTGGCACTCTAGTGCCCTGAGGGTGCCCCCACCCTCAGGGACCCACTCCTGCCCGGCTCTGGAAGGGGGAAAGGGGTTAAAACTTACCTTTTTCCAGCGCTGGGCGGGGAGCTCTCCTCCGATCCTCCTCTTCTCCTCCCCGTCGGCTGAATGCGCACGCGCAGCAAGAGCTGCGCGCGCATTCAGCCGGTCACATAGGAAAGCATTCATAATGTTTTCCTATGGACGCTGGCGTGCTCTCACTGTGAAAATCACAGTGAGAAGCACGCAAGCGCCTCTAGTGGCTGTCAATGAGACAGCCACTAGAGGAAATAGGGGAAGGCTTAACCCATTCATAAACATAGCAGTTTCTCTGAAACTTCTGTGTTTATGAAAAAATGGGTTAACCCTAGAAGGACCAGGCACTCAGACCACTTCATTAAGCTGAAGTGGTCTGGGTGCCTAGAGTGGTCCTTTAATATTGCTTCCATAAGGAGGTGTCAGACTATGGGCGCAGCTAAGTGTCAAACCAGTTGAAATGGTTTAATGCTTAATCCTAACCAGAGCGTTTATAGTATGTACAGTGCCCTTTTAACATCAAAAGAAATACAAAGTACGTGTTAGTTTATTTCCCTTTTCTTCTGTCTACCTGTGTTCACACATTGGTAGTAACATGGACTGACAGAGCAAACTCAATTGAAAATCGTTGGGAAAATCCTTTCAGCACCAGGAGCCTATACTGGAAACTCAGATTGGAGAAGTTCTGTAGCAAGCCTGAGGTAGCAGGGACCTTACTGTATTGTGCGGATGAGGGACATTGAGCTCTGTGAATTGAGATTCCCCTAATCTTTATTTACTATATAAGGGGTGTTGTAATAGCAAGAGAGGCTTTGGGACCATCGTGGTGATTTATTAATAATCCTCCTTCCGACGACCAGCTGTTGGGGGAAAGAACAGGCGCAGTTGTGACCACTGCTTGGTATAGGACGGCGTTGGAACATGTTCTTTTTAATTAACTTTAGACCGGCAGTAATAGAGCAACACAGCTGAAATATGATCACATTATCTATTTATTTTCAATTTGTATTCAGTAATATTGTATTAGAGATGGTACAGAGTTTTTATTTGTTTAAGTATTCCCCGGTTTATAATTTATTTATTTTTGGAAATTAAATGAACTCATCGGCAGCCATGTTTACAAATATATATAAAAAAGAGGAACTTTAAAAACAAATTTAACATATAGATGCACTCGGCTAAGAAGGCATAAGTGATATATTTCATGGGAATTAAGTCCATGAACTCTTAAAGATCAATGGGTACAATGGGTTATTTATGAAAATATATGTTAAAAAAAATCTCTGTATTTTCAATAAAATACAAACAACGTTTGGTTCCTGTTTTAGGCAAAATAAATTAATTTGAATATAAGTAAGTTTCACTTACCTTTTTCCGGTGCCATGGCTTCCATGGTGCTGCTCACATCTCTGCCTCCTATGATGTCATTGAAAAGTCATGGCTTCTCCCGGTGATGGTCCAATCGTATGCTCCTCAAAAGTAGCCATGGTGGTCCTGATGCACATATGCAGTGAGCGCTGCTCGCATCCAAGCGTCCCCATAGGAAAACAATGTATTCCTATGGGCTTTTGTGTCTCTTGACTAAGATTTACTCTCACAGTGCAGCAGAAGCGCCTCTATTGGCTGTCAAAAATAGAGCCATCCGAAGTGGACTTAACCCTGCAATATAAACAATGCCATTTCAAATTTTAAAGGACAGGACAACTGCACGGCCACCTCATTGAGATGTTGTGATCTAGGTGAGTTTAGTGTCACTTTAAAGATTTACCAATTGACATCTCAAACCAATTCTGTGCATGCACAGCCAGGGTAGACATTGCAAATGAGAAGAAGAAATACTAACTTTGTTCTATTTCTCCTCTTCCCTATGCTGACTGCCAGGTGTCATCGACAGAGATTATAATAATGATTGCAAGATAATGAAGTAGACCTGAAAAAGTTTAAACATAAAATGTGTTTAAAGAAATATTTTCTTTAACACCCTTTGGAAAGAGATATTGTTCAGGACACACGTGCTAAATACTTATAGAAATAAGAATTGCATTTTACCGTATATACTCATGTATAAGTCGATCTCATGTATAAGTCGAGTGCAGTTTTGTGACCAACAATTGTGAAATATGCTATGCCTCGTGGATAAGTTGAGGGTAAAACTTGGGGCTATGAAATTCTTTTGTAATTATATACACACACTCATACAAACACACACTCTGCATTATACAGTTGCAAGAACAAGTATGTGAACCCTTTGGAATGATATGGTTTTCTGCACAAATTGGTCATAAAATGTCATCTGATCATCATCTAAATCACAACAATAGACAATCACAGTCTGCTGAAACTAATAACACACAAAGAATGAAATGTTGCCATGTTTTTATTGAACAAGTACATGATATTCAGGGATATAGTTTTTAATATGTGGGGTAACAACTTCTTGATCCAAGGAGATATCTGACTGCTATTGGAAAATGGTTCAACTTGGGATTTTTGCCTTCTTTTGGATCAACTGCAAAAATGTGAGAAAGACTGAACTTGATAGAGGCAAGTTTTTTTTCTTAGCCTATATGGCTATGTATGTACCTACACGTGTATGGCATTCAGTGTCTCCACGCTTTGCATGAAAGTACTGAGCGTTGATTAAATTCATCATTATGAGGAGATCCTGACTGGCACAGCGTGGTGTTTTGCCACACATGCGCAATAGCCTCCCATTGCTTTTTTATGGGAGAGCATTGGATTGGCTGAGCTTGTCAATTTTGATGATCTCAGCCAATGAGGCTGAACGTGAGCAGGACCAGACATGACGGATCCGCGCTACCCTGTAATAAAGGTGAGTTAAATCACCTTTTACATTGGTTACGGGGGTCAGGGAACCTAAATATTGATATTACTGCTATAGTGACAGAAATTCATGTTTGTTGGTTGTTTGTTAGAAAAAACTTTCCTTTCTGTGTTTATTTTGCCTAGTGTCTAATTGTTCTCTTACATTTTCAGTAACTCTTCTTTGGAATGTTTCTGATTGTTCAAACTTGTGAACAACAGGGCCCTTTTTTACCAAACAGAATATTGAAAAAATGTTTTTTAAAAAGTATTGGAATGGTGGCCTTGCAATAGATTTGGCAGCTGTAAATGTGTTGATAAATATCAAGTGAGAGATTTTAATGTATTAATTTCACACAGTCACACCTGAAATAATATTTATATATATATATATGGGTATAGTCTCTGATCAACAGGACTGAAATAATGGGACTCTGTTTCGAAATAACTGTGTTTTGACTTTGGGGAGACAATGTATCTGCTAAAACACTTTCTATGTTTATCTGTTGGACAGAATCAATGACATCCTGTGCCTTGCTGACTCTACATCACTTTCAGATGTCACACTTGATGGCAATCCTATAGCTCAAGAGACATGGTACAGACAAACCATTCTTGGACATATGCTGCAGCTACGACAGCTGGATATGAAGAGAATCACGGTGAGAGCATGACATTTAGTTATGTATGAATTAGTGTTTACACATTAAACCAACCAGCTGTATAACTTAATACAATGAACCCAAATGGAAGAAGAAACTAGTAAACTAAATGTGAAGTAACTGACTGTAAGCCAACTTGTCAGTGTCCTCCAGAAGTCATTTAAATTGCACTGGCTTTCAGACATATGTTTATGAAGGCAACTCCCCTCAAATATACAGCAGCCCATTGTAAATGAACATTACAAGTAGGGCACCACTTGCCAAGTCCCTCAAAGAAGGGATTTGTTTTTATGTGTCACCCCCTGCCCCCACCCCGAAAAGAAAAACTTACTTTTCTGGATTTATCTTGCTTGTTGCAATTGGCCACCAGTCTGGCAGGATACATGCAAACATATTCAATGGTTTTATTACATTGCCTATTTTTTTCATCTTAAATGCCTGTTTCAGTGCATCCGTACGGTTAGATATTTTCTACAAAAAGAAGAAAAGGTAGATGTTTCAGTATCCATGCCATACCAAAAATGTATGAGTGATGGTTATTGATCATATTTAATTTCACCTGACAATAACTTGGAGAGGACAATATATTGCAATATTCAGGAATGTTACTGCTTAATAGACCTTTGCATAGTCCACATGCAAACCGTTAACAAGCAATTAATGTATTGTGGACCATTGGCCATTGATAACAGTACATGGCTCAGTAAACAGTCTTCTCATGAAAATGTTGAATGTTGTCATTATAAGCTTTCAGTAAGTGAGAGTATGCCCCTTCCTACTCCATTCTCTGTGCATTAGGTGGATGCACCATTTCCCCCTCATTACAGGTCATGGAGATGCCCAGGCTTGTTGCCTTTTTATATGTTATTGCTCATGTGGTCCCCAAGCTTCTGACTGCAGCAATAAAATATATATATACATATGTTATTGGGGGTTCTTTATTACATTCTGGTAGCAGGGTTGTGTTTGTGCAGTGAGACACTAGTACTTCTGCTAACATAACAGCATTTTTCTTTAGTTAAAAAAAAAGACAATATAAGAACAGACAAAAACTTAATAGCTTGCCCTTCTGTTATTCACTGCTGATGTCTCAGACAAATTGTTGCTCACATATGTCATTAAAGACTGTCAGACTAATCCCACCCAAAAGGGCAAGGGCAATCTAGATTTTGAAAGTTCCTTTTGCACAAGAGGTACAGCGGCTAAAGATGATCGTTTCAGACCATAAGCAAATGAATTCAAGTATAAAAAAGCAATTATATAGTACTATGTGAGAAGTAAAGTACCTGCAGTGGCCTCCAATTTTCCATGTTCCTCCTCCACTATCCCCTTCTACTGTTGCTGATTCCAAAAGGATTGGTTAAGTTGACTGACAATCCTGATTGTTTTTCTTTCTAATTAAGCAGTCCTTTGATCTTACATTCAGATCCTATAACGATTTAGTAATTGTACTGACATGTAAGAATGGTACTTCTCACCATCCAGAAAGGATACTTTCTGAATATGGTTTGTTAAGTAATGCCTATCTCCAATATCCTGTTCACTTGGATTGTGTTTCTTCCCGTTGTGCCGTTACTTTAGGTGCTCTATTAATTTGAGCTCCCTCTTGGGGTGTTTCAGTGACTCTCTACCTGGATGATATCCCACTAGGGCTACGATTTACAAGAATTACGTTTCTGGGCTCTCCTGTAGATATTACTTCTGCGGGGATTCTTCTTTAAAAAAAAAAAACACAAATAACAAGCAAACGATAAAAAAACACCTACTTGGCAAAACTGTGTAATATTTGTTCCTGGCTGCTAGAATTTAATGCCCAGTGTGGATTTTTTTTTTCTTTCTCAAAACTGGTTTTGTGGGGTTAATAAATCTATAAAGTGTCCTGGTTCTTAGAAAAACAACCCTTCACTTTAACTAATATCCAAAAATTGACTGGCACACAGTGCTTCAGCACATTGTGCCTCACGTTCGAGAGCACCACCACGAACCAACTGCTTAGTGAATAGGCCAGGCACTTTGTGCAAGGGTTTGTTGGGTACCTTTATTCTGGTCAAAACTTATGTCAAAAGTCCATTTTAATTTTCTATTTTCATTGTATCAATTCCAGTGTGTGACTAATGACAACCACTAGGTGGCAGAAGATTGTAAAATATATAAGTGGAATGCTAATAATGTAATAATGTTGAACTAGCCAAGAACAAGCAGCCAGCCCTTGTTTGTTAGTTGTAAAACATTATTTAGCATTTTAACACTTTACCTAAGTGGTTTGACATTAAACCAGATGACACTTCCCAGAGACTGTAGTGGTTATATTGCTTAAAATACCCCTCAAATCCCTCCTTTATATTTACAGGTATAAATTGGAAAAAAAGTTTTGCCTCTAAGGGCATAAATAGAGATCCACAAGGTATTACACTAAATGCTGCAATGCATGGGATATACCTGAATTGGATAGAAAACGAAATCTGTGGCTAGTTTCCACATTCATTGACAATTCAGTATTGCTGGAAAATAATCCAAATTTCAGGAGAAAAAAAGTTCACCTGTTAATAAATGGCCACTGAATTCAATCCTAATAAATATAGATAGATGGACATGATCTGGGTTGCACATGCAGTAAATTTGTCTTCATAAGCAGCAGAGAAAAGACAAGTAAGACTTGGTGGATAATATAAGTTAGATAGAGGGGACACATTGTGAGAGGAACAGATAACAAATTAAAGACAGACAGAGGACTGAAAGCAAAGAAGAAAAGAGAAAACACGAAAACAATAAAAACATGGTGAGACAGATGTGGCAGTTGTGCAATACGTATCTCCCAACAGCCACAAAATTCAGTGGGACAGTCCTGAATTTGGTTCCTGTCCTTGGTTTGCTCCCACAGTAGGCATCAGTAGATTCACTTGTGATGTGCAAATTGCTCACAGGGCCAATGCAGCTGTAAGTTAACATGGTATGCAGACATGGGATGACCTCTTCACATCACTGGTCCATCATATTTTTGACCTATGACAATCCCATCCTAAGTTCATATGTCACAATGTTGGGAAGCATTGTATGCTGTGAGGAATATTTTATTAGCCAGTGTAATACATCCAGTAGGGTAATTTACAGGGCCATGAAGCAAACTGCATCTCAAGCTTATTCTACAAACATGCTAGTGACCTCTATTTACTGTGACCTGCATAATCCTAAGGTTTCTGTCCAGGAATCACCTTTTTGAGGAGGTGGAGTGAGATGTTTAACCCATGGATGTATCCAATTCTGCAGGGGCTGCATAATCTTAGCAGAAAAGGCTAAATTCCTTAAGGAGCATTTTTTTACTTTTTGTTAAATCCACACCTCCTGTGGATTTAAAAAAAAAAAAAAAAAAAGGTTGAGACCTGGAGCAAGTTGCAACATTGAAGCATGTTAGTCAGAGAGCAAATTATAATCTGAAAATGACTGAATTTGGCATGAAGTCTAGTTTGCCATCTTAAAAAGATCATTCAGCACAACCATGTTTGCTTTAAGGATATATTTAATAATGTTTTAATACAAAAGGGTATATAATAGAGAATGATACTTTATCACTTTTAGGTTTCTTGCCGTTCATCAAGTTTTGTTATTTACAGTAAAATACTGGCAAGCATTGATACATCTTAATTTTTACTTTAAAGAATGAGAGCTCCCTTTTTTCTCACCTGTGTTAATATTATTGAACTGTTTACTGGGGAGAGTAGTGCAGCAGTGGTAAGTATAAACCACACTTCACAACACTTTTTTTTTTGTCTGTGGAGATGTTGTCTACACATTATGTTCTGTGAACACTCTAATATCCTCAGGCATGTAAACGTGCCATCCTACAGAATGTGTTTTTAGACCCTTCTTACAAAATGTAGAATGCCCGCATATAACCATAAAGGAATACAGAACAATACAGGAATTATTTAAATTTACATGGCATGCTTTTATTTTGCAAGGAGACACAATATAAATTATAGATTTATATATAGCATGGTATCAGATGTGTTAAAACCCCACATGTGCTAGTTTCCCTTTAAGATTTGATTTGGCACCTCTATGTCAGATAACAGGACTATTTCAAGCAAAAACAGTTCACTTTATGTTTAAGAAGAAAAACTGAAAATTATAATATTGATGACATGGATGTATACTATGCTAAAAGAAAAACATAGGTTTCAAAGTTTAAAAAAAACATTACATGCTTTTTTTGTCTTGGTATGATTCAATTCAGAATAGTGATTATTGCGTATGTATCTCTAGAATCCAGGAGTTTATGTATAAGATGTTTGTTTTCAGGAAGAAGAAAGGCGTACTGCATCTGTTCTGGCAAGAAAAGAGGAAGAGAGGAAGCGTGAGAGCCATAAACAAGCCTTACTAAAGGTAACTTTTATCACAGTAAAACACATAGCATCAGAATGGTCTATGGAATTCAATTGTGGGGTGCACAAGATAGGGTAATTGATGTCACAGCATGACCAATGTCTGCAAAATATTATTGTCATTTGTATGTGACATCCATGGCTTTAGTATCAAAGCCAGTTCACGAGTTCTATTCACTGAATACCTGTGCACTTGCAGTAAATTTTGTGAATGATGCTATGTTTTTTTTTTTTTATTCTTTATTTTTGTTGTGCAGGTGGTTACAGGGTAATAACAGATCCCACAACAGCGTATTTCAAGATTTGCATAAGTCGGACAGTGGCATGAAAATTTGCACATATTTTAGAGTTTTAGCAATCGTGGTTAGACAGTTTTATTATCAGAGTGAAATAAAAATAAAATGAAATGTGAGCTGCTGAACGATGCTAAGTCAACTATGTTAGTGTAAGTATAATGTGTTAACATGTTTCGTAGTATAACAGTAGCTGGTTAATATATAATGCCTATATGCGTTATGCTGTGTGTGTATAGGCTAGGAGGCGTCGGATAACGGATAACATTGCTATAACTTGCTTATATTGTAGAATAACATCGCTAGTCTCTCTAGACATGGTTAAAGGACCACTATAGTGCCAGGAAAACATACTCGTTTTCCTGGCACTATAGTGCCCTGAGGGTGCCCCACCCTCAGGGTCCCCCTCCCGCCCGGCTCTGGAAGGGGGAAAGGGGTAAAAACGTACCTTTTTCCAGCGCTGGGCGGGGAGCTCTTCTCCTCCGATCTGCCTCCTCTCCTCCCCATCGGCTGAATGCGCAAGCGCGGCAAGAGCTGCGCGCGCATTCAGCCGGTCGCATAGGAAAGCATTATCAATGCTTTCCTATGGACGCTGGTGTGCTCTCACTGTGAAAATCACAGTGAGAAGCACTCAAGCGCCTCTAGCGGCTGTCAATGAGACAGCCGCTAGAGGCTTTGGGGGAAGGCTTAACCCATTCATATGTTTATAAAAGAATGGGTTAACCCTAGCTGGACCTGGCACCCAGACCACTTTATTAAGCTGAAGTGGTCTGGGTGCCTAGAGTGGTCCTTTAACTTATGACACAGCAGGTGAGTACTAAGTTTTGGTGCCTAGATTGCGCCGTCCGTCTGTGTCTACACCTCGGTGGTATCATCCGAGGGACACATAGTTTGGGCTGCTCCGTGCATCGTTTTTCGGTAGGTTGGCACTGATGGACAGGAGATTGTCTGCTGTTTTGCAGCTTTGCCCAGAGTTGTGTGTACGAGTTTTCAGAGTCTTATACAAGCGGGTCCACCATGATAGTAGGCTGTAAGCAGACCTTCAGAGAAGCGGCCCAGATCTGGCAGCCATCTTGTTTTTGGCCTTGGGCTTATGTGGTATTGCCCCCGAGTGCTGTTATTGGGCGAGGACCGGGATCACCGGTCCAGAGATCGGGACCGGGTCCGCAATGGGTCAGCTTGTCTGTCGCGCTCCGTTGGGCAGGATAGTGGAGCGGCGGCCGTCCACTCCACTCACCGCCGGGCAAGGTCCTGCCTGATGCAGCAGTGATCTCTCCCCCGAGGAACTTAAACTCCTGGAGCAAGCCTCTCCTCGGCTCCGGTGGCCCTTATATGCCGAGGGTTGCGGTTGTTGGTCTTGTATGATACTATGTTGATGGACATACCTGTACTTCATTAACTAAACTCATATATGTGAATCCAACATGTGAACATGGGGTTATTCTCTAAGCTGCTAAATGTGTGAATCGATATTGATTGCAGATATTTTGCCAGTAGATAGACTGGAAAGCAAATGGTTTGGAGATTTTTTTCCAAGTTTGACTATTTTGACTATAATGCCCAATTGTACTATATTCTAAGCTTAGTATATAAAATACTAAACCTATTTAATTTTAGTCAGAATGAGAGAATTTCACCATGGAAACCAAAAGACTGTTCCCATTTTACAACAAATTATATTATACATAAAATGCTGAGTCAGTTGTCTGTACCTTACAATAAAATTCATAATTACCATGACATGAAAGTTTTGTCAACAACAATGAGGGTGCCTCTGGTTAGAGTAATTAGGCCAGCATATTAGCAAAAGAACCCTTTTTTTTTTGCATGATTTTGATAAAAAATATTAATAACAAATTTAACTGCGATGTTTAAAACATTTCTGAGCCCACAGATAATAACCGATAAATTGTATGTGTTCATTTTCAATTATACATTTTTTTTCCTTGTGTTAAACTTAGCCACGAAGAACTGATATGTAAGAGCCTGTGACATTCCAGATTTGCTTGAAAGCATCTGAAATTTAAACAGGAAATATTGGGATTGGGGAACAAAGACATGTTTTATCAAAACACATAATATATAAAGCATAGTAAAGGGTACTATATTAAGCATTTAACTGGAAATTAAAATTTGTGGGAAAAAAATAGTTTCAGCCTCATTTAACACATGAATAAAAATGCATAATTAACATTTCTGCAAGTTATTTACCTTGACATTGTTCTTACAGTTCATGCGTAAAATAGTGAAGCTGTTATCTGATTCCTGAGAGCAATCAAACCCAGTCTGTAAAAGGTTAATAAAGCCTTCTGTTTATAAGTTTTAAGTTTTCAGATAGCAGGTCCGCCAGACTTTTTTTTTTTTTTTTTTTTTAATGAGTGACGCTTATTAGCATTATAAAATGTATCAAAATTGTTCCTTTGATAATTAAAGTTTTTTTATTTTTTAGGGGTATGGGGGTTGGAGAACTATTTTGTGCAGATAAATCAAGGTTGCATAGACCTTGTTGAGTTCACAAATAACATTGGCACTGATGTCCCCCATTAGCGCATTTATTAGCGACTGAGAAACGTTCATTAATTTTGTAGAATAACTAGTTTTGGCTTTCCAATGTAAGAAATGTGTTATTTATGTAATCAATATACTCAGTAAAGCATATCTCTTCTTTAAAATAAATGTCTCATTTGCACTACCTTTCTTATAGAAAGAACTTTTATACAGATAGCGATGTGGTACCCATACATGCTTGACTCATGTCTGAGACAAGAAGAAACAGGACAGGCCGGGCAGACTGATAGGGGGAGGGCGGGGATGCCGGATACGCGGGGCTCTAGCATAGGAAGCAGCCAATAGATAGGGCAGCATTGATTTGGATTGGCACTAGATATGCATCAGACACGATTCTACAGGCCAACATACTTGGAACCACAGGATATAGAAGTAGCACAAACAGAGCAACGAGGAGTAGGGTGACGGGACTGTCGACCTGGGCAGACTGATGGGCACACGACCGACTACACACTAGAAGAGACCTGGAGCCACCATACAGGGGAAGCCTGGGGTAGTCTGCCATGGTAACAGAAGCGTACCCATGAACCACCACATCACTCTTCTCTTACCCCGAAGAGCACACATGCCGACACACAACAGGAACACTAACCCACGGAAAACCTCATGGCACACAGGACTCAGGCTAGCCCAACGACTGTAAAGGAATCAGCGATACACTGAGGAAGGGCAAACTTAGCCGCTCCCCATGCAGAACAAGCAGTTACCAGATGAAAATGCTTGACACCCCTTAACAAATTGACTGTGGGTTATCCTCGACCAGGTTAATAATCATGGCCGGCTAGTAGCGACGGACCTAATTGAATATACAAACTTATACCTTGTACCACTTACTAGAACACATTATTCTAGGGACACAATGAGATGCACAAGTACTATTGAAATTATATGTGAACATGTTGATGCAATGTATCCTATTGAACACACGCTGTGAATACCGACTTGCTTAACTATCTCACTGTACTTTTCTTGTTTATGAAAAACCCAAATAAAGATTGTCAAAGATTGTCTAAGCAGGTGCAGGACTTTCTGATTCTAAATTGGACAAATGTCCTGTGCCATAATGTGACTTATCACATTATAGTACTCTAATGGGTGTGAAGAGGTTAAAGTTTTGAAGTCATTTATACCCTATATTAGCATGGTATTAAATGTTCCATTTGTCTGATGTCTTGCTCTAGACTGACAGAAGTTTGGATCTTAACAGATTTCAATTGGAAACTTTGGTACACTTTGTAAAGTAAAACATTGCCAAGTGCTATGGTTGAGCAGATCTCAGTGGATTGAAAAATAGCAATTAAATAAATTAAATGTACTCAGCAGTAAATTAAATGTTTAATTTGAAAGACCTTCAATAGAAAACTCAGACATAGAAGTATGAGGCCAGCACAATATACCATTTACAGTTCCACTAGACCTCACTGCCAGCGAGACCCACTGAAGGATTTTGTGATAAGATATATATGAATGACTTTAATTGCTCGAACATACCATGACAGTGAACTGTGACTTAAAAAGCTCTGGGGCGCTATTACAATATTATCTTATTGGAAACTGAGACTGTGACCACGTGCAAAACAAAATTAATAAAACAAAATAGTGCTGCCAGCTCAAAAACCCTATCTAAAATTTGTCATGAAAATACAGTCATGGATAAGATGTTCAAAGTACACCAAAGCCAAGCTTCATATGCTTTTCATGTTATACAGAGTAACCTAGACTTAAAAGGCAAATATCCATTAATTTCTCCTGCTATACCTACTTTCTAAACATTTAGCTTGACATTCCATTATCTGCATGATCTAAAAGATTTGCTTGACATGGGGTGGGGGTGTTAAAAGGATTACAACAATGTTGAATAGCATGGATGTCACTGCTATGTCCACCTTGGACATTGGATGTTGTAAAGTACCATTGTACTTAAGTATTTTTTCTTAGTTGCAAATATACATTAATTTAAGATATCATAGGTATTCCAAACTATGTTGTACTGCATGGTATAGGCTGTTAAGTCACTTGTACAATACAGGAATCAACATTTCACCTCTAGAAGACTACATTACTCTGTTAAGCGCGAATATAGGACAGAGCTGCAGCAGCCATGGAATAGCATACGTCTGAAGAAAATTTCAAAGCTCCTTGTCGTGGAAGCACTTTCCTTTCAGTTCCTTAGCATCTGTTGCCAATTGGTACCCTGATGTAAATGTCTAATTATTATTATTATTATGGGCATTTATATGGCACCAACTTATTCTGCAGTGCTTTGCAATATTATAAAGGGGAAAATTTAGCAATAAATATTACAAAATATTACAGGAACAATAGGTTGATGAGGACCTGCTTAGACGTGCATACAATGATGCTTTATAAAGACCACGTCATTACTCAGGAGCCTGGAGGCAATGTGGATTTATGTGAGGTCAGTGAGAGCAATGTTCAGTGGTGCATAGACTGCCACATCAGGTAGGGTACTCCTGTAGGCCATTCGTTGCATTAGAGCAGGGGTTCCCAATTAATTTTTACCATGGAACCCTTGACATAGTGTATCAACATTGTGGAACCCCAGCCGCCCCCCGGGAAAAAATAAATAAAATTGTGCAGTTTTTTTGTATGTGCCGGTGTGTGTGTGTGTGTGTGTGTGTATCTGTGTGTCAAGGTGTGTGTATCTGTGTTTGTATGTGCCAGTGTGTGTATCTCTGTGTCAGAATCTGACACACACACACACACACACACACACTGGCACATTGTGGTACACTGATACACACACTGACACAGATACACACACCTTGACACACAGTGTGTATCTGTGTGTGATTGTATCTGTGTGTCAAGGTGTGTGTATCTACGTGTCAAAGTGTGTGAATCTGTGTTTGTTTGTGCCAGTGTGTGTATCTCTGTGTCAGTGTGTGTGTATATGTATCTGACACACAGATATACACACACTGGCACACAGATACACCTTGACACACAGATACACACTATCAGATACACACTGACCCACACATCTTGACTCACAAATACACAAACACACTTAGAAACACACAGTGACATATACACACACTTGCACCCACAGATACACACATTGGCACATACACACAATGTCATATACACACTCAGATACACACACACTGACATACACACTTAGATACCCACAGTGATACATACACAAACCTTGACACACAGATACACATACTGACACACTCAGACACACATACTCTTTGACAGAATCACTTACACTCTCACTGACAAACTCACATTATTTGACAGATACACATACAAACACATATACACTCTCAATGACAAGAACACAAACACTCTCACTGACAAACACACATATACTCTTTGACAGACACACAAACACATACAAACTCCCTTACAGACACACATACAATTTATTATTTTGAAAAAATTTTACTCCACCCAGCCCCCCTACCTTTTGGGAGTGCGGGCACGGAGTCTCTATGTCTCTATGAGTCTCTATGTCTCTATGAGCTGCTGGGCTGAGCTTCCGGTCCCTGGGGTCCAGTAGGGCTGCTGTGCTGAGCGTGCGGCCCCTGGGGTCCAGTGGGGCTGCTTAGTGGCTGGTGTGCGAGCGACGAGGGAGAAGTGATCTCCCTGCTCAGCTCCCTCGTGCACCTCTTAGTGATGCCGGAGTTGGAGTGACGTCATATTTCGGCTCCAGCATCACTCCTGTGCGTGCAAGGAAGCTGAGCAGGGAGATCACTGCCCTCTGCTCCCTCGCCGTCTGCGACCATTTTATTTTAAAAATTTTGGGCGGAACCCCAATTGTGTTCTCGCAGAACCCCAGGGTTCCGCAGAACACCATTTGGGAAACGCTGGATTAGAGGGACATCAGTGATCGAATTGGACCAAACTGTATTCTGGTCCTATAAAATTTTTTTTAACAACTCTGCTAGAACAAAATTTCAGATTATCAATCACAAGGAAAGCATATAGTGAATCAATGATTCCATTGTACAGCTGTACGGAATCTGATGGCGCTATATAAATTATAAAAAAATAATTTACAGAAGTTATTAACAAAATTTTTTTTTAATTCTTTATTTTTTGCCACTCTTGGCGAAGTCATCAGGTATAACAATACAGTCTTCAGTAACATAAGAGACAATTGTCACATATAATGCATTTTGACAACACTTTGATTGCGCAGTTAATGCAACTTAATCGTTCTAGTCATACTTGTAACCTTATAAGTTGAGAAACGTTTGGCAGCGGTTAATGAAGTTGGGTCATTTCTTAAGGGAACGTACAATGATACGTGCCTGTTTGTTGGTATCACCAAGCCCAGCGGAATTGTAAGTGGCAGTAGGCCAAGTAGGAAGATGCATTATTCTAACGGCAATACCTATTGACATTTGTGCCATGAATACGTCTGGTCTCTAATTTGTACTCCGTGATTTGAGGGGTGATTACGAATTGCCTGCAATAAGGGGCTCCAGGGACATCACAAAGAGCAGTGGCAAGAGGGGACAACCCTGCCTTGTACCATTGCTCAGTGTGAATGGTTAGTTGTATGCTCGAGTTGTTTTAATCTGTGCTGTGACGTTAGTTTACATTGCTCACTGTAGTTATGAAAGTTTCTGGGAAGTTTAAATGTTTTAGAAGTTAGAACATGTAAGGCCATTTTACTCTGCCAAATGCTTTTTCAGCATCTAGTGACAATATTAGTGCTGGGGTAGTTGTGGTTGTCAGTATCCATATCAGGTCTATGTTCCTTCTGGCGTTCTCAAATAACTATCTTCCAGGGACGAATCCCACCAGGTCTGCATGGATCAGATTTTTCAGGAATGAGTTTAGTCTGCCCGCTAAAATTTTAGCTAGAATTTTTGCGTCATAATTTAATAGTGAGATAGGTCTGTATGCTTCAGGTAGTGTCTTTGTCAGGTTTTGGTAGCAGTATTATGTTTGTTAGGGCCATGTCGCTATTGGGGGCACCTTCCTTCATTAAGTCATTAAAGAGTGAGGTCAATTGTGGGGTTAATTCTTGTCTGAAGGTTTAGTAGTACCCATCCTCAAATCCGTCCAGTCATGGGGCCTTATCCCTTTTAAGTGATTTTATTGCTGCCTCTACCTCGTCCGTCGTAAAAGGTGATCCCAGATGTGTTTAGCTTCTGTGGGCAGTTTTGGGAGGTTTTGAGTATCTAGAAAAGAGCACATCTCTGGGATATCTGTGTCATTTGCTGTCGAGTCCCCCTGTCCCTTGGTGTGGTTATGTAGAGTTCTAAAAAATTCAGTAAAGATTCGGGATATGTCCTCGGGGGTACTTGTTAGGGAGCCGTCACTTGCCCGGTTTGTAGTTATGAGTGCCGCATTGTTTAGGTTTCAGTGAATGGGCCAGTAGTGTGCCCATTTTGTTGGACTTTTCATAAAATGTTCGACGTGACCATTGTAAAAAGTGTGCTGTGTCTTCCAAAGTAATTCCTTGATTGAGTGCCTTATGGCTTGTAGTTCTGTTAGTTTTGTTTGTGTCGGATCTGTTTTATATTGTTATTTGCTCAGAAATCATAGCTATTCAATTAAAAGTTTAGCTATTATGTTGTTTTTTACGGGTAGCCATTTTGACGAGAGAATCTTTTATCATGGCTTTATGCGCCGCCCAGACTGTGCCTATCGGGACTTCAGGAGCTAGGTTGGTTTGGAAATATAATTTTAATTCCTTATGGATAGTAGTTACATTGGTATTATCTTTAAGTAAGGAGTTATTTAATCTCCATATCCAAGGGTAGGCTACACTTATTTTATCTAAATGTATCACCAAGTCCGCGTGGTCTGACCACGTAATGGATCCTATTTCTGTTCTGCTAACTTTTCAGAATGCTGATGTTATTAATGAGAAAGTTGTCTATTCTTGAGTAGGTGTTATGTGGGCCCGAGTAAAACGAATAGTCTTTCGTGTCGGGGTGTTGCGCCCTCCATGCGTCAATTAGTCCTGTTCGTCTAATGAATTGGTGAAACAGTTTGTCCTGTCCACCCAATCCGTGTGATCTCAAAATCCCTTGCCTGAGGTTTCTGTCGGCGTCCGGGCACGGCACTGCATTGAAGTTGGAGCGTAAATATAGATCAAGTGGTGGGTTTGGTTGTGGATTTTCCCAGATACCAAAACATATTTTACATCCGTGTCTGGGACAACTTTGGTTACCTGAAGCGGGCAACACTTATGGATGAGTACGGCCAATCCATTATGTTTGCGGCGAGCACTAGCTTCATGTACTACAGTGTAAATGTGGTCTTTAAGTGTGAAGTTTGCCGTCACTGGTAGGTGAGTTTCCTGTATAGGCTCTGTAAGGGTTCAGTCTTTTAAGTTCTCGTAGTAGTAATCGCAGCTTCTTAGGAGCATTGCGACCTTTAACATTAAGGGAAGGGATTTTGAGCGTCATCCTTGTGTTCTAAGGATATTCCGCTCATAAGCGTTGGGATTAACATTTTTGAACAAACATACATTTTATTTGATTTGAAACAGTTTTAATAGTTGTTTTAATCATATGTTTAGACAAAATATAGTTAAACATTTTTTTATATTTAAATCCTCCATTGACTTTAAGGTAAACTGAACTAAAACATGATTTATTTTGTATACTTGCTCATGGTACACCACTTTCACGCAAGTTGTTTGTTTTTTTGTGTGCTAGTTTTACTGTATATAACATTTATACGGCTTGATCGCAGTATAAAAGGGAAGCAGTACAGAGCAGTATAGAGTACAGAACAATAGGCCTTATGAATAAGGTTGGTGCGTCTCTGCCATGTCCACTGGCCCTTTGGTTTATTCACTAAACTTCAAATCATGAAGAACTGATGATGACACTGTGAATTCCAGGCCAAAAAATACATGTATTGTAGCACTCACTAGAACACATATTCATACATAGAACTGTGGGTTTTATATGGAAATTAGTTTGTGAATGCAGATTGGGGTCTGATAATGCCACTGGCACAGCCCTAGGAAGTTTTGTCGGAATGTTACTCACTTTATTTACACTACGTACGCCAAAAGGGCAACCATCATTTGGTATCTCAAACTTGTTAGAGATACTACTATTTGGAAGAGTCTCCCTTCTCCCTCAACAAATATCAATAAAGTTAAAATACTTATTCTTTGTCCAGATCTTGAGAAAGAGCTTGGCTTAGAACAAAGTTGTCTGCAGTAATATGCTTTCTAAAACCAATGTCTTGATTCCCCATGCAATTTTAAATTAATGTAGCCTTGGTCTTTCTGCAGTTAGAGCACCCTGGTTTCATTCAGAGTGAAATTAACTACAAAGTATTATCTGTGTTATTTAAAACCTTTTAAAAGGGAGATAGTGTGTCTAAAAGCACTATTTTACATCCTAAACATAAAAAAATTCTAAAAGCCTTGTGGTGATATGTGCATTAGAGGTACTTATCAAAATATCGATAACCTCTGTCAGCTGCTGCTTCTTAATCCACCACCTAGCAAAATAAAGACAGAATGAATACTTAAGAAGTAAGTTTGTTATATTCTACTTTTGTGTTATGGATCCTTACTTCCTTATGACTGGATAACTGCTAGAGTTATAGATATTGGTACATAGTGTACTGTATTTTCCAGATTAGCGCTCTCAATATAATGCTCCAATCTGGTTGACCATCAGCTAGAATAACAAAATAATTATCCTTGTCCGTAACGTAAGTCACCATATGTTGTTCAAATTAGTTATATAATTTTATTAAATTTTTCCCTGTTTTAATTTTTTTTTTTCTGATTTTTTGTTGTTTTTTCACTATAAAATACAGTAAAGGTTTCACAGACTCCAATAGTATTGAACACGAATAATATCGTGAATGGTATATGTGCTGGGAGGATTACAATTCATGTTGGCAAGATCTAGTGTGGGTTGAGTTATAATGACATTGGTTTGTATCATCTCACGTACTGAGTTGGTGCCCCTGGGGGGAAGTCAAGCCGCCTCTTCCTTTTGAATGGTCGCTTTTGTCTGTTGTTTCCAGTATTGCTTGGTGCTGGAGACACTTGATACCCCTTCTTCCCATGGAGTTAATTTTCCCTGTTTTAATATGAATTCTAGAAATCTTTTGGATTGATTAGCTTTTTTAGAAGCATTGGATCTCCGAAGTACAATTCTCGCAAAAAAAGGCTTCCACTTTTTTGTACTTACGAACCACAATTCTCTGTCTGTACTTGAGCAAATGGTACTATTATTTATGATCGTACCAGAATAATTGGTTGCATGTCACATACTGTTCATTTTAAGGACAAGTTAGAAATATTCTCTATTCTGAGAATGTTTTTCACCTAAACACAGCAAGTTTTGACTAACTGTGTGAAATCATTTGACATGCATGATAAAATATACATTTTAGACTTAGGCAGAAGAGTTGGCAGAAGGAAAGGAAAATATTCACTGTGGGACCCAGCATTCCACTGATGCTTCATCTACTTAGTCACTGCTCAGATGGGCATATAATTCCCGGCTTCTGTCACTGGTGAATTGCCTCTATATATAAAATGTGTCTATATATGAAAAGTGTTGGAAGTCTGTGAAAATCCCCATTAATGAAAAGAGATTTGTCTTGATTGTCTCTGCATATAAAACAAAACCATCCGTATCTAAATAGCTATATCTTCTAAGAAACTATGTTATGGTTGGACTTATTTATAATAATGAAGCCTATTCATCAAAATTATTATAGGCTGCAGGAACTGAAATAACTTATATGCTGTACTTGAGTTATCTGGTGAAAAGAATTCAGCTGAAAGCAAAATTATATTTTCTTTTAATAAATACAGTTCCTTCTACGGTTTCGCTGCCAGGAAATTTTCATGCATTTCTTATGTATTTACAGAGTGTGTTTTCTTTGTAAAGTGTGATATTTTAAGCATAACCATAAATTATAATTATGTTTTTACTATTCTTGCTTTATTTGTACCAAACTGCAGCATCACAAGGTACGAAACAGCATGTAAAAAAAGTATAAACCACAAAAAAAATATATGACCACAATATATGCAATATGTAACACCCACTTAAAAAGTGTGTCCACCAAAGACAAATAGACAAACAACAAAAATATAAGTGAGGTGTACAAGGGATGATATCACCTAAATATAAGAGATGGATACCTCCTTGGTATAACAAAGGAAAAATCTGACAATAGAACTGACATAGGGTGATATCGTCAAATACCAGTAAACCCACAAGGTATAAAATGCAATCACAAGATGGCAAATGATTTTCAGCCCATCAAAAATGAAGCTCGAACATCTGTAGGTTCAAATGACTTCAGGTGTGATGTATAGCAGCTTTGGTATGGAAAGATAGAAAACACAAATATAGTGCAAATGGTAAGTATAAAAAACACAATTTATTAGAATGCACTTATAGGATAGAAGTTAAAATAGGCATGTCTCCGTATATAACGGACCTGCAGCTGATCTATATGGTGTTAAAAAGAATCAGGAACCAGCAGAAATACAGAAACAAAGTCCCAACAAGAGATAAACTCTGTCTCCATGCTTTTTATCCGACGTGTTTCGTCTCACAGACTTCTTCAGGGATGTATGTCGTCATCTTCTCAGTCTTCGTTTAAATAGTGATAGTAATCCTCCGTTACGTTCCAGAACCAGAAAATAGGTGGCGTTTCAATGGGAAACGCACGCCCACACTATTTAAAAGAAGGCTGAGAAGACGACGACATACATTCCTGAAGAAGTCTGTGAGACGAAATGTGTCGGATGAAAAGCAAACAGACTCTGAGTTTATCTCTTGTTGGGACTTTGTTTCTGTATTTCTGCTGGTTCCTGATCCTTTTTACACCATATAGATCAGCGGCAGATCCGTTGTATATGGAGAAATGCCTATTTTAACTTCTATCCTGTAAGTGCATTCTAATTAATTGTGTTTTTTGTGCTTACCATCTGCACTATATTTATTATTTCTATCTTTCCATACCAAAGCTCCTATACATCACGCCTGAAGTCATTTGAACCTACAGACATTCGGGCTTCAATTTTGATGGGCTGAAAATCATTTGCCATCTTGCGAGTGCATTTTATACCTTGTAGGTTAACTGGTATTTGATGGTATTACCCTTTGTCAGTTCTATTTTCATCTAGATATCTGGAAAGATTTTTCCTTTGTTATACCAAAGTGGTATCTATCTCCTTTATTTAGAAAAAGTAGCCTAGAAAATGTGAGTTTTGTTTTTGCTTTTTATTTGTGCTGTTTTAGGTTTTCAGAGGCTAAGTGATTTAAATGTACTTTTTATCAATCAATTTATGAATTACGTTCCACAGAGAAGTTTACAACAGTAAACCTATCTCCTAACAATGGGAAGGAAGATGAGGGTGGTTGTACATAAGAGTAAGCGTTGTGTACTATCCATCAAACAAGCCAGCCCTACTCAGTTAAGACCATACGCAGAGTGCTTCTGAAGTGCTTAGCCCATGGGGCGTTAATCCCTGAATGCACTTATCTGAGTGTGAGTGTCTAAGAACGCATTTGTTTACCACTTTATGGGTACAAACCTGGGAGATTTGGGAGGTATGAAGAAAGGAGAAAGTAACTTTTGTATTGGGTGTTCAGTTTTCTGTAATGTACTATCCATAGCTTTCTTTTATCATGCTTTTTGTTCCAGGAGAAAAAACGAATAGCGATTTGCAATGCTGCACGTCAGTGGGATATTCAGCAAAACAGAGTTCCCTCACTTGCTTCAGATCTAGAAAGTCTTGACTGTGCAAGTCCTTCTCATAAACCTTGCCAGATAAACGGGACTACGTCTTATGAATTTCCTAAAGAAGAAAGGTAATCAATTTATGGTATTTAAAATGACAGGGTAAAGGCTGTGCTTACCCTGTTATAGATTAAGATTGTTTAGTATGCTGAACTCAATTTGTATGCCTTCAGTCATTCTGAGCTTAACAGATATGTTTGGTGGTGTAGCAATGAGTTTTGCGATTTGTGGTTGAATACAGATTATTTAAATTGTTAAATTAGATATTTGTGTTAATTGCACTGCACATGCAGGTTTGTCAGTTAAAGGGACACTGTGGGCACCCAGACCACTTCAGCTCATTGAAGTAGTCTGGGTAGAGTATCCCTATTGCCTTTAGTGCTGCAATGTAAAACATTGCAGTTTTAGAGAAACCACAATGTTTACATTGCATTACTAAGGCAGCCTCTAGTGGTTGTCTACTAGACAGTCACGAGAGGTACTTCCAGGACTTTGCAAGATTTTAGGTCACCTAACTCACACTCTGCATGCTTTCCTATGGGCAAGACCTAATTTGCTTGCGGCCATCGTCACTCTGTGTGGGTGGGCCAACCGACTGACGAGGGAGATCGGTGCTGGAATTGGGTAAGTGACTTAAGGATTTTTTAACAGTTGCAGCACCGTGGTGGTGGGGTGCGAGGGAGGATGGGGCAGAGGGAACTATGGTGCTAGAAATATTGCTTTACTGTAGTATCCCTTTAAGGCTTGGGAAGTACCAACTTATTAAAGAATAAGCAAGATGCGCTGGAGATTATACATGACGATCTGGCCAAGATGTTAAGATCCCGGTAGAGGTTTAGCTAATGTGCAAATGCTTCCATAGCGCCGGGTTCACTGTGCGGTACAAAAATAGTAAATAAACTAAAAAGAACAGTAAGTGTAACCTTTGGGGAACCTATAAGTCTGTCAAAATTACTGTAATTATAAGGGAAAGCAATGGTCTAACTGATTGACATAATGCTGACAATATGGGAAACCTAAAATAAATGAATGAAAATTGAAAAACAAAAAACCTTTATTTATATAAAAGTAACTTAGTGTCCCTTCATAAAAACAAACAAACAGAAATAAATGTGCTCAAGAAAAAGTGCTAATAGTGTGTCGGTGCACAAGTTATTAGTGATTTTCAGTGTTTTATTTTGTGGTGTAATTTCTGCAGAAATTTTCCTCAATTTCAACACGAAAAAAAAATATGTGCATCAAGTTAGGTTTTATGTTTTGTTTTTTTTGTCATTGTATTATTTTTTTAGACATTAACTTGATTTCAAATGTAAAATGTATTTGTTTGTGTGAAATACTAACACAATTTCCACTCAGTTTAATGCTATGTAACATTAGTGCTTATTCATTAGAAAGATTAGATATTGATGAATAAATTTATATACATTTTGGCGACTACTGAAAATAGGAGTATCGAGGCAGCAGTTCTCAAATGCTTGAGAGATGAGTCATAAGATGAAATGCGGTATAAATTACCCAGGCTTTACTGAATGCATTAAGAAATAAAAATAAAATCACAGCCTATAATTAGGCTATTTTCTGGGAAAAACATATAAGGTGTTATTTTCTTACTTCTTCTTGTCTGTTGATTTAAGTTGGGTTTTTTTTTTTTTTTTTTTACAATTTCAATAACTTTAGCTATTTTGCAGCACCTCATCATACATAAGTTGGCTTCCTGCCACATTCTCATTAAAGTTCTTAATTCAAATCTAGAAGTAAACTTTGTTTGGAAGTGCACCCTTCTTGACATACAGGCACTAGTTGGTTTACTTCTAAAAAGTTCCCTTTTACTTCTTCACTACTGATTAATTTGCTGATAAAAATACCAGAAACTAGATGCCACTGTGTCACGAGAAATAGCAATTTAAAAGACAAAACAAAACTTTCATGAACAGGTTATTGTTCAGTGAAAGCAAAATAATAGAATCAGTACATCAATAAAGTTTTTTTTTTTCTTTGAAAGCCCACCAGGCATTTATGGTATATGTAGATAAACAGTTGACAGCAATTGCTTACATGACATAGGATGTAATGAATTGATGTCTAAGCTAATGGCAGCTGTAGCCCAGTTCCAATTAGCTTGGGCCTTAGGATCATTTATAAATTTTTATTACATGTATATATCTGGTATGGGAACAGATTCTCTAAGAGCACCCTGTACCTTATAAACTACACACTTATTACCCATTTTTCAATAGAGCCTTTCCTGTAACTTTATATTTGACTATAAGCTTTACTGACAGTTCCATTCATAGATGTGTGAGTGAAGGTGTCAGACATGACCACGACTGAGGCTCATCCACAGTAAGTGTGTGTAGTGGGGTGGGAGGGAGGGTTATTATTTATATAAATATAAAGAAAATAAAACAGGTTGCACCAAATACAATAGTAGCAATATCAAAAAGTGTTTGTAAGGTAAATATGTTCCGCAGGTAGTCGAATATTTTCACCAACTTCCATAATATGAAATGAAAATAAGCAACAGGAAAAACAGAATAGTTTGCGTCAAAGGCAAAAAAGAAAAATTATAAAAAATACACTCACAAAAAAGGAGCTAACTATCTTTCGTGGTTCCAGTGGCTCAGCCTCCTTAAATTTAATCCAGGCGTTCTTGGGTTGGATTATGGCAGATAGCACGGTTTGCGAATGTTAATGAATCACATGGAATTTTCATTCACAATAATTTATTTTCTGCTCAAACAAAAACAAAAATTTCAGATTTCACTATAATATATAATTGAATATTCATCAATACTTATTTACTGCTGTTTATTAGGATTAATCAACACATTGTCATAACTGTTGGCTATTTATTATTAAAAATAACTTTTTTACAGACACAGACAGCACTTTTCTGCCAAACAACCAGTACACCAAAATTTAGTTTATGACTATAGTGTTTGTAAACAAGCTGAATACCACAAACGTCTTTCTCAAGTTTTTTACATTTGTACGCAACATTAATGGATCCTCATTAATTATATTAAATACAGGACATGCACTGATCAGTCACAACATTAAAACCACTGACAGGTGAAGTGATTAACATTGATTATATTGTTACAATAGCACATGTCAGTGGGTGGGATTTATTGGACAGAAAGCGAAAAGTCAGATCTTGAATTTCATGTGTTGGAAGCAGGAAAAATAGGGAAGCAAAAAGATCTGAGTGACTTTAACAAGGGCCAAATAGATGACAACTTGGTCAGAGCATCTCCAAAACGACAAGTCTTGTAGGATGTTCCTGGTATGCAGTGGTTAGTACCTACCAAAAGTGGTGCATGGAAGGACAACCAGTGAACTGGCGTCGGGATCATCGGCACCAAGGCTCATTAATGCATGTGGGGAGCGAAGGCAAGCCCGCCTGTTCCAATCACATAGAAGAGCTACTGACGCTAAAATTGCTGAAAAATTTAAAGCTGGCTTTGATAGTTTGCTGCACATAGGAGTGGAGTGAGACCGGCAGAATCTCCCCTGTCGGCTCATGCAGAGCCGGCGCTATCCGAGCGCCGGCTCTGCTCTCAGCCCCCCTCCCCACCGACCCACAGGCAGGGAGGGAGGCAGGAGAGGACCCGGGGAGCTCTTGCCAGCAGCAACGCTCAGATCTCGCGAGAGTGAACTCTAGCCCCGCAGGCTAGAGTTCACTTTCACCACTAGGACCACCAGGGAAGGCAGAAAGGATCCCCCCTCCCTGGCATAACGTAACAAGGGAGGGGGGATATTAAGTAATCTGCCCCCACCTCTACTGGACCACCAGGGAAGGCAGCAGCACGGTCCCCCCTCCCACAGCAGTGTATGTGTATGTATGTATATATATATATATATATATGTGGTGTGTGCTTGTGCTTTAGGGTGCACACCCTAATGTAATAGGCTGTGCACGCCTATGTTGCTGCATATGGTTCTCTAAAGCTGCAGACTGGTCAAAAGGCCTAAGATAAACCCTGTCCACCTCCCAAAGTGGCGTCAGTGGGGACGTGAGCGTAAGAACTGGATCGTAGAACAATGGAAGAAGGTTGCCTTGTCTTATGAATCACTTTTTCTGTTAGATCAGTTGGATGACTGGGTACTTAGAATAATACACCCTGCCACACTGCAAAAATGTTCAGGAATGGTTTCAGGAATGTTACAAAGAATTCAAGGTGCTGCCTTTGCTTCCAAAGTCCTTAGATCTCAATCCGATTGAGCATCTGTGGGATGTGCTGGAAAAACAAATCCGATTAATGGAGACCCCACCTCGTAACTTGCAGGACTTAAAGGATCTGCTGCTAATGTCTTAATGCCAGATACCAGGAAACATGTTCAGAGGTCTCATAGAGTCCATGCCTCGACACATCAGAGCTATTTTGGCAGCACAAAGGGGACCTACACGATATTAGGCAATTGGTTTTAATGTTGTGACTGATCAATGTATAGTCTGTGTAATGACGGTACAACATAGCAAAACTGAAAAACAGAACAAATACACAAAAGTCAATTTTTAACTACCTTAAAGAAACACAAACATTCTGCAGTGTCCATACTAAACACTGCTACTTACACACCTTCACATTTATTGGCATTATCAACGCACTTGGCTGTCCATAACTTTCAACCTGTGATGATATGTTGTCACTAACCTTGAAATATTGAACTGTCAAGTTTGACATTGCAACATTAATGACTACATCACTATTTTGCTTGTTCCTGACTGTACTTTGATGTATCCAGCGGAGGAGAGTCCCTGATAGGACTAGGGCTTCGCTACAGTGAGTTCTACTTTTCTAAACCTTTCACTTGCAGACGCCACCGGGTTCTGTTCAGCGCCAGGAGCCAACTAATTTGCGCAAGAGTACAGCATTGAGGTTTATGGAGGATCCAGCAAGACCTCCCACTATCTAGAAGGGTCAGCTATAGGAATTTTTTTTTTTTTACATAGAGCAAATGAAAGTCAAAAAGTTAACATTTTTAATTTGACAAAACATTAATTGAAATACAATTGGTATGTTTATGATTGAGACTAGTTTTCATTGAGTTTTGCATTCATAAAGATGTGCTGAAAGGAAGGCATGAATACAATGCACAATTTTTACTGTATTTGTAAGATCAGAAAATATTGTTCTATCTGATCTTATATATATATATAAAAAAAGGATAAATTCTTACATTTAGTAAGTTACTCGTAGGGAGAAACCCAATTTACCAATATATCTTATTTACAAAATCTAATTTCTAAGAGCAAGTATTGTAGTTTACAAAAAAAAGGTTTAATTGACATGAACCAGTGTTAACCGTTGTACACCATATATATTGAAAATGGGACAAAACCGGAATTCTTCCTCCTTAAAATTTTTTTTTTTTTTTTTTTTTAAACAAACTCATCTACGATAGTGGAACAACTCATCCTAATCAAGTTGTGTGAGATTCGTGTCAATTCATATAGTTTCATTTCCATTCGGAAATTCTATGTCTTAGCCTGTGATCTCAACATTTTTTTTTTTGTGTGTGTGTTACAAATGTATAATTTGCATAAAGAAGCAAACTTATAAGTGAAATCCGAGCGGTGTTTGTAAGCCAAAGCAATACCTGCCTGGAGCCTCATAGTCTGCCACGTATTTAGAGAGAACTGAACATATACATTAATGTTACAGGATTACCTCATATGTCAGATTTCCACGCGTACCTCTAAGGCTCAACATCCAAATCCTGTTCTGAAATCGTCCGCATTCCTGCTGAACAAAGCAAGATTTATGCATCGTTACAGTTAATTAGACTGTCAAAATGATTGCACGGCTCCCAGGAGTAATATCTGTGTCACAACCGAAGCACTGTTTAAGGTGTTAAAATACAATAATGTGACCCTACCATATTTAATTATGGGAATTAAATTAGCAGTGTCACATATTCTGTGACTGTTTCATAAATGTCAATGTAAATATTAATAGCCTTGGCGGAATGTGTGGTACTAGAAACTGTTAAAAATATTTGAGACATTGTAAGGCCATAGTAGAGAAGCAATAGTAATTATTTTAGTTTTGGATTTGTTTTGTCCTTTGCTGTTTTTTTTCCGTTTGTTTGTTTGTTTTGTTTCTTTGATAATAGCTTAGCAAGATAATGAATATTTTAAGAGGTTCTATCAAATTTGAAGCCTCTACTGCAGTAAGATGTGCCGCATTGGTAATTATAACATTTATCTTCAGTTCCATCATTACTGCCATCTTACTGAGATACTCTACGCATGCAGGTTTTTTCTTGTCATTCCCCACAATCACTTTCTGCAAACATATTATGGGCCTTGATCTACACAATGTAAAAGAAACAAAATATTAGCATACACTTTTTTATTTGCATATTGTTTATCATCATTTTCATGAGGGCAACTTTCTTTTAACCCCTTAACACAGTTACGGCGTTCTATGCCGTCCCCATTATAATGAGCTTTAAAGCCATTGGCTTTCTCCCCCAGGAGCTCCGGTGGACTTATCTCCGCCGTGATCCTCTTCAGGAGGACTGCCTGACAGCCCAGGCTGCCCTCCTTCGGCAAACAAGGCCCCCTATAGCTAGCTGTGGATCTGCCTGCAGGGAGACTGTCTGGGCTGTCAGTCCCCCTGCTGGTGGGAAGTATGAAAAAAAAAATGAAACATGTTTAAAATTAAATAAATGTGTGTGTATATATATATATATATATATATATATATATATATAACATTATAGGTAGTGTATTTTAATGTTAATATAATAACATATATTAGTATTAAAATACACTTAGAATGAAGTTACATTTATATAAGATATATATATATAATACATACGTATAATTACAATAATGAATAAATAAAATATTTTAAAAAAATTTAAATAAATTATGTATACATATGTAATTTCATTCTAACTGTATTTTGTTATTAAAAGCTTGAGGGTATCGGGCTGAAACGTTGACACTTTGGATGTTTTAGTGAAGGTAATAAAAGTTAATTTTTACAAGTCCCTGGAGTGCTATCTTTGGAACTTTTTTTGTATTTTGGCTGACAAGCACCGGGCATCAAATCATTTAAAAGGTGGAGTGCAAGATTTTTTCTATTTTTTATATATATATATATATATATAAAAAATACACTTAGAATGACATTCTATATATATATATATATATATATATATATATATATATATATAATACAAATAACTGCAAATTTTTATATATATATAATTACATTAATGATTACATAAGTATACACGTAGAATTTAAATACATATATAGGTATGTATATTAAAATTCAACGTGTATATTTAAGTAATCTTTTAGCATAATTATGTGATTTTTATTAATTAAAATTTGATTGACATGCCTGACAACCCAGGCTGAAAGTGCAGGGAATGTAATTCGCAAGCACTATATTTAACCCTGTAACTTTCCAAGACACCATAAAACCTGTACATGGGGGTACTGTTTTACTCGGGAGACTTTGTTGAACACAAATATTAGTGTTTCAAAATTGTAAATTGTATTACAACATTGATATTTTTAGTAAAAGTTAAGTTTTTGGCATTTTTCACACATGAACAGCACTTTTACTGACGATATTATTGTTGTAATACGTTTTACTGTTTGTGTTCAGTGAAGTCTCCCAAGTATAACGGTACCCCCTATGTACAGGTTTTATGGTGTTTTGGAAAGTTAGAGAGTCAAATATAAGGCTTGCATTTCTTTTTTTTCACGTTGAAATTTGCCGGTCTGGTAATGTTGCCTTTGAGAGCGTATGGTAGCCCAGGAATTAGAATTATCCCCATGATAGCATACCATTTGCAAAAGTAGGGAACCCAAGGTATTGCAAGTGGGGTATGTCCAGTCATTTTTTGCTTTTTTTACACAAAAAACAATATGAACGCTAACTTTGGCCAGTGTTTGTGACTAAGTGGCTACTAAAAAAGACTGGACATACCCCACTTGCAATACCTTGGGTTGTCTACCTTTGCAAATAGTATGCCATCATGGGGGTAATTCTCATTCCTGGCCTACCACATGGTCTCAAAGGTAACATTACTAATCTGGCAAGTTTCAATGTGGAAAAATGGAATGTGCTATATTTGACCCTGTAACTTTCCAAAACACTGTAAAACCTGTTAAATAGGGGTACTGTTGTACTCGTAAGACATTGCTGAATACAAATATGTTCATTTTATTGCAGTAAAAGCTAACAGTATTATGACATTTACAGCTAAAATTTCAGGCGGAACTACAAATTGTTTTTAAAAATCTTAATTTCTTATAGTTTTTTCTATTTTATTCATAATAAATTATGTTTCATATATGAATAGTTCATGAGAAATTAAAGCCCTGTTTCTCCTGAACAAAACGATATATAATAAGTGTGAGTGCACTTAATATGAAAGAGGTGAATTACGGTTGAACAGACATATAGCGCAAATTCCAGTTTTTGTTTACATTATGTTTTGATCAGAAAGTGTACAATTGACTCCGTCCTGAAGGGGTTAAATTGCTTTGTACTCCTTCAGAATGTTTACATTTTTTTTTTAGATCCATATCAGAGTGTATTGTGTTTCCCACTTAGGTTCTGAAAGAATACATGGTCCTTTAAAAAATAAATAACATAATTAAAAGACATACTCCAATAATGATTAAAATACATGTACCCCAATCACCAGATACTACAGACAATAATGTGAGCGATATCCATTGAGCTGGTGTTGTTGTTATTGTTGTTATTATTATTATTATTATTATTATTATAGAAGTAATATTGCACGTGCATGTTTTTACAGTTGTTAACAGGGCTGAAACAATTTTTTTTTATTTTTTTTTATATATACATATATATTTACCTGCTTGTGTATACAGTGTGTTTTATTTCATCTATCTTCACTCCCCATAGCAACCTTGTACAAGCACAATCTACCAAAAACCAGTAAGGCATGTCCGGAAATCATTCCTTAAGACAGAAAATGTATAACAAGATTGTAAATATTGCTTGCAGCATGTATTTGTGTAGTAACATGATAGTATAATTGAACTTAAATTCATACCTTAAGAAAGGTTATACAAAACTAAAACATGGGCTCTAAAGAACTGAGATTGCACTGTTTTCAGGTTTTTAAAACCAGTTTGAAAATTAGAGTAAATTCATTTAATATTTTGTAATTCTTATAGTTTCGTAAGGTAATAGATTCATGCAATGTCTCTCTTCTAGATTTCTAAAATTGAAGAGAAGAATCTTCTCTGGTGTTTGTGTTTAAAGCTGTAATCTGCTATGCCATACTTAAAATATCTGTTTGTATGCAATTGTTAATAATTGTTCAGTATCCTGTTCACATTCATGTGCCAGCAGTATAAAATAAATTATCGGTATACCACTGATGTTAATCTGTTTGAGACGTAGGCCTAGGACACATGATGTACTCAAGGGCATTGGTCTGTCCCCCTTATCCCATGTGGCATCACTGATGCAAATGTTTGAAGATTTTAATACATGGGTGGACGTGCAGTGGTTTTTGCTCTGTTTGGGAATTGGGTAATGTCTTGTTAGGTATCCAAGGCTTTGATGCCAAATGCCTCTTCCAGAGTCCAAACGTATACTTCAGTATATTTAATATTTATACGTAGCAGATAAAAAAAAAAAAAAAGCAGAACTGGAAGTGACAGTTCTTACTTCATTAAGCCCAGTAAATGCTATTCCTGTAATTACTGGGGCGAATAATGCAGCAGAGGACAATAAAATTATATACTGTATATGTGTACTGTGGATTTGATACCTCAGTTGTCCGGGTATGTAATGGAGAAATGTTGTAGGAAAACATGCACGCTCTGGATTTCCACAGCAGTGCCATACGCCTGTATGCTTCAAGCGTACAGCACTGCATGGGTTAATTAATGTACATAGTTTGCCCGGCAGAATATGTAAGAGAAAAGAAAGTATGAAGAATTGTAAAATACTTTTATCAAAGCCAGTAGCTAACTTTTAGTTAGCTATTAGGTTGCACTAAGATCACAAGCACATCAGTTTGTCCCTTTGTTTCTTACTATTTTTGTTTTGAAATCTGTCTCAGGTGTTTTTTTTATACACATTAGAAAAGTATGGATTACTTTTTATTACTCGGACCGTGATTTTCTGCATTCTTATGTTGACCGTTTCTTTGCAAAGCCCATTCATCCACATTCCACCAATCAAAGGGATTTACTTACCACTGTCCTGATTGGCCTCTTGCAAGGTCTGACACAATGGTGGGCATGTTTACTGTGTAACAGTGTTTTGTTGTAAACTAACATTCAGTTTAAATGATGAACGCTCGTGTATTCAAGTAACAGCTTTCCTGTGTCTGTCAAAAGCAATTCTCTTCATATGTATATACAGATATTAAATAATGGGCATCTTTTACACCAAACCATTTGTCATTTCCAGCCTTTTTACTTTGCATTCCTCCATGCATAACTCTATAACAACTTGCGCGGTGGCCTTGATACCTTCCATTCACATGATCACTAAATAACTTACTGAAAGTATTATAAAATCCTGGAAACAATGAGGGTTTTGCTTAGTTGACTTGGTCCTCCGTAAATCAAACATTAGAATGACAACACTGCCAAATAACAAAGAACAGAAGCAGACTAGATCAGTGTTTGTGCCAACTTTAGTTACATTGAGTTTGCAAGCTGGATTAGTAGTGTGATAGAGAGCCTGGCCGGGAGTGTTGACATGAATTAAGAGTAAATGTTTGGCTGAAGATCGCTTGAAATGGCTGCGCAAACTTTCCATAATATAATGAAAACAATTTGTATTGGACGCTAGGGTGACGAGCTGGGTAAAATAATACGTTTAATTTCCAACTACTACTGTGTTTGCTTTGTAAATGAGTAAGATGTTTATCAACTGCAACCACAGGTAAACTAAAACTTTGCACTTTTCAATAACGTCTACTGCCTTAACCCTTTAAGTATGTATGACATGTCATGATTCCCTTTTATTCCAGAAGTTTTGTCCTTAAGGGGTTGATCAACTCTTTCATTAACACACATGCTGGTTTTCGTCTAACATTCAAATAGCAGTAAACGCTTCTAATGTACTATACAAGCAGTTTTATATCTTCACCAGTTCAGACCCAGGTGCATACTTTAACCTGGCCTTCTAATCCCTCACTCGGCTGCTCTATTCCCTCGATGGTAGAGAATTCTAGTAGTTAAGTCCATCGTCAGGATCCACCCAAGCTCACTTTAACAGTTCCCGTTAGTGTTGGTGCCAAGATTAATCTATGAAGTTAAAGGAGTATCTGTTCTCTTTTGCCAGATGTCTATAAAAAGGGAAAAAACAAAACTATTTTACTTTATTCATATCTGAACATATTTGCCACGTTAGAGGCTGATAAACCTGATAGTACAATCGTTCTAAAAAGTGTGGAATTAAAGTGACACTATAGTCACCTGAACAACTGCAGCTTATTGTATTTGTTCTGGTGAGTATAATCACTTCCTGCAGGCATTTTGCAATTAACACTGTTGTTTCAGAGAAAATGTTTACATTACAATCTAGGGATACCTTCATTGGCCACTCCTCATATGGCTGCTGGAGGTGCTTCCTGGGGCAGTGCTGCACAGTGTGGCTGACATTCAGTGTCTCCAGCCTCTGCAAGGATACACTGAACTTCCCCATAGAGATGCATTGATTCAATGCATCTCTATGAGGAGATGATGATTGGCCAGGGCTGCGTTTGGCTCATGCTGGCTCTGCCCCTAATCTACCTCCTTTACCAGCACAGCCAATCCAATGCTTTCCTATGTGAAAGCATTGTGTTTGGCTCAGATCATCACTTCTGATGCTGTCAGTCAAGCAGTCGGATTAGGGGCAAAGCCAGCAGCAGCAGACTGGAGTAGAGATAAGATTTTACTATAATTAGGGGGCAATGGGGATCAGAAGGACTAGATGGTGTTTTTAACACTATAGGGTCAGGAATACATGTTTGTGTTCCTGACCCTGTAGTGTTCCTTTAATAATTAATCTGAATGTTAAGATGCACAGTAAAGGGACGTGCACATATTTATTGTTTGCTTGTCTGTGTCAGTTGACAAGCGAAGCTCTTCTTTCCTTCCGAAATATGCCTTTATGCTAAATGTTTTGGTCCTGTTTGAGATTAAAATGAACAGCAAAACATCTCCCAAAACAAAGCACTTTACATAATTACATTGTATGTAATAAGAAACTAATGATTTTTTTTTAAATATTGCACCTGTGCTAATTACAAAGTGACACTTGGGTCGGAGCGTTTAAGAAAACTACCTGTTTAAACCCTCTCAAATACTTGGAAAAAAATTCAATGGAGTTACTCAAAAAAGAAGTGACATAGTAACAGATCAGGCCATGTATGGTTGCTTTATTTTGTCATGAAGACTTTTGTACATAGACTGTTAATCCGTTTGTTTCTAAATCATTTGTTAATGTGAAGAATACGTGGTGGTTTGTGAAATGATGATGATCATCTTAATTGCTGTGTTTGAAGTGTCCAACTGTTTTTTGCAGATCAATTGACACAGTTCTCAGCAGTGCAGTGCAAGCCCTTTCTGTCATAGATTCCCACCTTGTGGAACTTGAAGGAGATACACTTTGTCTTTATGGGTCAGGGGCCCTGGAGTCATTGGATAGGACTTGGAGTGTTCAGACTTCGGGGTCAGTCTGCACCGTCTCTTTTACTTTCGTAAATTTTGATGATATAGTACAAGTTCTTCCAAAGCTGAGAATCAAATTTCCTAACGCTACGGTAAGAATAAAGAAAATGCATAACTACATAAAATAAATACAATAAATAATAAAATGTAAAGTAATACATCACTCCCTGGAGCGTCCTACAATACACTAGCATGGCCACAAATAAGCCCACCCCTCAGTAGTGGCAGAGGGTACTGTTGCCTTACGTATATATATATATATATATATATATATATTTTTTTGTATTTCTGGTTTTTACATACACAAAAAAGTGTCAGCCATCTTTGCGCCATCAATCGTATGCAAGTGATGTATTGTCGTCAGAAGTGTATACTGTTTACCTATATACCTACTGTTATGTACATTATTATGCTTTGTATGTAAAATTGTGCTGTCTTCTTGTGCAATGTACTTTTATATTATGCTATATAGTTTCCCAGTATGTACTAATTTCTTATAATAATTTCTTATAACCACTCTTTTTTATCATTTAATTTAAATAAGGTGCATAAGTAAACAAAATAAATACATAAATAAAAAAATAATAAATAAATAAATAAATATATATATATGTCAGATATTTGCCTAACATGGCCATTGCAGCAGGGGTGGATCATTTTCAAATTCTGCTAATATGAGCTATTCTTTTTTCGTTCCCTCCACCCAAATCTGGTTAGATATATACACTTGTTTGGTGTTCAAAAGACAACCTACCCTTTTAAAGGATGTTATGATTAGTAGAATTTAAACACTAGGCATGCTTGTTTAATGTATTGGCATGCCCTAACTTGCATTTAAGTAAAATATATTAATGTTATCAGCCTCTATGCATTATTTTAATATATGTCTTCTTTGCTGTTCGAGCAGTCACAATACATTTCCAACAAATAATTTTATAATCAGTGTGTTCTTATATGTTTCTTATTTTAATTAATTGTTGTATACATGAGCATATTTCCTTTATCTGTGAAAGACATTCAGATATATTTGTTAGATTACACACACACACAAGGTTATTGGCATTCAGATATTAGAAAATGTGTAGAGTAGCAGTAGTTAATAACAGTGAATATTTAAAATGTCAGCCTTTGCTTTATGCCTGTGTTGTTTAGTGTTTTTTGTATGTTTGTGTTTAAATTTGATTAGACAAGTCGATGTAGGTTGGAGAGATCCTATTAAATTATTAACTATACTGTAAATATGAGATATACAACTTCGAGATCAGAACTGGCAACATGTGAGACCCAAAATGTTTTAACTGTACAGTCCATGGTTGGTTTCCTGTCACTTGTGCTTTTGGATCATAACCCATGCTTAGGTTTAAAAAAAAAAAAAGCTGTCGATTAGATGAGTCAGTATGACTGCAGAGATCCTATTACATTTTAATATTGTTATTATATGCTTAATAAGGCATCTGGTAATGGGCTGTCAGTTGACTGATGTAATAGCCTAACCAGTTTATGAATAGTTTAGTTGTGGGGTTGCTGCATTGGAAGGGAGGAATTAGTGGTGGTGAACCCAGAATATAAATTTCTTAATAATGGTGCTGCTGTAGAGACATGTATTCAAAATGCATCTGAATTGAACAATTCATTCAATTCATAGCTCAGTTTCAAATTGTATGATGCTACATTAAATCACCTGTGCTAAACTGCAAATTTAGTCACACTAAAAGGCCACATTGTAAAGTACGCCAAGTATCCCAACACTTATTTTAAAATGGGAGATAAACATGCTGACTACAAAATCCACTGCCTAAACTGCTTCTACAGGCTATGTGCTCACTATTATTAGTAAAAAAAAAAAATCTGTCAATAAAAGTAATAGGTATGGGGTGAAAACAAAGAAACGTTACCTGCGCTCTGGCCTAAATCCCCATGTGCATTTAAACAAAATGGAGGCTCTTTAGTTTCATTCCAATGGCCATTTGAATATATAAGCTCACCAGCCACGTCAAGGCAAGCCTCAATAGGTAAGTTCCTACACTAGCCATTAGATATGCTGTAGGAACTCACCTATTGAGGCTTGCCTTGACGTGGCTGGTGAGCTTATATATTCAAATGGCCATTGGAATGAAACTAAAGAGCCTCCATTTTGTTTAAATGCACATGGGGATTTAGGCCAGAGCGCAGGTAACGTTTTCTTTGTTTTTACTATGTATTTTAAGCTGTTGGATACTAAGCCACTGCTGCTGTAAGCGCGGTGCTTTATCTTTGTGTTTGTATAGGTATGGGGTGGTCTGATCCTTTTTAAATTATTTAATATTGCAAATGTTATTTTTATTAGGCATCTGGTCATGAGAATCCATTGCGCCAAGTTGAAATCTATCAACCTGGGTGTCTGCTTTCTGATACAAAGCTTAGGACATGTTCGTGTTTACTCCTGTTACCTGTTTGTGTTTATACCTTTAGTCTTACTTAGGGAACTTGGTTACGGTTCTCCAAGTGGCCACACACAATAGATGATTGATATGACCTTTATTTACTTTGTGATTATTGGACTTGCTACCTTAATTAAACAGGTTTGCTAATCATTTAATGTTTCTATTTTTGTTGACTCACAGCACCTAAAATTTAAAGAGACCAATTTGAGCACCCTACATCAGTTCAATGCCTTGTCTCACCTACGTCGGCTTGATCAGTTGACTTTGGATCCTCAGGGAAACCCTGTTGTTAACTTTAGTTTGTGGAAATTCTATGTTCTTTTTAGACTGAACAACTTCAACATACAGAAAATTAATGATGTCGAGGTAAGAAGAATCAAGGAAAACCAAATAGAAATAATAATATCTACTGTTTACTAGTACACAATACTATACTCTTTATAACAAAAGGGTCGTGTGTGGTCATCAAAAGGTTCATACTGTGAATTTCAAACTTTTACTGCACATAAGATTTTATTCACTGAACAGTGAGTTTTAGTGAATTGAAAACAATTGCAAATCAGCTGGTTTTCTACATTTTGCAATTAGTTTTTAAGTCAGCAACGTAAATTGTTTGCTTAAAGGAACACTGCAGGGTCAGGGACACAAACATCTATTTCTGATCTTATTGTGTTAAAACCACTATTTAGGTGGCTTGCACCCTCCTCACCCCCTCCCCCTTCCTTCGCCTCCTTAAAAGCTAATAAAACTTACCGTATTTTGAACACTTCCTGCGCTGGCCACGCCCCAGATCCGCCTCCTTGGTGACATCCTCAGAATATATGATTTCAGCCAATCCATCTAAGGAGTGGCCACTGGAGGTGTCCCTAGGGGGGCAATGTAAACACTGCTTTTTCTTTGAAAAGGCAGTGTTTGCATGAAAAAGCCTGCAGTGAATGATTATACTCACCAGAACAACTGCATTAAACTGTAGTTATTCTGGTGACTATAGTGTCCCTTCAATAAACGTCTTACATATACTGATGGTTTTTAAGGTAAAGGCTCTACGACACCTAGACATATGTAGGTTTATTCACAAAACAACAGATTGTAGCTTTTTGAAAACTAATTGCACAATTTTGTCAAAATTGCTCATTTAAAAAAATAGAAAAAAGATAGAAACTAAACAATTCCTACATAGGTCTCTAATTTAATATTTTCAGATAAGCTTTTTAAATGATTTACTATTTTTGGGTACACTTTTAAAATATTTTTTTTTTCTAAAATATTAAAATATCAAAATATATATAAAAAATATCTAAGTATTAAAACATTTTTAAAAATATTCAATATTTTGCAACGTTTATCCAAATATATTAATCATTTGTAAAGCTTGACCAAAAATTGAGGCCTAGTTAGAGCTTTGATATGTTTTTATGTAATAACGGGGTTATTCAGTAAACACCGTCCAAATTGTCCAAATTACCAAATTCCGACCACATTGACAATTTTTATATTTACAGTCGCAATTCAGTTGGCCCAAGCATATCATTATCAATTGGCCGGATGCATTTGGATTAGCATCTAAACACTATACAAAAAATAGGACCAAATGCATCCAGTAGAATGTCCATTTGCAACTAATCATTTACCTAGTGGATTTTTAACTATTTGCCTGCTTGCTGTTAGCGGGCAAATGGTTTTGCTTTATTTATTTATTTAAACATTTGAAACCTGGGCTTAATTTGAAACCTCCAGACCAGATTTGCAGGAATTGATCTGAATTTCAGCCATCCGGCAGCATTTGGTCTGGCTGAAATCTTGACCAAACCAACACCATTCACAGACCTTGTTGAATAGCATGAACAAGGTCTGGATTTTACAATCTGAATGACCCCGGACTTTAGTGAGTAACCCCTTTAATGTTAGTATTGGGTTTTGAGTTCACCATATTTCACTGTTTGGTGACTAAACCCCATACTAGTGAATGTGAAACATTCTGCTGGTATATAAATGGTGATAGATGACTTGGACACATACTGATGGATTTAATCATCCAGCTTCCACATCACAGTTTTGCTTTAGTGCAGATGAAGGGGATTTTGACAAAAAGTAACATAACTTGTTCACATGTTCCTTTGCTGTTTCTTGGACACATTGTGGATATTCCACATGTGATCTGACTTCCAAATAGTCTGATATTGAGTCTCCTTCTCTCTTTTCGAAGGGGAAAAATAGTTATAAATAATATATATGTGTGTGTTTTCTTTTTGTGTTTTTCTGTAGTCAACTGCCCATATAAACCCTGTTCATTAATAAGGTTGTGTGTAGCCGAATTAGTGTTGGAACTCCCCACAAGCTTTAAGTACATTCTGTACATTTGCTGGGTACAATAACCACACATTATAGTCAAACTTAAAACCTGTCCCAACAGTCCCATAATGCCATGCAATTTATCAAAATGGTCAAAACAAATGTTCCACTTTTTTGTTTCCCATAGAAACAGCCTGGTAAATCATTCATGATGGTAGAAATCTGTAATTAAATTTTGTCGTGAGAAACTGAAACTATTTAAACTTATTGATTGGTGTCTAGAAAAACAAACTGGTATGGCTGTACAGATAAAAATCAACTTTGCAGGTTTGAACTGACTTGATACTGATATTTCCTTATCAATTAACTTTGGTAATGTATTTATGCATCATTCAGGACAATGATTTTACCCAGAAATGTAATTCACTAACCATAATCCTACAACATAACAATGAGTATTGAGGCAGTATTTGATAGACCATTTATTAAAAATGAGGGATTGTTACCTGGAAACAGTTCTTATTGGCACACATAAGTAGAAAGGCTGAGACTATAAAGTCTATTGTTTTGTTAACACTTCATATTTTCATATTTTGATACATTCTTTTAACAGGTTACTCAGAATGACATTATTATGTCGGAGAAATTATTTGGTATCCTTGCCTACATAGCATCGTCCAAATTACCACAATCTAAACTTCTTGCAATACTTGGCGACTTCAGGTAAGTGACTAGATGGATTGTTTAGCATGTTCAGCCCAGCATTATGTAACTCGGCATACGGTTAAATTAAAGTGACTCTCAACACAAATAAAGTTTTCCTAATTTGCTTCTATATAGCTCCGTGTGTCTGCATCTCTTTTTATTTTTTTCCTGAGTGTTCTAGCTTTCGATTGATAGAGAAAGAAAAGTAGGGATTACCTTTCTTTATGTATTGCAGTCAGACAAAACTTGCCAAGGGCAGTGCTTAGACAAGGCTAATGTTACAGTTGCCAATCAAATTTACCACCAATCCTCACTAAAATAAAGAAGGGCAAACAGCAGACATTATAGGCAGACTAGAACACAATGGCTGTGTCCAGGTATTGAGAAACAATAATACATATAAATAAAGGCAGGTGGCAAGGGGGATAGTACAATCATTAAACACAGGGGGCATAAGGTAAGGGGGAAAAAAATTGCGGGGCAACTTTATTGATGAATATTCTGAAATGTATCATGGAGACTGTAGTCACTGCTTCAACCGGGGTCATGTATCAGGAAGACAATTTGTTCTGTTATCTTGTCCTTAATATCTAATATACTTTGATAGATGGCATTATAGGCAAGCTGTTGAAAGTTGCAGAGGATTTTATTTACTTTTGAGTATCTAAGTTCAATTACCTATTCGGTGAATGCAGTCTTCATCTTACTGATCTCAAATGTAAAATCATTAGGTAGAAATAATTTATCATGCCTGTTACTAGATATGTAACCAGAGCAAAAGTATTGTCTGACTCAGTCATAAGCTTTAAAACACTCATGATAAACTAAGAGGCCAACACATTTAACTGCAATAGAAAATAAATGTTTACATGTTCTATGCACTGATCAGCCACAACATTAAAATCAATGACCGGTGAAGTGAATAACATTGATTACCGTGTATAATTATAACAATGGCACCTATTAAGGGGTGACATATGTTAGGCAGCAAGTGATCAGTCAGTTCTTGAATTTCATGTATTCGAAGCAGGAAAAATGGGCAAGCGAAAAAATCTAAGTGACTTTGACAAGACCCAAATATTGATGGCTAGACTATTGGGTAAGAGCATATCCAAAATGGCAAGTCTTGTGTGGTGTTCCCGGTATGCAGTGGTTAGTATCTACAAAAGTTGTCATGTGAGGAGCGAATGCTGGCCTGTCTGGTCCGATCACACAGAAGAACTACAGTAGCTCAAATTGCTAAAAAAAAAAAACCTGGAAACCTTGGATCCTGGCATTCGTGTTGATGTTACTCACCTACCTAGAGATTGTTGCAGACCACCTACACCCTTTCATGGCAATGGGGTTCCCTGAAGGCAGTGGCCTCTTTCAGAAGGATAATGTATGTATGCTCAGGAATAGTTTGAGGAACATTGTGATGATTGTGACTGAGTACCTGGGCCAAGGTTGTCTCTTTCCCTGGAACAGGATAGCTAAAGTGACTTTAGTCATGTTCCCAAACATCAGCCGAGGCTTGATGAAGGCTAATTACAGACATACTTTATTTAACAAACTCGCACATATTTATACAGGCATTCATTCCCATGAGGGGATCATCAACCTAAACAATACAAACCCACCCCAACTCCTCAGTGTCTCGGAAATAACTCTAATTTAATTAACTACCAGGGCACCTTACAATAGCATCCTCAAAACATATGGTTCCCCATACATTAACCCCAAGTGCCATATATCCCCAGAGAAGGTTCTGAGGTACAAGGTGTCCAAATACAAATTGGATCGGAGGTGCGTAATCCGAGCAATCACTGGTTAAAGTTTGACTGGGCCACGGCCATCCTTTAATCCGTCACAGAGTTCCATGCTGCTGTGTAGTAAGCTCTGGTCTCAAATAATGATTTTCAAGGGCACCATATCAGGGATCTCCCAAAAGTCTTTGGTATCCCAGGATGCCTCATCAGGTCCCCAATCTCCCTTCCAAGTAGCGCTCTGTTTAGTGGTCATAGGCCCTAATTTCCAGATAGGAAGTGGGTTAGGTGTTCAAGGTGCTCTGTGGGGTTGTAAGTGATGGTACAATGGGGGGAAATGAGCAAGCACTTTGAGCTCTTTTGGGAGAGTTTACCAGGCATGACAAAGAGTTTAATTTAATTGAGCTGTGGGATGTGCTGGAACAACAAATCTGATCCATAGAGACCTCATCTTGCAACTTGCAGGACTTAAAGGCTCTGCTTCTAATATCTTGATGCCAACTACCACAGGGCATGTTCAGAGGTCTTGTGGAGTCCATGCCTTGACTCAAAGCTGTTTTGGCAGCACAAGGGTCACCTCCACAATATTATGCAGGTGGTTTTAATTTCGCTGATCAGTGTAGTCTTTATGTGTATCGTTTTGTAATGCATATCTATATATATAAGTAAATACCTTCTTTCAGTTGATTTAATGGCTTGCACTTGCTTTACATGAGCTGCCATCTTTAAGTGCTCTTTGTCCTGAACCTCCCTTATCCAAGTCTTTGCAGTGTCCTGGGAGATATTAAATCTTGACATCATACACAAGTACTATGCATCATGAAAGCAGACTCATAGTAAATTTGCTGTCTAAGCTGTCCTATCTGTGTGGATAGCGACAGAGTGCAAACACTGCATTATTTCAATGTCAGCAAAGAGGCCTCGGCTTCTGTCAACTCTACTCAAATGGTTTGACATAAACTAGATGAACTGCCACCAATTTACTATTAGCTGTAGTGGTTATAGTGCTTTGATTGTCCCTTTAATGCTGAACAGTATGGCTCACTTGTATTAATGAATTAATGCCAACTCAATCTGAAAACACTTAAAATGAGTTTAAATCTTTCTGAACTTGCTAACAAAATGAAAGTTAAGAATGTTTTATTGGTGTCAGTGTTGTCATTTGGCACTTGATGCACTAGACATTTAAAGTTGCCAAAGAAAAATGCTATTGTAGATTCGCTGTGTGAAATGCTGTCATGCTGTTGATGCACATGTCTTTTTAAAGAAAGAAACCGTTCAATCAATTTCTGGAGGGGAAATCTAAGAAGTATCCAGCAGCAGGCGATGAAAGTAATGACTACCGGAAGTTGGGAGGAGATATCCCAAGCAGAGCGGCATTGCATTACCTTCCTCAAGATCTGCTCAACGAGAAACTGGAGGTAATAGTGTGTTTCTGCTTTCTATATTTCTTTCCTTGAATTACAAACACCACATGGTATCTTAAATTAAGCTTTCATCTTGTCACTTTTTATAATGTACTTGACAACCTATATAGACTATTAAAGTTCACTTGTCATGCCTGAAATGACACAGTGATGCTTTAAAGATCATAACAATTCATCTGTACATTGATCTAGTCAAATTATTATCAACTTTTATATTAAAGATTTTGAACATTTTACATACAATAATAGCAATAAAAATGTAAAAGAAAAAAAGGGTTAGTCAGGGGTGCTGTGTGTGGATTGTGTGAGGGGTGCTGTGTGTGGAGTGTGTAAGGGGTGCTGTGTGTGTGTGAGGGGTGCTGTGTGTGTGTGAGGGGTACTGTGTTTGTGTAAGGGGTTCTGTGTGTGTGTGTGAGGGGTGCTGTGTGTGTGTGGGGGGGAGTTAGGGGTGCTGTATGTGGGGCGTATGGGTGTTGTGTGTGGGAGGGGCGAGGGGTACTGTGTGGGGTGGGGGTAAAGATACATAAAAAAAAAAAAAAGATATATTAAATCTGTATCCCGCCTCCCTTCTTCTTACCTTTGGTGAAGGAGGGGCACAGCCAGCCCTGGTGGTGGTAAGTATATGTCTGCGAAGCAGCTCTCCCCTCCTCCTGTTGCCATGGTAACGCTCCACACAGATCCCTCCCCCTGCCTCCAGGTCCTCCCGACAGAAAGCAGAGTAGGTGCCTGCCGTTTTGGGCAGGCAGGTGCCTACTTTGCATTGCTGCACACATCCAGTGGCCCCTTCCCTCGGCGACCTATGGCCGTGTGCCCACAGAGAGGGCCCGGCATTCCACCTGTGGCACGCGTGCCATAGGTTCACCATCACTGGCATAGAGACATGTCTACAAATGCTCGCCGTTTAGGGAATAAGATCTATGAACTTGTAACAATAATGGCAACTGATACTGTAGATTTAGTTGCTGTTACTGAGACATGGTATAATGAGAAAAATGACTGGGACATAACAATACCAGGGTACTCTTTATATAGAAAAGACAGGGAATGCAAGAAAAGGAGAGGGGTGGCCCTGTATGTGAAGGATAACATAAAATCTAGCCTAATAAATGTTAGTGAGGCAAACATAGAGTCCATTTGGGTTAAATTAGAATTTGGTAATCACACAGTAACTCGTGTAGGTGTGATTTATAAGCACCCAGGACAAATAAGTTAGATAATCTAGTAGTTGAGGACAGTGGCGTACACATGACCCATGGGGCCCCGGTGCGAAAATTGATCCGTGGGCCCCCTCCGGCGCGTGGGCCAGGCCGCAACACATGGCGGTGGGCACCTGGTCGCAGGGGTTACAGGGCTGCGACCCCTGCGACCGCGGTATGTACGCCAGTGCATGCAGATGCACACACACTTAAAGGACAACTCTTGGCACCCAGACCACTTCAGCTTAATGAAGTGGTCTGGGTGCCAGGTCCAGCTAGGGTTAACCCATTTTTTCATAAACATAGCAGTTTCAGAGAAACTGCTATGTTTATGAATGGGTTAAGCCTTCCCCTATCCTCTGGGCTGTCTCATTGACAGCCACTAGAGGCGCTTGCGTGCTTCTCACTGTGATTTTCACAGTGAGAGCACGCCAGCGTCCATAGGAAAGCATTATCAATGCTTTCCTATGTGACCGGCTGAATGCGCGCGCTTGCGCGCATACAGCCGACGGGGAGGAGAAGAGGATCGGAGGAGGAGAGCTCTCCGCCCAGCGCTGGAAAAAGGTAAGTTTTACCCCTTCCCCTTCCAGAGCCGGGCGGGAGGGGGTCCCTGAGGGTGGGGGCACCCTCAGGGCACTATAGTGCCAGGAAAACGAGTATGTTTTCCTGGCACTATAGTGGTCCTTTAAAGGACCACTACAGACACCCAGATCACATCAGCTCAATGAAGTTGTCTGGGTGTCAGGTCCCTCTAGTTTTAACTCTGCAGTTGAAAACATAGCAGTTTCAGAGAAACTGCTATGTTTCACTGAGGGTTAATCCAGCCTCTAGTGGCTGTCTCACTGACAGCTGCTAGAGGACCACACTGAACGTCCATAGGAAAGCTTTGAGTAATGCTTTCCTGTGGGCGGTTTGAATGCGTGCGCGGTCTCATTCGGAGCTGAGAGGCTAAGGGATCCCCAGCGCCAAGGGAGTCCGGCGCTGGAGAAAGGTAAGTGCTGAAGACACACACACTCTCACTTACAGACGCATACACGCTAGCTAACAGACACACACATTTACTGACAGAGACACACTCAGCGACAGACATACATACACACTCACACACTCACTTACAAAACATACACTCTCATTGACAAACACACACTCACTAACAGACATCAAACAGACTCAGTAAGACACACACTCTAACACTCACTCTAACACTCACTCTAACACTCACTCTAACACTCACTCTAACACTCACATTAACACTCACTCTAACACTCACTCTAACACTCACTCTAACACTCACACTAACACTCACACTAACACTCTAACACTCACACTCACATTCTAACACTAACACTCACACTAACATTCATTCTAACACTCACACTCACTCTAACACTCACTCTAACACTCACACTCTAACACTCACACTCACATTCATTCTAACACTAACACTCACACTAACATTCATTCTAACACTCACACTCACTCTAACACTCACTCTAACACTAACACTTTTTAAACATTTTTTTTATCCCCCCAGCCTCCTTACCTTTTGGAGTGCTGGGGGGATTCCCTGGGGTCCAGTGGTGCTGCTGGGCTCCTTGGCGGGTGGCCGGTCGGGCAGGCGGGCGCGCGAGGGAGCACTCACTGCTTCCTCTTCAGCTCCCTTGCGCGCCGCGTAGGGATGTCGGCGCCGGAAGATGACGTCATCTTCCGGCTCCGGTATCAGTGCGGTGCGCGAGGGAGCTGAAGAGGAAGCACTGAGTGCTCCCTCGCGCGCCCGCCTGCCCGACCGGCCACCCGCCCAGGAGTGTGTGTGTGACAGCAGGGCCAGCCTCGGGGGGCCTGGGGTGGCCGGCTCCTGGGCCCCCCAGGAGAAGAGGCTGGCCCTGTGGCTACATACCGGGTCGCAGGGGCGACCCCTGCGACCCTGGTATGTACGCCACTGGTTGAGGAAATAGCTAAAATGACAATGAAGGGGGAAGTTATCATCATGGGTGACTTTAATATTCCTGATGTGAACTGGAAAACCAAATTAGTTGCTTGTGCCAGGAGCACACATATTTTAAACTCCCTACTGGGATTATCTCTTAAACTAGTAGTTGAGGAGCCAACTCGTTAAGAGGTTGGAGAGTTAACAAATGGAGATTTGGTATCCGATATTACTGTAGGTGAAAGTTTAGGATCCAGTGATCATCAGTCAGTATGGTTTAATATAAGAACAGTGACTAAGTCACACCACACAAAAACAATAGTTTTAGACTTTAGAAAAACAGACTTTTCAAAAAGTAGAATATGTGTAAAGGAGTTATCAGACTAGAGCAGTTTAGATGGAGTCCAGGAGAAATGGGATTATTTAACTCCTTAAGGACCGTGGATGTACTAGATACGTCAGACAAAAACGGTCCTTAAGGAACGCGGATGTACCGAGTACATCTGCAGCAAATTAGTTACTTACCTGATTGTCACCGTTCCCCCGCCTGCGATCGGTGTTGCTCCTGGTCTGGTGGGACTGCCTGCAAATTAGGCCCCATGCGGGCCATGTTTCGCTCTGAAAGAACGATTACATGGCCGCAATAGGCATCCATAGTGCTGCCTGCAGGGGGCCTGCCTGGGCTGTCAGTCTCCCTGCATCTGTAAAAAAAAAAAAATTATGTTTAGTAAAAAAAAAAAAAAAGGCTATATATGTGTATGTGTGTGTGTGTGTGTGTGTGTATATATATATATATATATATATATATATATATAAAACTATATATAATGTGTTTGTGTGTGTGTGTATATATATATATATATATATATATATATATATATATATATATATATATTAGAAAATATAAATAATAATTAAATACATTTTTTTTAAATAAAACAAAATTATAAATATATAGTAATTTTATTCTAACTGTATTTTGATAATTATATATTTATATCAAAATACACTTACAATGAAAATATATATATATCTATGCATATATGAATAAATAAAAATAATAAGCTAAAAAAATAAGCTAAAAATATGTTAACATTGGGTATTTCTAAACGCAGAACAAAATTTAGAAACTATTTAGCCCGGGTGTTTTTGGGCGGTTGTAGGTGCGTAACAGATTTTGGGGGCCAAGGTTAGAAAAAGTGTGTTTTTAAAAAAAAAAAAAAATCATGATATTTATAATTTTTTTTATAGTAACTGATATGATATGATATGATGAAAATAATGGTATCTTTAGAAAGACCATTTAATGGCAAGAAAAACGGTATATAATATGTGTCGGTACAGCAAATGAGTAAGAGGAAAATTACAGCTAAACACAAACAGCACAGAAATGCAAAAACAGCCCTGGTCCTTAATGGTAAGAAAGTTGAAAAACGGTCTGGTCACTAAGGTGTTAAAAGTTGCACTGCTGAAGGCAACAGAAAATTGCTTTAGGCTTGTCAGTAAAAATCAAACAATTTAAGAAAGCACTGTGGTACACCGCAAATGTGTCCAAAATAGTAAAAAACTGTTAGCATTTAGTAATTATATAAAAAAAAACAGAGTGAGGAAGACAGAATGATCTATAAGATTAGGCAGAAAGAGGCTTAGCAAGTTATAAAAGCTTCCAAATCACACACAGAAGAGAAAATAGCACAGTCAGTAAAAAAAGGGGACAAAACATTTTTTAGATACATAAATGAGAAAAGAAAAGTAAAACAAGGATTAGTTAGATTAAAAACAAAAGAAGGAAGGTATGTAGGAGAGGATAAATGTCTAGCCGACTACCTCAGTTAATATTTTTGTTCAGTATTTACAGATGAAAATTAAGGAAATTGACCTAAGTTAGAAAAAAAGGACAAATTAGTCATTTGTTACATTTGAGTTTACAGAAGAAGATGAAGCCAAATGGCTAGTGATGTCCCGAACGGTTCGCCGCGGACTCATCATTGAGTAAACTTTGACCCTGTACCTCACAGTCAGCAGACACATTCCAGCCAATCAGCAGCAGACCCTCCCTCCCAGACCCTCCCACCTCCTGGGCAGCATCCATTTTACATTCATTGTGAAGCTGCATTCTTAGTGAGCTGTCCAGGAGGTGGGAGGGTCTGGGAGGGAGGGTCTGCTGCTGATTGGCTGGAATGTGTCTGCTGACTATGAGGTACAGGGTCAAAGTTTACTCAATGATGAGTCCGCGGCAAACCGTTCGGCGAACCGTTCGGGACATCACTACAAATGGCAAATGATTTAGGTAAACTAGAAAAATAGTCAGAGTTGTGGTAGCTGACATTTAATGTGGATAAGTGCAAGATGCATCTTTGGGCGTAAAAACCCAAGGGCAGAGTACAGAATATTTGATAGAGTCCTAACCTCAACAGCTGAGGAAAGGGATTTAGGGGTGATTATTTCTGATGACTTAAAGAGCAGCAGGAAATGCTAGCAGAATGCTTGGTTGTATAGGGAGAGGTATTAGCAGTAGAAAGAGGGAAGTGCTCATGCCATTGTACAGAACACTGGTGAGACCTCACAAAGAGTATTGTACGCAGTACTGGAGACCGTATCTTCAGAAGGATATTTATAGTTTAGAGAGAGTTCAGAGAAGGGTTACTAAACTGGTTCATGGATTGCAGGTTAAAACTTACAAGGAAAAGTTAAAAGGATCATAACATTTATAGCTTTGAGGAAAGACGAGACTGGGAGGATATGATAGAAACATTTAAATACATAAAGGGAATCAACACAGTAAAGGAGAAGACTATATTTAAAAGAAGAAAAACAACAAGAGGACATAGTCTTAAATTAGAGGGGCAAAGGTTTAGAAATATCAGGAAGTATTACTTTAATGAGAGGGTAGTGGATGCATGGAATAGCCTTCCAGCTGAAGTGGTAGAGGTTAACACAGTGACGGAAATTAAGCATGCGTGGGATATGCATAAGGCTATCCTAATTATAAGATAAGGCCAGGGACTAATGAAAGTGTTTAGAAAATTGGGCAGACCTGATGGGCCGAATGGTTCTTATCTGCCGTCACATTCTATGTTTCTATGATGGCTGCCTTTACCCAATTGTCCTGAGATCTCAGAAATGTTTCCTACTACCAAGAACACCCTCAAGGTGTGGGATATTATTTTTAAAGCTATGAGTCTATCCCCCAAGTTGAGAGCAATGCCTTTATCTATTTCAATTTATCATATGTCACAATTAGATTTTAATGTTTGGCATTCCTATTCTGTATATAATTTGGATGAAATTCCCTCATGTCATGTGATAAATTGAAAACAAAATTTTACTTAATTCGATTCTCTCAGAATTTATTATGATCTCTGAAACACTGAAAGAAGGTTTTAATGGATTTGGATCGGGGATACAACACATTGAAAATCTACTTTAGAAAAAAAGTAGAGGTACCGTTTGTGACAATCACCTTGAGAATCAGTATAAAATTCTCTATATATGGCGAGAGCCTACGATCTCCAATATCTAACAAGCAGTACATTTTTTGGCAATTTCGGCAAGATAGTTCATGGAGGTGTAATATACTTTGTGGATAGCAGTTCACTTTAAGATAACATGTGGATTGTGCTCTCCATAGAGTTGGCTAAAGCAATATAACTTATTTAAACCGATAACAAAAAATATGTATAATTGTAGCTATTAAGATGATATATTTAAAATAAATGGAGCATATATAGGTCTTTAGAAGACAGCAGTGTAACATACACATTTTACTCTTTTTTAAATGTATATAAATATTTATATTCAGTTCATACTTGTTAGTTAAGTCAGACATTTCCACTGCCTGATAGCATGTTTTCCTGTCTAAATGTAATCATTAGAGTTATTAAATATGCTTCTGGAGTGCTCTATAATGAGCGTGTGCAATAATCAGTGAATTACGGCATTCTTGAAACACGCGTGAATTCTTTGTCTCATTCTGTTGTTAGAACATTTCACAGCTGGTTTCATATCTTACTTTGGGTTTAAAAACCCACATTAAAAAGAATATCTGCCAAGTCCTGTTTCCCATCAGCAATAAAATAGCAAAGTAAATATGATTTGCCACTAAAAGCTCTGCTAATGAGGATCCCCAGTTGAGCTTGTTTGTGAAAAAATAAGTTTCTCATAGTAATCAGCTGGAAAGGATTTTCTGACTCTTATCAAATGAGTTTTTTTATTTTATGGTTAGCATGGGTGACCCAAGTCAAGATCTAATGCTTTCAGGCAGAAAAAATCCCAACTCATTGTTTTGACTTTTCATTAGCTTATAATGATGTGATAACATGTAGCTCAGTATTAAATCAGTATTTTCAGGATAATGTTGCTCTATTTTTACTTCAATTATATGTCACAGCTTGTTGTGACTTTACATTTCCTCCAAGAATTTGTTTACACATATATCTGAAATCTATATGTGAACATGCAAGAATGACCCACACTAATTTTAGATTGGTTGCTGTTTTTTTACTCTTTTATTTTTCCCATTCCTGAAAGTCCTGAGAAAATTAGTTAATGTTTTCTTCTATAGGATCACATTTCTGGAGTTATTATTTGGAGTAATTTATTGTCAATTATTTTATGTGTCCAAAGATATTCCAGGAATGTGATGATATAAAAGGCCATTGCAATGCAGATCAACAAAGTTGCCAGTCCTACGAAGTCTGCAGGAATGTGTTCACCTCCCACCCCCCATGACCCGAGCTCCTTGTGGGAGGATATTTGCAGTTCTTCAGGGACACTTGGACCCGGTCTGTCTCAGAACGTGGCTGTGATTTTATCAGGTTACTAGCTGGACTTTCAGCACTGCCCTCCTCTGGATTGGTTCCTGCTGTTTCATCCTTCCTGTGACCCTCTCAGGGCTCAGACCTTTCTGGATATATTCCTTCTTTGGGATCAGGAACACATTTTGAGTTCAACCCCAAACCCTGTTTGGGAACATAAAGAAGATACATTTTTCTGTTCCCAAACAGGGTCTGAGGTGCAACTCAAAACCTGTTCCTGAAGCCAATTATGGAGAGAACATCCAGCCAATCATGGAGCTCTGGTCCTTGAACTTGTTCCTCGGGGGGGGGGCACTGGAGGGCCAGTTCCTAATAACTGTCAGTCTGACGCATGCATAATAATTGTAATCTGATCCTTCCAAATCAAAACTTTTTCTTGTAGTTCACCTTTCAAGACTGGCCCTGCTTGGTGCTCTGATGGCTGATGCGAGCATCTTTTCCATTTGTCTCATACTTGGACGATCCTGATACACATGACTTCTTACAACCTGGCAGTCTAGTCTTGGTGTTGATAAAGTACGGGTGATGTATCAACCTCTCAAAGAGCTCACTGGTGCCTGGTGTGCAAGTTTATTTCCTGGCCTCCATAGAAATTAAGTGGTTCATCCAGAAGTTCGGCTCTGTCTTTGATGGCTTGTAGATTGGTTGTTTGATGTTTCATTGCAGATGTTTTCAAATAAGATCATTGAGGCCTTACTTCAAACTTGACAACCTATAACTAGAGATGTCGCGAACTGTCTGCCGAACTGTTCGAGAACTGTCCGCTGGCGAACAATAGCGTGTTCGCGTTGGGCGAACATATCCGATTTCCGGTCCGCCCCCTATACGTCATCATTGAGTAAACTTTGACCCGGAACCTCACAGCCAGCAGACACATTCCACCCAATCAGCAGCAGACCCTCCCTCCCAGGAAGTGTCTGCTGACTGTGAGGTTCCGGGTCAAAGTTTACTCAATGATGACGTATAGGGGGCGGACCGGAAATCGGATATGTTCGCGCAACGCGAACACGCTATTCTTCGCCGGCGGACAGTTCGCGACATCGCTACCTATAACCAGTCGTTTTTACCACAAAGTATGCCACACATACCTGGCATGCTGTTTTTTCTTGGTGGGTACCGTTGGAAATCTTTTAAGCTTCCTTGCACTGTTGGACTCCTTCAAGAAGGATTGGATAAGTGTTTGGCCAGACAGAAATACCTTGAAGACTCTAAATTTCAGCTCTTTTAGGACTTGAAATCCTTGGACTCTGAACATGGTATTCTAGGTGCTGTGTACTGTGCCAATGCTTACTTATATTCACATTTGTTATCCTAGAAGGTCTTGATTCTTCTGACAGTTTCCTCTGCAATAAATATTTCTGAAGATTTCTTTAGCTTGTGGGCCCCTTCTTTTTCCAAAGTGTTGCCTCTAATTTTAAACCAAACGGTTGTTGTTCTTTCCTTTTGTCCTTCGTCTGAGAAGTAGAGGTTGTTCCATAATTTGGATGTTGTTCATGTTGTAAAGTATTCTGCTGAGGCCTTTTGGCTATCCTGGAATTCTTCTTTGCTTGGTTATTATTCTTCAGCCTCATTTTTGTCAAGTGGCTCCACTACATGATCCAGAAGGCATATACCCTAGCTAACAAGCCAGCTCCTGAGAGGATTACTACTTCCTTTTTTACTAAAACCGTGGCTTCCTCGTGGGCCTTCCTCCCTAATGTTTCTGTGGACTAAATCAGCAAGTCAGACACTTGATTGTCATTGCATACATTTTCCATTTTTTTTCCTTTTTGATCTTTTTTTGTTTGTTGATAGTTCCCATGTAATCACCGTCGCTATCCACCATACCTTTTGAGGTAACAAAACTTTTTTTTGTAAACTCAGATTGATTTCTACCTGTTTGCATGCTGTTAATGTAAGTAGAAAGCATTGTAAACGAAGCTTGGTACATATTAGCTGTTATGGGGTTTTGATTATCAAATCCGCCTTTGGTGTCATGGGGGGGAGGGGTATCTGTAGTCTGACTGCCCTAAAGTGTGCAATGTGTTTCTGAGCTCATATCTAGTTAACGTTTTTTTGTTCTCAGATTAACTCTCAGCCTAAACAAAGTGGAGATATGGTTAAAGGAAACTGGAAAAAAACATTTGAATTATGCTAACCCAAACCTTAGAAACCACTGGGGGGTTATGTTTTATTAATACAGGCAGACTAGCTAGACTAGCTTTGGCACATAACACGAAAAATGAATGATTGAAGTCTGCATTGGTAAACTGGAAATCAGCAGTATGTACTATTTCCAAGCACCCAGAACACGAGAATAAACTAGTAAACGAAAGTGACACATAGTACAGGAAGCTACTCAAAACACATACAGTTATTCACTAAAGTGAATTTCAAATTTAGAGTCAAAACAGCCAGACTGGAAAAATTATTTAAGTCTATACTTTCAGTGTGGTTAGACTGGGCTTAAGTGTAAAATTCACTTTGAATTCTCATCTCGGAAAATAACCCTGATAATAATAATAAAAAAAATGTTTGCTGAGTAAGGTAATGCATTGCATAGTATGTAAGGAATAGAATTAAAATGTGTATTATATTATTCAGATACAATTGAACTGTTATACATCTACTCTAAAAAAATAAAAAATAAATTGTTTCAGGATATAAGATTTACTTAAGTCTTTTTTCACTTTAAAGCAACTACCCTCCCTGACCCTCCTCCCTAAGAAATCGGGAGATTTAACTATCCATTGTTTATTTACAAATTTTACTATTCATTATTTATTTTTTATTTTATAATGACTAAATCGAAGTCCTATATGTTAAATCTCAGCCTGTTCCAGGTGTCATAAGCTTCCACTGTCCATATCATTTCCAAACATTAAAACCCTTGTCGAACAGTATATTTGAGCAGAAAAGGCATCTGCCAAGAGAGACCCACATAAAGCTCAGGGCTGTGGCTGCCTTAGGCACCAGTCCTGCTTGGGGTCGGCTTGCCCTGATTTTATTATGGGCATTTTCTTACCTGAAAACTGCAGGGGACAGGCCTCATAGGACATGTGGGGACTCAAGGTTGCTGTCCCTTCTTAGGAGAGAAATCTTGGCCAAAAATTAAAATATCATTAGTTTCACTATCTGTGCATTCTTTAGAGCTCTTCTCATTATGTTTTGGTTAATTCTTTTAATTCATTTTTTTTCTTCTAATAGTAGCCTCATCCATTGTCCTTCTTTATTATATTACCCTCTATGTACCCACATTCGAACAACACAACTACTTATAACTCTTTATGGTTTTCTTATAATACTATCTTCCTTTCCACGATTTTACTGTTCATTCTTTACTTAAAATACGTTTGTACTTGTTTACCTTGGGTTTGGTTTTTGAAATCCATATTTAAGTATTTTCTTCATATTTACAGTTTTGTCACAAAATGATACCCATGTGTTATGTAGTTACGTGTAAGATTATCAATCTGTAATAACAATAAATAATACAAAATGAAAAAAGTAAATATTAAAAAAATGTACCTATAAATGTCCACTGTATGCTGCAGATCCTAAGAATATTCATGGTTCAGGAAGTGGCTGAGATTCCTTTGTCAATCCTGACCCTCCTCCGTGGGAGTCGTACAATGTGTGCACACTATACTTCCCCTATGACTTCTCAATGTGGTTTTGTATGATGACAGGAGAGTTATACAGATAGTTCCTTACACCCTACACTATGGAAGGATCAAAACTGGGTGAACTATGTTCCTCTAAAAAAAAATATATAATTTCTCATAAGCACAAAAGTTGATTCCCCACTAGTGCCAAAACCGTATTATAGTGAATTTAACGCGTGCCTTGTCTATTTAGAATGCAGTTAACCAAATGTATTTATATTTTAGCTCTACATGCACCTACACTCTCCTCAGTTGTTTAAATTAATAACTAGAATGCACTCTTATGGCTCTTGGTGCATTTGTTTAGTATATAGAGGGGAAATAATTGCTTTCCCACCTTATTACATGAATTCTTTCTAGATGTACAGGTGTGCATTCATTTAATTACAGTGTTACCCTGTCTCCATGTATACTGGGTGCAACACAATACTGGGTGAGTTTTAAACATTTTTTTTTTTTAAATCGATTTCCATCTCATATTTCCACAAGATCCCTTCTCAATAATCCATGTTTTGAGAATGTATATTAATAATTTGGGTGTTTTTGTCACTTTTTGAGCTCACTACAAATGTAAGATTTAGACAGTTGTGTCTCACTTGTTTCTGGCTAGTTTAGTATCTAATTCTATACCAGTGGTTTACTTGACCCCTTAAGGACACATGACATGTGTTACATGTCATGATTCCCTTTTATTCCAGAAGTTTGGTCCTTAAGGGGTTAAAGGAACACTATAGTCACCAAAACAACTTTAGCTTAATGAAGCAGTTTTGGTGTATAGATCATGTCCTTGCAGTCTCACTGCTCAATTCGCTGCCATTTAGGAGTTAAATAACTTTGTTTATGAACCCGAGTCACACCTCCCTGCATGCGACGTACACAGCCTTTCTAAATACTTCCTGTAACGAGTCATCTAATGTTTATCCTTGCTTTATTGCAAGTTCTGTTTAGTTTAGATTTTCTTACCCCCTGCAATGTTAATAGCTTGCTAGACCCTGCAAGAGCCTCCTGTATGTGATTAAAGTTCAATTTACAGAGAAAGAGATACAATTGTTTAAGGTAAATTACATCTGATTGAAAGTGAAACCAGATTTTTTCATGCAGGCTGTGTCAATCAGAGTCAGGGGAGGTGTGACAAGGGCTGAATAAACAGAAACAAAGTGATTTAACTCCTAAATGGCAGAGAATTGAGCAGTGAAACATGAGAAGCATGATCTATATACTAAAACTGCTTCATTAAGCTAAAGTTGTTTAGGTGACTATAGTGTTCCTTTAAAACGGAACTCTGGAAATTCTATCATTTAATCAAACTTAGAAAATCACTGATAACTCATGCTAACCTTTTTCACAACATGCTCTGACAAGGGAGTTAAGATGGAGGTTTCTAGTAGCAACATAAAAACGTGTGGAATTGTACATTTGTCAACGTCTTATTAAAAATCCTGGAAAGTGACAGTTTCACCTTTAATCTGAACATTCCACCACTCCTGTGTTTTTGGTTATATATTTCTTAAGAATTAAATACTGTTACATTAGAAATAAATGTTATTTATGTGACTATCATTTTAGGCTTCTTTTATTTTCTTTATCCTATGCAGGCAGAAACCTGACAAATACTTTGTTTGTTTGTTTTACTTCAAATACCTATGCTAATTACTAAAATGAATGAATGTTTTCTTTTCAGGAAATCAAAGAAAAGAAGGCCTTTTGCCATACCTACGTACAGGACCTTGCAAATGAAGCTGCTGACATCAATATGAAAAATGAATCCCTGCAAAAGTTATGGCCGCAGATGTTCATTGAACTTGTCAGAGATGCAGTGATTGAAGTTCGTGATAAAAACTCCTACATGAAACAATGCTTACAAAGGATCTGTGAGCAAAAATAGCCATACAAAACCACAATTTGAGCACGTTCCAGATATCCTTTCTAACCAAGACAACAGTATAATTCAGTATTCTCCGTAAAAACGTACTTTTCTAATTCCTAAAATGCATTTTTCCTCTTCCCCTAAGATTTCAAGTATTCGAATATTACCACAAGGTTTAAAATTAATTTCAATCAAGAAATTATTGTAGAGGAGAATCAAGCCATGAAGTCTTCAACTTTTTGTCGCTTTTGAGGACTTTGTGGAAAAGGTCCATCACGGGATATTCACTTTGTCTGAAGATAATCCTCTTTTCAACTTATTTCGCTTTTTATGAGCCTTTGTTTAAGAAAAGTCTAATAAATTCTCTCTTTTGACATGTTGTGAATCTTTATGTAACTAACAAATCCAGGTGTCAAGACAAGATTATGTTAATAAATCCTCAACATTTGGGTCTATTTTTTTTTAAAGGCCAGCATGATCACCTGTATGATCCAGGCAGGACTGAAAGTGATAACACCAGATACATAAGGTAGTCAATCAAGTGACATTGTGTAGGGCAGCCAGATGTCACACTTATACAAATGTATAAAATAGAATGAGGCCGATAATACTATCAAAATACATAGCTTGATACCCCTGTAACATCTCAACATCAGGATGAAAAGAGTTTTCATCCTGAATTTCAGTGAAATTTCAACACCGTCAATATGAGTATTTTATAGAGTAGGTCATTCTATAAAAAAAGATCCTTAAAAATAAATGCAATGTTATGCATTTGGGATGAAGAATAAACTGGAGAAAACTGATGAACAACACTGTAGGCAGAACAGGCAAAATATGTAAAATCCTTATCACTTCATGCATTAAATGTACCTCATCGATCAGTATGCGAAAAGCAAATGCTTATTTTCAGTCCCTACGTAAGTTCAAAAATAACGATTAAAATGTAATAAAAATAAAATTGACAATTAAAACAGACACCTTTTTGCATAATATGCTAGTAACATTTCCTCAGAGGCACCATATAAAAAAAATGACCTACCTAGCAATAAACCAATAAAGATGATTTCATTAAAAGAAAAGAAAAAAAACATATCCACAACTCCATGTTTGTAACTGTCTTTATCTGTATTATGTTAGCTAGGTCTACTATTTTAACAATGTATCAAAAACCTGATACGTTATTATTATTATTATCGCCGTTTATATAGCGCCAACAGATTCCGTAGCGCTTTACAATATTATGAGAGGGGGTATTTAACTATAAATAGGACAATTACAAAAAAACTTACAGGAACGATAGGTTGAAGAGGTCCCTGCTCAAACGAGCTTACAGTTTGTAGGAGGGGGGGTATAAAACACATTAGGATAGGAAATAGCAATCAAATAAGGTGGGAGTGAAGTAGTGCTGGAGGAAAGAGTAGAGTGCTACTCTTTAGGAGAGAGCAAGAGAAAGGTATGAAAGGTAGAGGTTACTTTGGGAGGCCATAAGCTTTCCTAAAGAGATGGGTTTTAAGGCACTTGATAAACGATTGAAGACTAGGGGAGAGTCTGATAGCGATAGGCAGGCTATTCCACAGGAAGGGAGACGCCCACGAGACGTCCTGCAAGCATGAGTTGCCTGTACGGGTGCAAGCAGCGGACAGGAGAAGGTCACGAGCAGAGCGGAGAGACTGAGAAGGGGCATACCTATTGATCTGTGAAGAGATATAAGAGGGGCTAGAATTGTTCAGTGCTTTATCAGTATGGGTTAGCACTTTGAATTGACTCCTACAGGATACAGGAAGCCAATGTAACTATTAACCATTGGACAATAAACCAAAAACATGAACGAGAAACACTCAATTGAAAGCCACATTATATTTGAAAATGAAATAATGGATTAAATGTGTCAGGAAGTAAATATGCATCTATCAATTGATTGCTTGTATGTCTCTGAGCTGAGCTACATGTCGAAATAGCCTGATCAGTCTCTGTGTACTTAACATATTTTATAGTTATAGTCTGACACAAATGTGTAGCACTTTTTTTTCAATTTATGGTTAAAGCAAATCATTTGTCAATACCCATCAGAGTTTGTTCCGGATCACTTAAGTAACATATTAACCCTCTCTCTTCCCATGCAAACATCTACTCATAAGACAGTTATATGTCAAATAATGATACCTTAGCCTTATTTAAGGTAGAAAATATGAAATCCAATCCAATCTAACTTTCTACCACTTAGGGTTATTTACTAAAATGAGATCCATTGGCAAGTTAAAATGTAAGGCCAAAGTAGCTAAGTTGGAAAAATTTTCCAAGTTACCTATGGTTCCTGTAGAGCTATGTTCAACACAGTATACAAGAAAAAAATAAGAGGGATGGAACAGCGCTATCCAAACTGGACGTCCTGAGAATTTAAGAAGAATATACCTGTGAATTAGAGACTTTAGTTTGCCTGTTTCCCTGGTATTTTTTTTTTTTTTCCTATTATCCATTTTATTTATTTACTTTCTTCTTGGCGCACCCTGTAATTGTTATTTCCTGTTTTTCAACACAGTATACCCCTGCTGTAGATATCTAAGCCTGTCCTTGTCTGGCTCTAATCTATATGAGTGCATCCAATATTAATTTACTGCACTAGTATACTGACCATATTACACTATATATACACATCTCTTTTTTTTCTAGCATATGCCATCAACATACACCTTTTTTAAAGGGTGAGTGTTGATTTAGGTAGTGCTACACTGGGTTTATGTGAGTGTACCACCATCACTCAATTTACTCTGCTTTTTTGCATGTTTCCATGTAAAGTTTGAGAAACCTTCCCTTGTGTAGTCTCTGCTACTTTTACTTACTTCTGCAATTCCAACACAGTCAATATGAGTATAAAGATCCCATCTTCGTGATAGACAGTGCCGCTTTAAGTTGGCCAATGTGTTTGTGGAGTAGTAAGGTTCTTTCCTTGACCAACTTTAATATGAGCATTAATAATCCTGCCATGGGCATTGAAAGTCACATCTAAGTAATTGCAAATTATCCTAAACTAGCTACCCCATTATGCATGGGACGGGATGGGATCAATATCTTACAACTTTATAAGTGCCTTATGTTGCGCAGATCCTACGTTTGATCAAGGAGACAGTAGATTCATGGGTATTTGGGAAGGGGCTTTAGAATCCTTCTCCAATACCATGATGCAAATCATTATTGATCAGAGGAATATTAATCTGGAAGATTTAGATAAGAAAATAAAAATTATTCAGAATAAACTGGAACCATTCATAGGGACTGAAGATTTTGTACTATTGACCAATGCAATTAGTACTAAGTTGGAAAAATTGGAAGCATCATTAATTTCCAGTAAAAAGAGTAAATTTCAAAGAGATCATAATGATTATGCAACCAATAACGTTAGAAAGAAACCTAGAATCAATAAGAACTTTGAGAAAAAATATGAGAATAGGATGACTCAAAAGAAGGATAAAATAAATTTACTTAGAAAAGAGTCTATCTCATATCCAAAAAGGAATGAACCCAATGATTGGATAGAAGTAAAAAAGAAGAATAAATATCCTCAAAAAGTTGAGAGTAGGAAAACAAATGGAAGAGATAATAGGAAAAAAGAAAGAGAGCAATATAGGACCCCATTACCACCAAAGAGATTTATTCCTACATATAATAGGTATGAACCATTAAAACGAAATGATAATGGAAACTATGATCCTTTTTTAGAGAGAGGCCAAAGAGACAGGTGTTATATGAGCCCATTCCCACAGAAAAGAAGACACAGAGAGTACGAGGAGGGAGAGATAGGAGAATTGGAGGAAATGGAAATGAGAGAAATGAGGAGACCCGAAGGAAAAATAAGGCGGAGATAAAGATTTTTAACCTATCGGATAAAATTTTAGATGACAATCATAAGAAAGTTTTAAGTAAAGGTTTTAAATTCGTTCCTAGTTGTCCAATCAATAAATTTGAAACCTACACAGATTTAAATAGGTTCACTAGGAAACTTTGTTTAAAAAAGTTTTTTAAAGAGAAGGAAATTAATAGTATGAGAAACCAAGATGATGAAACTAATGAATTTCAACATACAGATTTAAAGAACCCCTCAAAATTCTATCCTACTTATTTAAAATCAAAAGAAATGAAAGTATTTGAAAAAGCCTGCATTAAGGATATAAAAGAAATAAAAGTTAAAAACAATAAATATCAGAATAACCTAACCATTAAAGAGAAAAAAGCAATGATAGATCTAAAGAAAGATAAAAATATAGTTATCAAACCTGCCGATAAGGGGGGTGGAGTGGTCATTTTGAGTAAGGACAGTTATATAGCGGAAATCAAACGACAATTAGATGATCAAGAAACGTATAGAAAACTTAAAAGTGACCCATCGACTGAAATAAGGAGAGAGTATATTAAAATCTTAGATAAGGGTCTTATGAAGGGAATTTTAATGTCCAAAGAATATAAATTTTTGAATACAGAATTCCCAAGAACACCCGTTATATATGTTTTACCAAAGTTACACAAAGATATACAAAATCCACCTGGGAGACCTATAGTCTCAGGGATAGGATCACTATTATCACCTTTATCTAAATATGTTGATACATTTCTACAGCCGATAGTTAGGACTTGTCCTTCTTTCCTTAAAGACTCCATGAGTCTGTTACAAATTTTGAAAGATGTTAAGTGGGAGGAAGATTTTTTACTTGTCACATGTGACGTAGCCAGCCTCTATACATGTATTCAACATGATAGAGGCTGTGAAGCAACGAGATGTTTTCTCCAGACTTCTAAAATGTATCATGAAGAACAGATTGATTTTATCTTGGAATCTATCAAATTTATTTTAAACAATAATTTCTTTTGGTTTGAAGGTGATTTTTACCTACAATGCAGAGGAACTGCTATGGGGACCAGGTTCGCTCCCAGTTATGCTAATTTATTTATGGCCCATTGGGAAGAAAATTTTGTTTTTTCCCAACATGACTGGGTAGCGAACCTGGTCCTCTATAGAAGATATATTGATGATATTTTCTTTATTTGGAAAGGTGGTGAATCATCAGCTTTAGATTTTTTAAATTATCTTAATACTAATCAATGGAATATTAAACTAACCCATACAATCAACCAACAAACTATAGATTTTTTAGATTTAAACATCTATATTAAAAAGAACAAAATTGAGACATGTACATTCTTTAAACAGGTGGATGTGAACAGCTTCATAGAAAAGGGAAGCTGTCACTTTCCACCTTGGCTGGATAATATCCCAAGAGGCCAATTCCTTAGATTGAGAAGGAACTGTTCAGAAATAGAAAAATATAATTTACAGGCCTCCTCACTAAAAGGTCAATTTTTAGAAAAAGGTTATAAGGAAGCAAGTCTTGAGAATACAATTCAAAAAATTGGGGAATTAAATAGAGAAGAATTGTTGAAATACCA